TGTAAAAGATTCAAATAATTTTTTATTATTATTTTATTAATTTTTTACAATAAGGTTAATAAAAAAGTGACACTATATAGTTTGTCCCACACTCAGCAGCGACTAACTTTGAGTGTACATATATAATTGTTATACTGAGTACTTTCTATCTGTGTTACTTATTTGGGTCTAAGAGCCATTTGTCAGATTTTCCCGAAATGCAAGGTTAAGATTTTAGCAGCGACTAACTTTGAGTGTACATATATAATTGTTATACTGAGTACTTTCTATCTGTGTTACTTATTTGAGTCTAAGAGCCATTTGTCAGATTTTCCCGAAATGCAAGGTTAAGATTTTAGCAGCGACTAACTTTGAGTGTACATATATAATTGTTATACTGAGTACTTTCTATCTGTGTTACTTATTTGAGTCTAAGAGTCATTTCTACCATAGAACTAGATATTGTCTCTCATTAAGGGTATAGTCCACTAAAAATTTTTAAGTTTTGACAATGAAAATAAGCTCTGTGACCATGTAAATATATATCTATGCAAAACGAGAGGTTATGCCATAATTTTTTTAGTTATCAAATTTTCCTTTTTTTGAGAGAAGTCTCTCAATAATTTGAGAAGAATCTTTGATATAAAGAGATACACATTTGTAGAACGAAGTAAGTGTTTTCCAAACATTTTATATGTTCATCCTGTATAACAATATAAAGCTGCATAGTGCCATCTTGTGCGTTTGCTATTTTATGTACTTTTCATTGAGATAATCCCTCTTCTCGGGTGATTTTAACAGTCAACTCAATTTTAAAATAAAGATTTCATCAAAATGATTTCGAAATTCGGATATTGATTATATAAATAGCACTGTTAACATATTTTGGATGAGTAAAAAATACCTTGTTTTGTATGCATTTAGTACACCTTTATTTTTGATTAAAACTATAAAATTTTTATTCCTTATATAATAAATAGTATATGTTACATAAACATGAAATTCAATAGCATTCAATTTTGGATTTTTTAGATTTGGTAAATTTTAGAAGAAATAAAATCAGCAATCAAAATAAAGAAACTTTTTTTGTATCTTCTATGATTACCTTTTGGTACTAAATTTTGCATTAATAAGTAAATTATCTGTATTATTCTGTGAGCACAAGCCCTCAGTTACGCTGGTAGTGAATGATGAATCGTCATTTTGCGAAGAGAACGCGATTATTAAGGTAATTTTGAGAATTGTCTTGAATTATTTAAAATTAAAGTTAATTGAATAGGTAGGATAACTAGCCTTTGCTAAATTTGTATAATTTGACCTTATTCTAGTTGGATCTGAGAATATTTTGCTGAAATAATAAATTATATCGCCGATTTATGAAAATTTCTCTGATGGGACCGACTCGCTGAAACGTATTAGTGTTAATGGTAACTTGTCTGAATTTTCAAATTTTTTTCGAAATCCAAAAAATCACAAACAAAAGCATCAAAATTAGATTTGCATTTAAGGTTTTCATTTTTTTTGGAAAATAAAAATATTTTTTCCCCAATAAAGTTTATTTTTACTTTTGAGAGGAATAGAAACGTTATTTTGGAATTTTGAAACGACAGAAATGTTCCATTTTTAATGTAGATTCTAAAATGGGGTCAAATTTTTGATTGAACCGTTATCCATTGAAAAACCTCGATTTTAAAATGTTATTCCAAAATATTCATCTAATGATATAGTATATATTTATTAATTATTACTTTTTATTCAATTTTCACTTTTGGCGGGATTTCATTTTTTTGTTGTTGTATGGGCCATATTGTTCACCCAAAACGGAAAACAAAGGCAATGCATAACATTTTACTCCACGAACGTCGTCGACTCTCAGCGCGACAGATGCTTGGTGCTTGCATAATGACCGGAATGCCATATACAAAAGGTGCTCGCTTTCTTTCTCTTTGTGGAACTAAGCCCCCTGTGAAGAGTGGTGTCATGAGACAACAGAGATTTTGTGACGATAAGATTAGAAGACTTAAAAGTATTTCCCTAATGCTGTCGAGAAAGTCCTTCAGTGGTTACTTATCCATTGATGCAAGATGGACGCACAGGCGAAACTCGCCAAGTTGTACAGTAACTGCGCTCGATGCTGTCACAAAAAGAGTTCTTGCATGCGTGAACATCAACCATATTGGTGGAAACAGACAGCATGCTCAGTATTCCGGAGCTTCCAACAATATGGAAAGTGCTGGAACTCGAATCATCTTGAAGCAATTAAAGAAATACAATATCTTGAAAGATGTTAAAGAGATTATTAAAGACCGAGATAACAAAAGTGTCTCTGTCTTTAAAGAATTTGGCGTCTCTCATCTTGAAAGATTCGATCCAGGTCATGTATCAAAAAATATCTCAAAAGATTTTACAAAGTTCTCAGCTTCTCATAAGACAGTTGAAGTTTTCAACGACAAGACTCAGAAGATTGAAAAAATAGAGAGACCTTTCTGGGGTCTGAATGCAAGCCTAAGTATGTGGCTTTGGTCATGTTTTGCCGAAGAAAATATTGACAAACGTACGAAAATGTGGGAGAATTGTGTCTACCATTACGTAGGCAATCATTCTTTTTGCGAACCGCACAATTACAAATGCTTTGAATGGCAAAAAGGTGTCAATTCGATCCAACTTCAATTCATGCTCTATGACTGGGTTCACAAATGGACACCCATAGTTTCCAAAGTTTCTTCCATTGGATCTACCTGCATGAATGAAGCGTTTAACTCCAAAATTGCATGCTATTTGGACAAATCAAGAGCCTGGAAGAACATTAACACTAGAGTTAACGTTGCAATCTTAGAATGGAATGATCCAGAGCATTTTCTCGGAGATATACAAAAAGCATTACATCTTCCCCCACTTCCAGAAGATTGTGTCAAATCATTTGAAGAGAATTGTTACTCCAAAATGATATTGAAACAAAAAACTGTTACAAAAGGTTCTAAAAAACAGAACAAATACAAAAAATCCATTCAGAGTGTACCAGGAGGAGATTATCAAGTTTTCAAGTCCGAATGGGAATCAGAAGACGAAGACATTGATGACTTTGATTAACGAAAATTACATTTTATTTATTGTTTTTGTTTTTAATTAAATTATTATTATGCTCATTTTCTTATTTTGATTTTTTCTCATTATGATATAAATAATTTATTAATGCATTTATCCAATAATTATGCTATGATATTTTTATGCCTTATTTCATTTCTCTTATATTTGATAATCTGGTAAAATATAGTTCAGACTATAATCATTTTAGATTATTGATATATTTATATAGGTTAGAATAAAATTAGTTTCATTTTCTACTTTTATTTTGAATTAATAATTTATAATATCAAATATTATGGCGTAACCTCTCCTTTAAAATATAGATATATATAGGCCTATAGAGTTTATTGGCACTCTCAAAACTCTAGAATTTTGAGTTTACTATACCCTTAAATATATATAACTGTAAACTGCTTAATTCATTTATCTATTTAGATAAAATTATATTTATATAAGATTTCATGTTATTATTTCATCTTTATTATTTTTTTATTCCTTTGAAAAGTGACACTGGATAGTTTGTCCCTTTCTCTTTAAAAAATAATAATAATAATTAAAAATAAAAATAAAAATAAACTTTTCCATAATATTTATAAAGCAGATTTGATATATAACACATTTAGCTTAACAAAATAACTTAGAAAAATTGCCGCGCAAAAAGTGACAAAATAGAATACCTATGGTGGCAAGACAAAGGAAACATTTTTGTAAGGCAAACATTATATCAAATACCTTTACTTTGTAATAAGAAATATAATTATCACGAAATTACAAATAAATATTGTTTAATATAATTAATAGCAAAATTCTTTTTTATTATTTCCCTTAAGACCTTACTTATTAAGTATACGTATAACAAGCTTGTACTGCCTGTATTAGTTAATAGAACAAAAGAAAATGAGCTCAAATGAAAAAAATTTTCATGCTATTTTGGAAATATGCATATTCGAAGTATGAGAGTTGTAAACACTGAGAATTTTAAGCTTTGGTTGATGATAGTCTTTAATTTTTCTTGAAGTAGTAAATTATTTGATATGAAAATTTAATGGCCAGCATAATCAATCGTGCGTTTCGTTTCTTGATTGAGAAACGATGATTGTGTGCTAATGAATTATTGCGTCTGACAGGTTATGATTATGGATACCTGAAATTAAGCTTTTATGGGAAACATCACCGAGCGCCATTTGGCGCCCCTAATGCTGTTTCTATCGGTATGATTAAGGAGCTTTCTTATGCACTTTCATCACTTGAACTTGAACGCTACAAGATATATGCCCCCCTCCCAATGGGAGGTGGGAGCAAAAATTGAAATGTTTACATTGATTTTTGAATACTTTACAAGCACCCCTCCCAGTGGGCGCGGGCGCAAGTGATCGGGTCAAAAAAAATCATAAAAATATTCAAAATTGCGATTTTAATAGATGTTTAAGAAGTAAATTTATTAATAACGATATTTCATAGTACAAAATGTGTTCAATCTCTTCGTAAATCATTCAAAAAAATCAAAAGAATTTCCAAAATTCAATTTTTTTAGTAAAATTTATATCTTTTTCTATCGTCTCCTCCCCACCAGTGGGAGCCACCGGAGGCGCGGGCGGCGCCGCTGGCGCCAAAAAAGTAGCGCCCATCGTGCCATGTATAGTCTGGTATAAGTAGAAATATACTTTCTTGCCTGATCTCTCCAAAAATCAAAATCTCATCGATTCAAATTCACGATTCAGTATTAATCAACTCTTCAATAGATTTTACTAACAGCATGATATGTGTTGTATGCATTACATATTAGTTTATAACTGTTTCATCAATAATAAAAAAACAATGGAATTTCAAGAAATTTGCATCGAAAAATTGGAAAAAAGTAATAACAATAAAATAATTTTTATATAAACATTCAAAGCCATTATAATATGTAATGATAACAAGTACTTCTATATTTATTCTGCCATATTTGCTATTGCATGTGCCATATAAATTGTTCCTAGGATATTGAAGTTAAGAAGGGATGTTTGTGAATAAATTCTTGTTCCGCAAATACAATCTGGTCTAATAAATTCATAGAATTCATCTTCAAGCTCTTCTACAATTGACATAACGAATGGACAATTCTTTACTTGATTAGCTAATGCAAGAACTATTGATTGACAAGAAAGTGAACTTGCTATTGTTTTTGCAGCTCTAAAGTAGTATAAGTAATGTGTTTTCAATGCATCATGTGCATCTCTTTCACCTCTAATTGCTCTTTGAGCAATATCAGCAGGATCAATTTTATCAAGATTTATTTTTTCTCCTGTGGATTTTAAGTGATAGTATTGGTAACAGATCTTGATTCCTCTTGCAGAACAAATATCTTCATATTCTGGATCAAGTCGTCCTTGATAATTACATTTTGAAATATACTCAAGTAAATCATCTTCTTCTGCAAACATTTTATGTTTTTCCATTCGTGGAGGTATTTGAATATGTCTTAATTCTGTTGGAACTACAACAGGTTTGTCATGAAGAGGTGTTCTGGCAATTAGAGCAACTCCAAAACCAGATCCCATCGCTAAAATAGCTGTTCTTTCATTAGATAAAACAGGACCTTCTGGAGCTTTATCTTCAAACAGCTGAGCAAAATTTTCTTCAAGAATTCCTTGTTCTTTAGCTGCAATAATTCCATACGCGCATGCTTCTAAATCATTTAAGAAAACTGACCTTTCTTTTGGAAAAATACTTGAAGGAAGTTGTGAAATTGACAATGATCTATCTTCAATGGATCCATTCCAATTTGTAATGGTAACTGTGTTATTTTTGATTGGTCCTGCAAAAGAAATTGCTGAACCGAGACAAATCACTTGGGAATCGACTTGTAAGAGTTCTTCCTGAAGATCTTGTAGTACTTGTATAATCTTATATGTTGTATTTGCTTTTTCATGGCCAATATCGATGAATCGTGAAGGATTGTTAAAATCTGAAAGTCTAACTTTTAATACTGATATTCCAACATCACATCCGATACAAATTGGAATTGAATCATTTGTTTTCCATTCTTTTATTTTCTGTATGCGTTCGAAATCGAACATTTTGTTTACAAATGATGTGTTCAATTCAAAAAAAGTCTTCACAAAATTATAACGATGCCTTCAAATTATAAAAATAATGAAATGTTTAGAATTACGATTTATAAAAAATTTTCCAAATTTGACAATAAGAATATGATTTGAAAGATTGAAACCGAAAAATTTAGAATGGGAAATTTTTCAAGTTTAAAAATGGATAGTGCACGTGTGTGCAGATATTGTGATAAGATTATTCAGCCTGACATGCTATTGAAATAAAACATTTCAAAAAAGTTCAATATTTTATGGTCTTGATTGTTCCAAAATCATCAGTTGTTTAAATGCACAGAAATAGCTATAATACAATATTATCAATAACTGAATGATAACAAATAGAAAATTGATAAAACATTTACAATATGGTATGTACAATCATTTTCCGGTGTAAATATAGTTAATAATGATTTTTTTTATCGATCAGAATTGAAAAAGCAAATAAGTTACTGTTAAAATTCTTATTCGTATTAAAATCTTTGTTTGTGTATGCATTTTCTTTGCACTGTTCTTTTCGAGAAAGAAAATGCCCAAATCTTTAAAATAATACATATAATTTTCAAGAAATTGGTGAATAATGAATTATATAGGATAGAATAGGTATGATTTGATGGGTGAAACAATAGGATCAATCAAATAATGCTTTTATTTGAATGATGATTTGAATTAGCTCTTTTTTTATTATTAAGGGCTTAAATATGTATTAAGATGTGTCACTACAAGTTATAAATTCATCACCAATCCTGTGTTTACTTGATTCAACAGTTTTGTTAAGTTGCACATCAAAAGTTTTCTTTGATTTTTAGGCAGTTTCAATATCAAGCTCGACAAGTAGAATTTATCAAGTCGGGTTTTAGAAAATTTGAGCTAATTTATGTAAGAATGCAACACACCTACATCGATAGCATAGAAAGATAGAATGCTTTTGTTAATCACAAATTGATCTCGCAATTTCAAATGTCGAATAAAGAGCATTGTCAGCGTTTGTTCAAGATCTAAAAGAATGTATTATTGATAGTCAATGAATGTGGAATAGATTTTTAATGATTTAGCATTGCTTTTATTAGGAGAATTTTGTATTGACGATAACAGCGTGTCAAGTTATTTCAGATGATTGTTTTATATAATTCGTATCAGGATGAGAAATATAACATCTCACAAAGGAAAAAAATATCTCTATTTCTATAAGAAACAATGATTTTATTTGCATATGTGCATAATGTTCAACAGAGTTTTTGATTGCAGATCTAATGAAATAATGTGAAAGTTACAAAATAATATGGAAATCATTCAATTAATGATGATCATTTTTAATTGTTTCATTCAATAAGAAACTTGTGCTAAGCTAATCTATTTGAAGTTTTAAGTCTCTAGATAATGATCAAAGAAAGCAAAGACTCTTCTGATATTCATGAAACATGAAAGTTGTCTTTTTCATATTGTTATCAATTAGTCATAGATTTCTGGTTCTATAATCATTACCATAATGTTTAAAGCACATAACCTTGCTTCGTTCTAATGCTAAAAATGTTAGATATCACTCATGAAATAAAAAAGTAAAAAAGAAAATGAAAAAATGGGGCGAGCCGGGAATTGAACCCGGGACCTCCTGTACCCAAAACAGGAATCATACCACTAGACTACTCACCCGCTGCACACTTAATTTTTAAATACCAGTATATCCAATTAAAATCCCAAATTCACTTCATTTTTAAAATTTTCTTGAACAAAACATTTGAAAAATCAATGAATATTACTCGAAATACAAACAATTGTTTATATGGAAAATCAACACAGCATTATTGTCCATTAAAAGAGAAACCTTCGAATTCTTTGTTGCAAGACAAAGGAGAACCAACACTATCTGTTGGTGTTTCTTGTGTAAACTCTGTAGAGAAGTTAACTGGATCAGTTCTTCTTAGAGAAATCGGTACAAATATTGGTTTTACCTTTTTCTGGAGATAATCATCGAAATCACGTCCTTGGAAGAATGGATGACTCTTAATTTGCTCAAATCCGAATCTTTCACTCGGATTCTTCTGAAGTAATCCAAGAATTAAAGACTGTGCGTCAGGATTTGCGTTTCTAGGGAAAGAAACACGGCACGTAGCGATCATCATCAACAGCACACTCTTATTTTCATTAACAAACGGTTGAACGCCGAACAGCATCTCGTACATCAGAATTCCAAGAGACCACCAGTCAACTGCTGGTCCGTAGCGTGTATGAGTGATTATTTCCGGTGCCATGTAGTTAGGAGACCCGCATAATGTCGATGTTGTGTCTTCTTCCATCTCTTTTGACAAACCAAAATCCGTAATTTTCACGTGGCCTTCAGAATCGAGGAGAATGTTCTCGGGTTTGATATCTCTGTATATAATGTTATTGTCGTGTAGATATTCGATAGCTAAAGCAAGCTCAGCAACATAGATTCTGACGTCATGTATGTGAAACGCTCCTTTTCTTTCGAGATGGAAGAATAGTTCGCCTCCAGGAGCGTACTCCATCGCGAAATATAGTTTTGTCGGTGTCTGAAATGTTGTTTTAAGGGAAACAATGAAAGGATGATGAACTCGGACTAATACATTCCTTTCTGTAAGAGCATTTTGAACTTTATCGCTATTGACTAACATCTTCTTGTGTATTGTCTTGATTGCGTATAGTTCTTTTGTTGTATTTTCTTCACAAAGCATAACTTTTCCGTAATAACCGCGGCCGAGGACGGATATGATTCTGAAATCAGCCATACTCATTCCGACTCTATTCATTGTAGCACCGATGATTAAAAATGCCCATTTGTTGAGAACAGGTTCATCTGGAGAAGAAAGTGTGATAACTTCGTTCTTGTCAGTGATAATATGTATGCGTGGTGGTGGTTTTTTGTCGTCAATTTCTACTTTAACGTCTCCTGTTAGTGAAACGAAATTTTCGTAATCTTCGCCTTGTGATTTTTGAATCATGAGTTTGTTCTCTGTTAATATGCAGTATCTCCTGTGCCACAACGAGTTTTCGGGATCTTTCTTATGCAACCATCCTTCAATTGTTGTGTTCATTTTGAACAGAAAATTCAATTGTTCAAATTTCATTAATTTTGGAATCGTAAAAGATATTTGTTGCTATGTATATTTTAATGTGTCACAACAAAATTGGGGAATTTCGATAATCGTTTCAATCAGAAAAAAAGATGATCCATAGTTTTTCTTATAAGCGCAACATATGTTTGAACATTTACTATAACATAAGAAAAGCACTAAAATATTGATGGAATAAGCCACTCGTTTTTAGTTAATATTTATATAAGATTTCATGTTATAATTTAAATGAAGAAGTAATTTAAAACGATTTTATTTATGATCAAATTTTATATATTTTTTTGGATCAAATCCATTTTAATAGAATTTATATACTATTCATCTATTAGTAAACACTACCGTATATTATTTTTTAAGCTATCTTATTTTTTGAAATTTTATTCAAATCTTTGGTCGCAAGAAGAATTGCATGATAAATAAAAACATTTAATCAAAGTCAATTTTATTTTTCATATTCAAATGGACTGAGTGTTAACATTTAACATTTTTTGCTAATTGTCGTCAAAAATTAGGCGTAAAGCAAAAATTGATATTTCATATGGTTTTATGATAGATAAGCATTATATTCCCACTCATTATATTCGTAAATTTTGAGGTTTATCCTTCGCTTTTAAGATCATTGAATTTGATTTTTATATAAAATAGTTATATATTAGAAAATAATATGAGTTTATGTGATATTATTTTTCAGAAGATTTCATTCTATATGCCTATGAAAAGTACTCTCAAAACTAACTTTTTCCTAATTATAATTAAATCTAGAATATTGTATTATGCTTAGTATTATTTCATTTTTCTCATTCAATTTAGAATTTACAAATGTCAAAAAATTGAGAGCTGCCACTTTTGATGAATTTCTGTTTATTACAGTACTTTAAAGGTACTTTTAAAAAAGAAACAATTAATGTAAAAGATTCAAATAATTTTTTATTAAGAGGTAGGGCAACGATAGAAAATTTTTGGAAAAAAAGTTCGGAGATCTTAAACGTATCATATTCCCTGCATGGTTTGGTATCTTCCGCCATGCGTTGTGCCAAACATATTGACACTTTCCAATAATTAATTTATGGTATGAGTCACAGAGTTAGATTATAAAAAGAAAGTAAATAATTGCAATTAGAAATCATATATGTCGGAAATCAAATGTTGATGAGCAGAAACCTTTTACTCATCATAAAAGAGATAAATCACTAAAGATTTGTATACATTAAAATTTGATATTTGGTGCTCGAAAACTGTCTGATGGGACTCCTCCAAAATGAACCAATCTATCGCTGAGGACCAAATTAGATGATGTGGATGGTGTATTCTCTAATTCTAACTTAGGAAGAATGGGAACAAAACGAATGACGACAACAACATGTCAAACATAGATTAAATATCTATGAATCAATAAAGTATACGTGCATTGAAGGTGATAACGATCACTTGAGGCTTATAACTCTTTGACTAAATTATGCAATAATTAAATATAATCATTTTTATATTTTTATACTGATAGTAATTAATATACTATCCTGCTTAATAAATGGTATGATCAAATTTGTTTGAAAATTTAATTATGTATATGAAACTATGTCTTCTATATAAAAATCAAAATTTTCGGACGAACCTAGATTGAACCTTTATGAAAATCTATCATTTTTGTTAATTGAGTTAATATGAATCTTTTACATATGTATATATAGCATTGATAGCTTATATAATCATGGTTTATTCCATATTAACATATTTTTTCAGTTAAATTTGTTAATAATATCATGTAACAAATTAATTCAAGATTAGAATGTCTACAAAATGCTAACAAATAAGAACAAAATACGATTTCTCGACTTAAATTTTAATATGGAGTAGTTTTTCGTTTAAATCTAATTAAAAATGAATAAAAACCTATCTTGTACTATTTTCATTCAAAGATTTTAATAATGTAAATTATGCATTTTCATAATTCAGTACAGTTCTTTTTAGAATTAAAGTTGATGAGGATGATATTTGTGATTTAAAATAATTTGTTAATGTTCACCTTTTATTCATCACCTTGTGGTATGCCCTAAAGCAATAGCATTATCAATTCTGCTGAATTGATCAACTCAAAATTCCAAAAAAAATTCAAAATTTCAAAAAATGAAATTAAACAATTTAAATTTTCACATGAAAAAATCAATTTCGAAAAAAATTTGGAAAATCAAAGTATTTGATAATTAGTCAAATAATCAATTTACATCGTTTTTACTCATAAAAAACAACTAATTTTTGATTTTGATATCATATTTGATAAATACTCATTCCAGAGTTGACGTAATGTATTAATTATTGTTAGAGATATTGCTTTCGCAGCAAAATTCTTATTTCATGAAAGAAAAAAAAAATGATTTTATTCCAACAAAAACAAGTAAACAGATGAATGGAAACGTACTATATTTTCATAAATGTAGTAATCAGCGTGTCAGCTTTTGTTTATCATGTTCGAGTCAAAATGTATTAACTTGTAATAAGAAATATTCGAAGATTATATGAAGTATTGAGCATTCTTTGTAGAAATATTTGTAATTCATTACTAACATATATAATAAAGTTGTTTTTTTTCCTTATTGCAATAATTTTGTCTGATTTTAATAACTTTTCATGTATACGAGTTGTGTGAATATGCATCATAATATGCGTAAATATACTTATTTGCGACGAATAATGTGGTTGCATAATGGAGGTGCTAAATTTTGATTTTTAATATGGGGCTTTGGTATGTATAATCATGTTCTTATCTCAACGTAGGAGTATTGGTGCAATATGATTAAAATTTACGAGGTTGATCTTAAATTGAATAATTCTGGAGTATAAATCACAATGCAGCTAATTCTATGTTAAAGATAGATACAGATTGTAGTAATCAATTAGGGAGTACAAATTCATTCTTTCATTTCTGTCGTATTGAGCAGAAAGGAAGAGATCATAACCCTAGGAAAAAAAGCCCAAATTTGTCACTTTTCATAGTACGTTAAACTCAATTCGCTCGGCGAATGCCGAGCACACGTACTCATCATTCAACATAATATTCTCATTCTTTGGTTATTATAGTGCCAGACAACACAAGATTTCAAAGAATTACTTGAGTTTTCAATTAATCTTAATCCGATTTTAGATTTATCGAGAACTCCATCATCACAATCACATACTTCAGTGCGGTAACTACAATTATCCATATACAGAAGGAAGTTCTTTTCGAACAACTCATTTGGAGTCTGTTTTGGAAAGAACTTCTTTCTGTCCGACTTAATTTCATAGTTCCTGATCAACCAAAAGACAGAAACCACACACTATCTACTTAGGAAAGGAGTTCTTTCTAAATCTTCCTTAAATTGAGATTTTACGAGAGATAACCCTTCTATTGCACTTAAAAATGAACATTTTGATATCTTTAGTATCACACATGGTCATATATAGTATTTCATCTACATGAATACATTCATCTTTCGAAGTCTCTCATTAAATGGGAGGCTTCGAAAGATGAATCGTTTTATTCATACAACTTTAAATCTCGAACACATTTAGAGAGTGAGTATATCATTTTATTTCTTGTTTTGAGTTTATTCTGATTCAAAATTGCAGTGAAAACAGAAGTTCACACATCATATCTGAATGTGAGCTCATCTATACTTATACGATCTCAATACTCCACTCTAAGCATAAGAGGTGAAGTTATATAAAAATTATCAGATGCGTTGAAGTCTCAAAAGTATTGCCTGAATGCTTGTTTCATATTTGTCCAAGTAGTTTCAATGAATAAATGTATTGTTTTTTATAATTTCGATTTATTTTTAGAAAATATTCAATATAACCTTTATTGTGTTATTTACATCTCATAAATTCTCTGTCTAAATCATATAAAAGCGCGTTTTACCCCTATGAATCAAGAAATTCATTCAATATTCATGGTATATTTATTAAATTTATACGATTTACTAATAATCAATATTATATCCTCATAAATAGCAATATATTTTGGTAATCTATGATAATCATATACAATATTTGAAATCAAATTTTCATTAGTTTAGGTTCCTTGTTAATAGTAAACCATTATATTTATTACTAATAATAAAATCTATGTGTCGTATTGAAATTCAATAAAATTACTTATTCGGTCCAAAAAAACAAATTAGATAAAATTTTTCTTTTTTTATGTAATTTTTGTTTTTCATTTTTCTCAAGATCCTAAGTTATGTTCTAACTTTTGACATCATATCCTATCATGCTAGGCTATATATTATAGCATATCCAAAAGGCAAGGAAATCTATCAGAGAAGCCTTTTTGACCTATCGTTGCCCTACCTCTTTTATTATTATTTTATTAATTTTTTAAAATAAGGTTAATAAAAAAGTGACACTGTATCGTTTGTCCCACACTCTCTGTTAACCTTCAATTTATGACAGATGATCTACAGATTTCTATAATTGGATCTAATCACGATAAATTTTTTCGCTTACTAAAAGTAACCCAATTTTTATTCCGTAATTTTCAATTATGAAGTAAAATCAGTGTAATGCATGAAAATTCGGTTCACTTCATTTTTGACACTTTACATATCGGATGTATTATCTAAGAATTATATTATAAAATAATAATTTTGTGTTTTATAAGTTTATTTGTATAAATTGATTCAAAAAAAATGGAAAGACAAGAAGTGGATCTGCCAAATGAAAATCAGATTTATAGTTTTAGAGAGTTACATACATGAAATATGAAAATTGAACTTTGTATAAGGAATTGTTGGCTATGATGTACTGATTCATGATCAGTACATCATAGCCAACAATTCCTTCGCAAACAGCGGGAAACTTTGTCTGAATAGTTTAACATTCAGACAAAGTTTCCCGCTGTCAGAGAGGGAATGGAAGGGTAAGAGGTATATATTCATAATGTATACCTCTTACCCTTTCATTCCCTCGAGAAAGTTCAAAAACTTGGTGCAATCAGTTCTGATTGCACCCAAGTTTTTGAACTTTGTATAAGGAATTGTTGGCTATGATGTACTGATCATGAATCAGTACATCATAGCCAACAATTCCTTCCCAAACAACCCGAAATTTGTCTGATTCCACACTAATTTTATTAATTTATCTAAACTTTTATCCTCGTCTACAATTTAATCATCAATAATTATCTCTTGTTCTATTTCACTATTATATATATATATATTTATATGATTTGATTTAAAAAAAAAAATAAATAAATTAATAAATCATTTACTCAAATATATCAAAAGTTTTATTTTTATATATAAAGATAACTACTTTTAAAAAAAAATACCCTATATATTTTTGCCATGTAAACTATTTTTGTCATGTAAACTTGTCACTTTCTGTCAGAAGTGAAGTGAACCGAATTTTCATGCACAACAATTAAGTAAAATCAGAATCCGAATTTTCTGAAAATTATATTTACGCTGCATAATTTAAATGATCATCAGCTCAAACATGTGAAAAATCTATTAATCAGTACTGTAAGGATTATTTTCCCCATATCGATCAGAAAGATTAAATATTACTTAGATTAAGCCGAGCAGAATACACACAAAAAATATCCTATTGGAAGACAATCAGAATTCCTAAGGAGATCAGTGAATATATGAATTTTTTTCTGCCGATATTTCATAGTAATTTTTTTAACGAAGATTTACGCATGTCTGCTCAATTACTATGCATGTAAATCATGAAAGTAGCATGAGTATATGATTTATGCAGCTTTCAAGTATGATTGCCTAATTGGGTGAAAAAAGTTTGAACTTATTTTATATTACAACAAAATCCTTTATAATTTTCTTTTATGAGTCATATCTGATCATAAATGCCAGAAATGAAGTAACAGATTTGACCATCGTATTGTCAAAAATTTAAGTAAACTATTGAAAAAAATTATAGATCAATTTTTTTTTGTAACTTTTTTTTTGGGATGGAAAATGACGAAATTTTACAGATAGTTTCAATATTATCTGTAAAATTTCCGGATAATATTCCTGAGGAGTTTGCAACACTACCCATCGTTGATATCCTTAAAAATACAACATTTCCAGATATAAAACACTTTGAAACGGTGGGAATCTCTGTTTCTCAGCTCCAAAAGAAATCCAATGCCGAAATATCGAAATCCCTGCTCTTTGAATTTAACTTTTCTACTGAAGTTTTGGAATTTTTCATTTCATATACTTCCAAGACTCCAGAAGCAGAGTATTACATCGATGTATACATACTAGTATCATTTGCATACTGGTTTCTTCAGTATGAGCAGACAAAATCCTCAGAAAATGCATTACTTTTATTAAAATCGATGCATCGAATCGTAAATACGAATTTCAAGAAGAAATCAACCCAACTTTTTTCTATTATAATGAATGTTTACATAAATTCACCACAATTCGTTTCAAAAGAAGTTATGCCATTAATACCGAGAATTATACAAGAATTGAAGACGGAATGGATGTATTTTTCTAAATGGGTACTAACATTTATCTCAATATTACTACAACCCGAAAACAAAACTTTATTTGAAGAATTTGCTTCCGAATTAACCCCAGAAGTCAACAAATCCACAGATCCAATCAAGCAAAGCGAGTTTACATCACTCTGCCACATTCTAGGCCGAGATATCATGGAATTAAACAACACAGAGATAAAAGTCTTCACAGCTTTCATTCATCATTATAAAGAACCGATAGGAACAGATTTCTTGGATTTCGCAATTGTATCGTCTTTTTTAAAGACATTTATTCCAACTTCTTTTGGAAAAACTACAGATCAGCCAGAAATACCGGAAATCGGGTTCCACCAAGGCATTTTGTATTCCGTCGATGTTACAAAGCTCTTTGACAAGCTTCCTGTTCAATTTGATGACGTTTCTTACTTTGAATTTCAAATTAAACCGGAATTTAAAGAGCAACATGAGAATTTACTTAGTATACTTACAGAGAAATGCAGCGTGATGGATATCATGACACTTATGAAGAAGTGGATCGCTCAGTTGGGCACAGAAGAAACAATTTTAAATAATATTTCATTTTTTACTTACATTTTGGATAAAATGGACATGACACCAGATGAAGTAAGGGAATACATCAAAACTGTGGCCGAAACATGTGCTTTTTCTGCAACAATTTACGTAACAAATATTATTAAGCTGCAAAGGTCAATTGTATACATCACAAGGAAGGCACAGTTCTCGGGCATCCCATTTCTCGTCAAAACAATCAAGAATCATAAGATAATTTACAACATTGTTCGAGTTTTGTTTGTAAACTTCGATTTGCTCGGAAAAGAGATTTTCAATTCATCGGAAATTCTCAAATCTATCGTCCAACTGTTTTTTTCTGCGGTAGAAACTCAAGGAACCGAAAAAATTTTGAATGATGTTTATTTATTCGTAATGAAGACGATAAACGTCAGTGAGAATGCTAATGTATGTTTCTCATTGCTCGAATTCAACTCCCTCATTGTTTATTTCATAATTGATGACTTAATTCGACCAAAAGTTTTAGAATTTCTCAAAACCTTCATGTTAAATGAGCTTTCGAGCTTCGGAATGGCCTTTCCATCCGCTGTATCAAGTCTCCTGCAAACTCTGACCGTCCAATACAGTTTTGCTCACTCAAGAAATATTGCGAACGAAATTTTGGAGACATTGAACTACTGTTTGCTCGAGAGACCCGCTCTTGTCCTAATGTTCTCAAATATACACCCAGTTCTCAAGTTGTTGCTTCAAAATATTGGAGAATCTGATATCGACTACAAAATTTTAGTAAATATCATAAAGTTCACAAAAATAGTCATTTCGGATGTGAACTGTGATCCATCCATCATTCAAATCATTATTAAGAAAACTCTGATAATGAAAAATGAAAATTTCCATGATGCCGTGCAATCTGAGCTATACGAGCTTGCAATTTATAAGAATCCGATGGAGATTATCAGGTTTAGCTCCCTTTTGACCATAATTTTGCAGAGATATAAATCAAAAGAAGATAAAATTTTATTTATAAGGATGATACACGCTATAATCAAAGTATCAAGGAATAACTTGATGGAATTACTCAATTCCAAGTTCGATGAGTATCTTTTGGACGAAATTGCGAATTTCGGAACAAATGAAGGTAATAACGACGAATTGGTTGAAGCTTACCTTGATTTATTGACAGAGATACACTCAAAGGCCGCATCCACAGCCAGTGTTTCTAAATATATTACGTTGTTTTCGCCTTATGAAGGGAAATACATTCATCCCAACATTTTATCGATATATAACCACTTTATAGAGACTGTTGAGAGATATATGATAGAACCCGTACCTTATATTCCATTAAAATCAGGTTCTCCGACGATTGAAATGACAATTAAGGAAAAATCCTTCATTTTATCGGTTTATATGTTCATAGAACCATATAATTGTATTAATTATGACACAATATGGACCGTAAAAGCCGCAAATACCACTGTTTCTTTATGTATTCAAAATTTGAAGTTTGTTTTCAGTTTTAACTTCAAAAACAACTTACAATCATTGAATATAAGGAAACAGAATATGGGATATTGGTTCTGGTTGAACGTATTGATCTCTTTTGAACCTAATTTAATAAGATTGAAATTTATTGACGAAAATGTTGATGATATTGTATTTCCTTTCGAGTACAACAACGAAGATATCATCATTACAGTCGGTCCGTCCAATCCAAAGAACAATCAAGTGCCAATTGCCTACATTTCGGATGCAATTATTTCAAAATCAGACCAACAACCATTGAATTTCAAAAACCATGATAACCATATCGCTTATTTCACTTTATCCGAGAAGAACAGAAGGATAAACCTCAAATCTCCCTTCGAAACAATAAAATTAGTTGGGCCAACTAACATTAGAAGCTCTGCATTCCCAAGTATCTTCGCGCACACTGTTGGATTTCGTTTCTTCTCCATTATATTCGCGGAAGAAAACATGCAGGCCGTGAATAAGAGAAAAATTGAAAATTTATTAATACATATCTTGAAAGGATTAACAAGATTGTTTCAGGCTTATACTAGATTAGAGTTCTACTTCTTCAAAGGAGACTGCACTGCTGTTTTATGCTACTTTTTGATGAATCATGAAAAAACAATAGAATTATTTACAACGATCAAAGAGTTTTCACTTGCATTGCATTATACAAAACTCAAGAATGAAGTATTTAAGAACGTTTTGCTTTCTTTTCTTATTTGGAGAACAGCTCCTCAAAATGTTTTAGTTCACGTGACTTCCCAGTGGATTTCCTTACTCACCAAGCAAACTTATCCATTGTTTGAAGACGCCATCCCTTTAATTGCCGTTTTAAGAGAAATAAGATTACAATCTTCCCTAGAAGAGCCTTGTATCCCCATTATTTCCAATTATTCGGCAATTGCGTCCAACATGATCTTGCTTGCGAACACTAGTTATAACTTTGAATGCTTAGTTGGAGAAATTGTTTCATCATCAACGGCTCAACAAACAATTATGCTAAATACTATTCTCCAATCTGTTCTAACGAGTGAACACATTGCGGAAAGCCATGTTCGCGATAAAGAAGCCTGCTTTTTCTTGTTACAATCAATTTTACGAATTCCCGATGAAAGCTTATTAATAATGATACTTGATTGCATCATATTAGCCCATACACGCCATATTTTTGATACAATTCCTTTATTTTACCACGTAACAATTGTTCAACGGATGATTTTGCCAGAAATGCTTTCAATGAACGCCATAAATCTCATTTCGGCCAAGACGAGTTGCACTAGCGAGTTAGTTGGTATTTTGGTGAAGATGGCGTCTCAAATTGGCCAAGAAGCACTAAATTCTGCCGCAAAATCGATAAAATTGAATGATTCCTTCTCTTCCATTGAATTAGTCAGCTTCGTTAACGAGCTTTTCTTTTATTCCGATAAATCTTCGCTCACAAAATATTTTGAATTTCTGGATAAGTTTGTTCCCAACGCTTTACAGATATTGAAGGCGAACGAGATATTCGAAATATTCCTTACAAGTGAATACGCGTTACATCTGATGCAAACAAATAACACAAACTATACTTTGGATGAAATTATTTCGATGATTTTATTTACGTGCAAGAAAAACATATCGGAAAATTTCTACAAGGCCTACCAGAACAGCCCATTCAGCAAACAGAAGAAAAGAGCCAAAATTTTCATACCATTAGAAGAAAAAATTTTGAATATGGTCAAAGTCAATCCCAGCTACGTTTATTACATCCGATTAGATCAGAATAATAAATGGATGGACCACTACCTGGCCAAAATCATTCTAGATAAGGCTCTTCAGGAGCAAACGAAAACAGACAATTTCCCAATCGACGAAAACCTCAAAGACCTTCTTATTCTTACAATGGTAAGGTGCGGAGACGAAAGTTTCGCTCATTTACTCAAAGATCCGACGGTTTTGATGGTTGCGGACTATTTTAGGTTCAATTTCACTCATTCCGAGAAATATATAGCAAATATACAGATGCCGAAGATAATAAAGTACTTCGAGACCATTGAATTCCCTTACGAAAAGAAAGTTGGAAAGATTTACACTTATTTACACGAATACTTAACAAATCAAGAAGATATTGTAAATAAGAATATGCAGATGACGAAAGCTGATGAGTTCATTGATGGATATTACGCGGAAAACTCTAAAACTTTCGATTCTTTCCAAGATTTGACGAAATCATATGAAATTAAATGGAAGAAGTTGTTAAGAGAGTTCACTCAGAAGCACGCTCCATGGTATCAGTACTTTGTCCCTGAAAATGAACGTAAAACCCATTTAATGCGCGATGATGTGATTGTTAAAGGTGTTCCATGCAAATTAATCATGAATTCGAACTTCGATGACCATCTGATGGCCTCCCTGATCAGAGATACCGGCGGACAGAAGGAAGCTGAGAAATTAATGCAAGAAAGACTATTACAAGAACAGAACATTAATAAGAAGAAGATCATTCCTATCGGAATCGAAATTCCTAAGTTCGATTCAGAAAAAGAAGCGAATTCCCCTTCAAAGAAAGATAAAATCAAAGAAAAGTCATTTGACTGTCAAAAAGTGACAGTTACGGGCGTAGAAGAATGTAAACTTGAATTTGGACTTTTTATATCGATTAAGACAGCGAAATCAACAATTTCGTTTGAGAAAGAAGAAGTACAAGCCATATACCTTAGAACATTCTTACAGAAACCAACAGCTTTGGAGATTTTCCTTGATTATGTAAGTTATTTCCTTAATTTCGACATTTCAGTTCTTAATAATGTCTTCAAGTACTTCGAGAAGGTCATACCAAGGAACGTTGTCGACAACAAACTGCCAAAAGTTGTGTTTTCAAGTCTAGATTTCACAGATAAGTGGATCAGCGGCGAAATCACTAATTTCGAGTATCTCATCGCTCTAAACAAATACTCCGGACGTTCCTTCAACGATCCAGCCCAGTATCCAATGATGCCGTGGGTCATATTAGACTATGACTCAGAAAAAATAGATTTGAACGATAAAAAACTTTACAGGAACATGTCAAAACCGGTTGGAGCGTTAGATAACGATAGATTGGAGATTTTGAAGAAAAATGCAGACAATAGAAACGTTGGACTTCCAAAAGAGAACTGGTTCTTGTACGGAACAGGTCCAATATGTCCAATGCAGGTCTACGGCTACTTCGTGAGGCTGGAACCATTCACTTCTATGCACATTCAGTTCCAAGGAGGGAAATTCGACAATTCCAGCCGAATTTTCAAGTCAATACAGCAGTGCTTCAAGAATTGCACACATAACTTGCAGTCTTTCTACGAATTGACCCCCGAATTCTACATTTCGCCTGAATTTCTGACGAATTCAGAACATTTCGACCTCGGAACAGGAGATGAAGGCAATGTTAAGCTTCCTAGCTGGTCTAAAACAGATTACGAGTTCATCTATTTGAATAGAAAGGCCCTGGAATCAGATTTCGTATCATCAAACTTACATAACTGGATAGATCTCATCTGGGGATACAAACAGAACGGCCAGAAGGCGATAGAAGCAGATAACGTGTTCGATCCAAGTATGTACGAGACGTTTGTCGTAAAAGACTCAGATATCGCGTTGAAATTGCATACAGAGACCGTTAGAAAGGAAGTTGGGCAGATTCCGACGCAGATGTTCTTCGAGCCTCACAAGCAGAGGAACGTAGTAAAGAATTCCTTCCAGATTTTGAAGGAAATTTCGATAAATTTAGGCGAAATGCAATCGTTAGGATGGATCGTGTCACAGCAAGTTGACAGTAAATTGTCTCTCAAAGTAATAATGTTCTCTAATAGTAATTTGGACATTTTCTACAAGATTAACCTCGGAACATCAGATTTCGACGTAGAAGAGAGATTCCAAGCACCTGTAAAGAATTTCGAGCACATGGCTGCAAAGTCCTTCGAGAAAATCTTCACTTATGACATAGAAAACAATACAATTTCCTCATTTAACTATTTCAAAAAAACCGTCAAAAATTCAGAGCAACTTTACGGTTTTGTTAACAATTTATCCACTGATGGAAATTATGTTTCTGTGGCTAGTGACGACGGAACAATATTAATTTTAGATTCTGACACTTTACAAACGGTTTTCAGATTGAGTACCTATGGTGATTCTCCTATTTTGATTGATATTAATTCTGTATTTGATTTAGTAGTTGTCAGCACAGAATTAGGCTCATTACACTTCATTTCTCTTCATCATCAGTCGATTCTGAGAACTGTTTATTTGCAAGGCAAAATCTCACTTCTTAAGATCAGTCCTGGCTGGGGATTTGTCCTTGTTTACGTCGTGAGGGGCGAAGAGAGCGAGTTTCGCCTTTATTCGATGAACGGAGAGTTAATTAGATCTTCTGTCATGACAGATCAGATCAAAGACATTGTTTTGTACTCAGATAGAAATGGATTTGACTTCTGCATCTGTTTGACACAGAAATGGAAAGTTTTCACATTCGAACTTTTTTATTTGATGCAACAGACAAAAATTTTGTTTTACGGGAATTTCCCGTTGATGAAAATCGAATTCGTCAAAGATATTAATTGCGTTATTTGCTTCGGAAAGAAATCAAAGGTTGTTGTTGTACCTATTTAACTTGTTATTTTATATATTTTTATATGTGTATTTTATTTCTTTAAATCATTTATGTTTATTTTATTTTTAATTTAATTTTGTCACGTTTTAGCACATCAAAATTGAATCTATTGGCACTTTTTTATGTGATAAGAACACATCCATAAGTAAGTAAAATAATCACGTTTATTATATTTATGTTTATTATTATTATGATTGTGTTTCGAAAAATAAAATAAATAAAAGGAAATATGAAAAGTGTGAGCGATTGGTAGAAACACAAGAAGGATAGATGATGCTGTCCAGAATTGTGATAATAAGACGACCGTTGCCTTCCCAGATGCCAGGATATGTCTTGACATCACTAAAAAGATATCCATTATCAAGACTGAATGAATATGGACGACTATCATTTATGTTGTAAAAGCTATCTGTTGCTGTAATGTTTCCTTGAGGGATGATTGCATTCTTCGAGAGTGCCCATGAACTTCCTCCTCCTGAACCTCCGTTTCCGTTGAGACCTGCAAATCCTCCAAACCAACCACTTCCTGCACCTGGTCTATCATATCCTCCATCACCTTTTGTAACTCCATTTTTATTTTTCGAACCATCTTTTTGAGCAGATTCTCCGGATCCAAATGTAAACCCAGAGCTGGAATTAGCAATTTTCTCTGAATTCAGGACGCCATCTACCCAATAACCTTGAGTAGTAAATCCACCTCCTGAACCACCTGAACCATCATCACCTTTCTTATATGTATCAATATAATAATAATTATCAGAACCACCTCCAGCACCAGCTACAATAACACGATGCCAAAGATCGTTTGACAGGAATTTGACAGCGGTTTGACCACCGCCACTTCCCGAGCCATAATCTTTATCAGAACCATAGTAATTAAAGGCAGAACCTCCTCCTCCATAACCGCCTTTAATCATCATATTAACATCAAAATTATTTGCATTCGGATTGTATATAAATGCTCCTTGACCACCTATCGTCGCAAATGCGGTTAGAGATGAAGAAATTTTTACTATACCTGAGATATAGCCACCAGCGCCGCCACGGCTGCTTACTTGATGACATTTCGCGTTTCCATTAAGAAATTTTACAATGTCCTGACTTATACAATTTCCGTTTTCATCAATATGTGTTGATGTATGGCCAGCAGCTGCGCCTCCTGATGCACCATAGAGTTCAAATTTATAGACGCCGGGATGAAATTCAATGACATATTCGGTACATTCGAAATTTGTTGGACATGGATAATCGAATGTATATGTCCTTGTGACATCATTCTCACTCACATTTGTATTATATTTTGATTGATCTAATAACTTATATGATAAAATTGGAAATCAGTCACAATTTCGAAAATACTTTTATAAAAATGATTAATCAATCAATAAAAATATCATAATTTGAAATTTCATATAATAATACCAAATCTTTTCTTGTTTTTTATTAAAGTTACGATTTTTCAAAAATGTATCAGAGCAAGAATCTTAATTTCGAATGCATTGAAGCTCGTATCAGCGATCACACTAAGAGTGAAAACTTCTTTTGATACGTTTGAGATCGGAATTATCAATACATTCATGAAATCTCCTGAAATAATCTTCATCAACTATTAATGCCAAAGAATTATATATTTGCATACAAAATACAAAAGTTATCCTGAATTCGCTCACAAAATACATGGAATTCAATATATTTGATGATATGATTGAAGTTTCATAACAAAGTGAGAAAACAATAATTATTTCTACGAATGAAATTGATAATAAGATCGATTTATAAGATTGCGAAAGTATAATAATCTTGATGCATTTTTAGTTTATTTCGATCAAACTAACGACCTCAATAATTGTTTTATTTATTCAACAATGTTTAATATTTCATCCCAATGAGAATATTTCCATGGAGTTAACTCGATGCCAATACAAAAGATAAAAATAAGCAATGCAATGCACTCAATAAAAACAATAAAGAATTCATTGAATCAAAAAAAAAGATTAATCAAAAAGGAGAATATGGTCATACTGCCCTTCATATTGCAGCAAGTTAGGTTACAAAGAAATGGCTGAAATGCATTTTTCACATTGGACAAGTTACAATGAAAAATAGAGTACCCGAAAAAAGTTGTAGACGCTGAAATAAGTTGTATACGGGGAATTTCTTAATGCAAAATTGTTGGAAACAACACAAAGGATCATATCGCATGCTAAATTCATGTTTTAGCAAAAAGCATCCAATATCAAATTACGATTTGATAGAAATTTATTTAAATAATAATAAAACTGGTTTGTTTAATTAATTTAACTAATAATTAAGCTTTATTCATTATACATACTTGTTTTAAATTGGAATAAAATTTATAAATTTAATTTTTGACCTTCTATAGGTAGAATTGTATCATCTTCCTGTGTATCTATCTTCAATGTGTATTTTATTCCTTGGGCAAAGACTTCATTCAGTTTTTAATCTTTGTAAAGATTGCATTTGTACAAATGGTATAGGATACGTAATTATACAATAATCGCCTATACAACAACTTTTGATTCATTTACATCAGGATTGGAAGACTGAATTGTAGAGGTCTTGGAATCTTGTGAAATGAGCTAAAGAATCCTATAATTCAGTGCACTAAGCTTAAACATCATTGTCAATGAAGTAACCTAGAGTTAGTTATAATGATGCTGGTGGTAATCAACCACATAACTAGGCACAGATGAAAAATGAAAAAAATTTAAACGAAAACATAAATTTTAAACGGCAATTGTATACATTTCCTTTTTTTTTCTACTTGCAAACATAATGATAATTACTAACAAAATAAATTTTCTTATTTTCAACAACTTATGTTTTGATTAAAATTTTACAAATTAAATGGAATATTGATTAAATTAATAACTTAAAATTGGTCTATGTACACAATAATTTAATTTATTATAATTGTTTAGTCTAAAATAGTTATTCATTGTTAAGATTGAATCGATATCACGCGGAATTGGGTCAGATGCCATTATAACAAATTAGCATGTTCTATCCCATATATGCAATATATTCTCCCATAGAATTCCATATCTAAACTGTCTGTATGAAGATGTATACAACTTTTTCACCGTATACAACTTTTTTCGGGTACTCTATTTATGTTTTAACCACCTCTTCATCATACAACATATCATAATCATAAAGAATTTATTTGATTTCTTCTATCACATAGTGCAAATATCGATGGGGAAAAAAGTGGAAATGGAGATACCGACCATGATCATGCAATAAATAATATTAGTCATGTTTATGTTTATTGATAAAGAGAACTTTCTGTTTGTTTATTATCGATAACTATGATTGTGTTTCGAAAAATAAAATAAATAAAAGGAAATATGAAAAGTGTGAGCGATTGATAGAAACACAAGAAGGATAGATGATGCTGTCCAGAATTGTGATAATAAGACGACCGTTGCCTTCCCAGATGCCAGGATATGTCTTGACATCACTAAAAAGATATCCATTATCAAGACTGAATGAATATGGACGACTATCATTTATGTTGTAAAAGCTATCTGTTGCTGTAATGTTTCCTTGAGGGATGATTGCATTCTTCGAGAGTGCCCATGAACTTCCTCCTCCTGAACCTCCGTTTCCGTTGAGACCTGCAAATCCACCAAACCAGCCGCTTCCGGCACCTGGTCTATCAGAATAACCAATTCCGCTTTGAACTCCTTGAGGATTTTTGGATTTGTCTTTTTGAGCTGATTCTCCGGATCCAAATGTAAAACCGAATGTTGAATTAGCTAACCTGGCTGAATTATAAATCCCATTTTCCCAGTACCCTTGGGCTGTAAAGCCACCGCCTGATCCTCCTGATCCATCATCGTTGGTATTATATGCATCAATATAATAATAATTATCAGAACCACCCCCAGCGCCAGCTACAATCACACGATGCCAAAGGTCATTTGACAGGAATTTGACAGCGGTTTGACCACCACCACTTCCCGAACCATAACTTAGATTAGTATCATAGAAACTAAAAGCAGAACCTCCGCCACCATAACCACCTTTAAACATCGAATTAGCATCATAATTATTTGCTTTGTTTACGTATGTAAAATTTCCTTGACCACCTATCGTCGCAAAAGCGGTTGTCCGACGAGAAAGTTTAATTATACCTGAAATATAACCACCTGCACCACCGCGATTACTAACTTTACGGCATTTAGTATTTCCGTTGTGTAGATTGACTATATCTTCACTTATGCAATTTCCGTTTCCATCAATGTGTGATGATGTATGGCCAGCAGCTGCGCCTCCTGATGCACCATAGAGTTCAAATTTATAGACGCCGGGATGAAATTCAATGACATATTCGGTACATTCGAAATTTGTCGGACATGGATAATCGAATGTATATGTCTTTGTGACATCATTCTCACTCACATTTGTATTATATTTTGATTGATCTAATAACTTATATGATAAAATTGGAAATCAGTCACAATTTCGAAAATACTTTTATAAAAATGATTAATCAATCAATAAAAATATCATAATTTGAAATTTCATATAATAATACAAAATTGGGTCTGTTTTTATACTAAATTTAATCGAATACCCTCTATTTCCATGTATTACCGTTTAAGGTTATTTTTTTGCATAAAAAAATCCATTTAGCATGATTGAAGTATTATTTTTAAAAAATAACAATAAAATATTAATTTATACAACAGTGTTATATATCCCTTACATTTTTGTGGCAAATGGAGAGGGTAACGGCGTCGAAATTGCATAATTTCAAATCTCCTTATCTCAACGAATGCAAGAGGGATGGGACTGAAATTAGGCTATTTTAATAGGTATGAGGTATCAAACATTTTCACTGATGAAAAATTGAAAAAGCTGATTTCAGCTTTCTAATCATACCTTATATATGTGGTATCATATCAAAATACTGATATTTTTTGACACACGAGCATTCTATCACAATATTCTAAGGTCAAAAAGTTAGTATTTTTGATCAGGATAAAGTAAATATAAATCACTACATAGTATATAATATGGCTGCTATACTTTTCGGCTATTAAAATAAAGATATATTGATTTTTTTCATTATATGTCAGAAAGTGGGAAGTGCACCATTAATTTTACTCAGTTCAGAGTTTTACCCAGATTTGCCTTACTTTTACCACCTCTCTAAAGCTGGGGACACCGCCTATCGTTGGGAGTAGCTATTAAATAGAACCACCAAGGGTATTTTTCGAGCTGCTGGTGTAGTGTAGTGTAAACATCCGACATAATGATTCATTATGCCAAGGTTTGATTCCCATTTAGCCAAATTTTTTCTTTTTTGGATCATGAATTTTTTTTTGGGTCACTATAAGATTTGTTTCATGTTCTAAATCTGCTGCATATGTAATCTATCTTTATTTACCTATTTTTTAAAAATCTATTGGATTGCCAAATTTGAATATATTTAAAATCATAAAAATCCAAAAACTATAAATATATGTTTTATGCATAGTGCCGATACTCAAATATCAGATTACTTAGATCCATGAATAATATCCGAATTTTTTTTCTTAAAATTAAACTTCAAAACTTCTTGCAATCTTATTCTTAATCAATTGTAAATTTTTAAAACCATTTTTTAAAATAATTTTGCGTAAATTTTATTCTCATGTTGTTTTAATCGAAAATTGATACATTTTCAAAAAAATAATATTGACTTATGAAATTCATTTTTAAGGTGAAATAGTATTGTTTTTATTAAAGTATATGAATAATATATAAAAAATTAATGAATAATATAAGCAGATTTTTAGTTTACAAAACAAATATGAGCAATGCAATTTCAAACTTTTGCTGGCAATTTCGATATTGCTCAAGTTTGTAGTATTTGTGATACCTATAACATCGGCTTAATCAAAATTCGATTTTTCTTATGAGTTATTGAGAAAATTTGATTGCAATGAGAAGGATTTCGACGTTTTTGATAAACTAAGAGCTGAGCTTTAGGGGTTCAGTTCATTTATGGCTGTAGTTTGATGCGTAGATCTCTTTTTTATTGTAAATTCTTTCAGCATGGAGATCGAGAATGAATCTTTTGAGAACTTTATGAGTTTTTACACCCGTAAAGAGGTCCTTCGAGGAAAGATAGTCCAGACTACATGAAGATGTGGGTTAACAAAAAAAATCCGATGGTTTCCCCATATTCATGTAGATCTTCGAAAAAATGAGCACCAAAAAAGCCAAAAAAATAGGCTTTTTATTGGATTTGTACACTAGATCAATAATCTATTTAGGATCTGACACTCTTTTTAGCCAGAGATATGAGGTCCTTTCTAGGAAAACGATCTATTCATCCATAAAAAAAATGAATTATCGTTTTCCCCAGAAATTACATGGGGAGTGGTAAAAGTAAGGAAAATCTGGGTAATTCAAAATTTTGATATCTCTTCACAATTCAAATTTATACAAAAGTAATAAAGATTATTGTTTAATTTTAAATAATATTATTTTAAATATTTTTATTCTTATATAATGATATTATGCTTTTGCACCATGTGAAATAAGAAGTTCGACTGTTTCATTACAATTACTTAATCGTGCAATATGAAGAGCGGTATCTCCCCATTTATTTTTTTCATTGATATTTGCACCATGTGAAATAAGAAGTTCAGCTATTTCTTTACTATTTTCATATGCTGCAATATGAAGAGCGGTTTGACCATAATTATCTTTTTCATTGATATTTATACCATGTGAAATAAGAAGTTCGGCGGCTTCTTTGCAATAATTTTTTGCTGCATAATAAAGAGCGGTTTGTCCAAAATTATCTTTTTCATTGATATTTATACCATGCGAAATAAGAAGTTCGGCAGTTTCTTTACTATTATGAGTTGCTGCAATATGAAGAGCGGTTTCTCCGGATATATCTTTTTCTTCGATATTTGCTCCATGAGAAATAAGAAGTTTGGCGGTTTCTTTACTATTAGATCTTACTGCATAATGAAGAGCAGTTTTTCCAAAATTATCTTTTTCATTGATATTTGCACTATGTGAAATAAGAAGTTCGGCAGTTTCTTTACTATTATGAGTTGCTGCAATATGAAGAGCGGTTTCTCCGGATATATCTTTTTCTTCGATATTTGCTCCATGAGAAATAAGAAGTTTGGCGGTTTCTTTACTATTAGATCTTACTGCATAATGAAGAGCAGTTTTTCCAAAATTATCTTTTTCATTGATATTTGCACTATGTGAAATAAGAAGTTCGGCAGTTTCTTTACTATTATGAGTTGCTGCAATATGAAGAGCGGTTTCTCCGGATATATCTTTTTCTTCGATATTTGCTCCATGAGAAATAAGAAGTTTGGCGGTTTCTTTACTATTAGATCTTACTGCATAATGAAGAGCAGTTTGTCCATATTCATATTTTTCATTGATATTTGCACTATGTGAAATAAGAAGTTCGGCAGTTTCTTTACTATTATGAGTTGCTGCAATATGAAGAGCGGTTTCTCCGGATATATCTTTTTCTTCGATATTTGCTCCATGAGAAATAAGAAGTTTGGCGGTTTCTTTACTATTAGATCTTACTGCATAATGAAGAGCAGTTTTTCCAAAATTATCTTTTTCATTGATATTTGCACTATGTGAAATAAGAAGTTCGGCAGTTTCTTTACTATTATGAGTTGCTGCAATATGAAGAGCGGTTTCTCCGGATATATCTTTTTCTTCGATATTTGCTCCATGAGAAATAAGAAGTTTGGCGGTTTCTTTACTATTAGATCTTACTGCATAATGAAGAGCAGTTTGTCCATATTCATATTTTTCATTGATATTTATACCATTTGATAGAAAATATTCACAAAGAGATGGAATATTAAATATCACCGAATTAATAAAGCATTTGTAAACATTATTAGTTTGATCGAAATAAACTAAAAATGATTCAATATTATTATACTGTGCACAATAATCTAAAACTATCTTTAAATGGTATTCATTCATCAAGAATGTAACAAAATCTATGTTGTGTGAAATAATTGCATATTTCATGCATCCTTCATTCGGGTGTTGATGTTTCAAACATTCGCTCATGATTTCTGGATTTCCTCCTAAAAATGAAAATTTAAGACATGTTTCAGTTATTTCTGATTGAAATTTCGTTCTTAATAACTTGAAACAATCAACTGCTCCATGATAACAACATAATTCAAGTAATGAATATCTTCTAGGATAAAAATCAATTGGATATAATCTGCTTTCAAGTGTTTGATCTTTATCAAATTCATCTCTTTCAGTGAATTGGATGAATCTTTCTAAGTTATTATACATAATTGCTCTGTAAACTGTATCTTCTGAATGAATATCCAGATTTCTTGAGTTAATTTTTTCAAAATCATTGGATTTGTCTAATTTAATTCCATATTCTTTGTAAAACAGGAAGTTTGAAACAGATTCAACTTTTCTGACATCTGTGACATGGTAATCATCAGATATGTGTTTGGCAAGAGATAAATATGACTTTGTATAGCGATTATTATACGGAATGATACGTAAAATGTCTCGAATAATTATTTGTGGAGGATGTTTATTTGAATCAATCAATTCTGTTTTGATAAGTTTGTAAATTGAGTTTAAATCTTCTTCATTTTCAGTTTTCAGCTGATATAACGCATTATATGAATCAATGTAGTATTTGTAGATACTTCGAAGTTCGCTGAATTTATTTGGATGAATGTCTTTGTCGGACATTAATAATTTTTTTAAATGACAAATTTGCATATTAACATATAAATATCTTTTAAAGTCATTATAATAAATAAATATTGTTTTAGACATTTGGAAATCAATGATCACAAAGATTTCGGAAATAAAATTATGAACTTTAATTAAGATCATATCATATGTATTAAATGACACAATAACAATATGAAAGTCGAAATCAATAAGATTTACATCCAGATGATTATCTTCAAACAAGATTTTTTTGCCAATCACTCCAAATCACCTGATTTTATGAATATATGTCAAGAATCACACATAATTAATAATAATATTTTTTATTTTCATAAAGGTACTTTTAATGGGCCAAAAATTGAAAATTTTTAATTTCTCTAGTTTCTAGCCAGAATTAATATAGAGTTCATATGCAAAAAGTGAAACTACTATGGTATGGAAAAAATATCAAAGTTCCCCACTTAAACACTATATATATATATTAAATTTAGTCTTTTATTCCTAAAATGAATACTTTTTGACATTTTTAGAACTTTTATATTATGAAGTGAATAATCCCAATTGCAAAAATGATAAGGATAAGAAATTGATTACTAAAACAAAAAGTGACGGTAATTCCTGGAAATAGAGGGTAAACTTATTTTCTTTAATAAAGTCTCTTTTTCAAATTTTTTGAGAGGTGTTTACTCAATATTGATGGATGTAGTACCATAAGGAAACTTTATGTAGGAAAATGAGTTTAAATTTAAATTTATTCAAGAATTATCTGCATTTTTGATGCTTAATAGAAGCATTATGTTTCTAACCAAAGCGGCAACATTTGTTGAGTTATAATACCAGAATAATATGAAGATTTTAAATATCTTTTAATATCTACTAGAAATAATGAGCGAGATTGTCCATGAAACACTTACGAATATTATAGTTGGTTATTACATTTAGAAGAAAGTCTCGAAAAAAATAATAAATAAATGTAACGATATATGATTGTTTGTTTATTATTGTTATGAGTGAGTTTCGAAAAATAAAATAAATAAAAGGAAATATGAAAAGTGTGAGCGATTGATAGAAACACAAGAAGGATAGATGATGCTGTCCAGAATTGTGATAATAAGACGACCGTTGCCTTCCCAGATGCCAGGATATGTCTTGACATCACTAAAAAGATATCCATCATCAAGACTGAATGAATATGGACGACTATCATTTATGTTGTAAAAGCTATCTGTTGCTGTAATGTTTCCTTGAGGGATGATTGCGTTGGCAGAGAGTGCCCACGAACTTCCTCCTCCCGAGCCTCCATTTCCGTTGTGACCTGCAAATCCACCGAACCAACCACTTCCTGAACCTGGTCTATCTTGATAACCACTTCCACTTTGAACTCCATATGGATTTTTCGACCCATCTTTTTGAGCTGATTCTCCGGATCCAAATGTGAATCCAAATGTAGAATTAGCCAATCTAGAAGAGTTCATGACACCATCATCCCAATAACCTTGGGCAGTAAAGCCACCTCCAGAACCTCCAGAACCATCATCAGTAATACCATATGTAAATGCGTTGTCAAAACCACCTCCGGCACCGGCCACTATTACTCAGTGCCAAAGGTCATTTGCCAGGAATTTGACAGCGGTTTGACCTCCGCCACTTCCCGCACCATCAGCGTCGCCGCCATCGTAGTAATTAAAAGCATAACCTCCTCCTCCATAACCGCCTTTAATCATATCATTGCGATCAAAAGAAGGATAAAGAACACTAAACGCGTATATTCCTCGGCCGCCGATTGTAGCATAAGCAGTGATACGCTTAGATAATTTAATAATTCCAGATATGTACCCACCGGCACCACCACGACTTCCTACTTTGTTGCATTTTGTGTTGCCATTGGCAATAGCAACGTATGCTTCATTTGTACAATTGCCTTCTTCATCAATGTGTGACGACATTTTTCCTGCATATGCACCACCAGGGGCTCCATAAAGCTCAAATTTATAGACACCAGGATGTAATTCAATGACATATTCGGTGCATTCTGAATTTGTCGGACATGGATAATCGAATGTATATGTCTTTGTGACATTATTAACACTTACATTCAGATTATAATTTGAATTATTTAATAACTTATATGATAGTATTGAGTGTTAGACATGAATTGGAAAAGCTTTAATAAAAAATGAGTTACTCAACGATATAATATGTGTAAATAGTTGAAATTTCATGAGGTTTAAAGATATTGTAGGTTTTTCAATCTATACCTGGAAAATTGGAACAAAATAAATATCATTTCTGAAATTTATCAGGAATAACTAGCATTAACTTTGTGTGAATCCAGAAGTCACTTCATTTCGGATTCCAGTGTGTAAATTCCATTAATTTTACATCATTATCTTGAAGTTTTGATAGATTCATAGATATAATGAGCTAAAAAATCATATATAGTATTTAACCGCAAACAATAATATATAATATTTATTCTATCTTAATGAGAAGTGATTGCACTCTTAACATTGATAATAATAGTTGCAATAGCAACAAAAATACCTATTATAATAATGAGCCATGACCACCAGAATAATATAGAGTTAAGCCTTGGCTTGAAATGCATATAATAAAGCAATCCTGGGACAGTAATATTGATTAAAACGCCGAAAGATCCGCAATAATCGAGAATTGTCATAACCTTTGGATAAAATGCTGCAACGCAAACAGGAATTATGTGTGCGATTGCATGTGCAATTGCCAATTTTGGAATTGAAAGGTTATATGCGTCATTTTCTCTGAAGAAGAACTGCGACCATGTGGCAACAATCGGCTTAACGAATATAGGATAAGAACATGATACAGCGATTAAGCATCCTCCCTTGACAATATTGAATAATACATCTTTCTGGAACTTTTCATACGAAAAGATCAATTCTGATGTTCCAACATCAAATATCATCATGTATCCAAGAACTCCTGGTATGGCAAGTATAGCAAAGCATGCGACACTTGTGAATTCCAAAGCAATACTTCTCTTCTTGAGGTCTTTGTTGTACTTCTCAATGATTGGAAGTGTAGTAATTGGCAATGTGAAGTTAAGGAAGAAGACAGACAAGGCTGAGAAGATTCCAAAACCAAATTTGCCAATTGAGAAGTTTGGATCCTTAAAGTTTTGGTGTGGGATGATCTTCGGCGATCTGATGATGACAACCAAAACATAGAACAACATAATAAGGATTGTCAATGAAGAGAAATACGATAAGAATTTCAAAGATCTTGGAATTGCCAATGAAACTGGTAAGATACTGTAAATGAATGTGATTGCAACACGGATCATGTAGGTAACTTTGATTCCTTTGAGAACAAACCATTGTTGAATTACATCACATGCGATGACAATGAATGCGACCACGCCTGATGTGCAGAAGACTAAGGATATGATGGAAACAATGATTTGGCCAACCCTTCCGAATATTTTCAATGAGATGTCATCTAATCCTGTTCCTTTGACTTCCTTTTGAAGACGAACAAGAATATTAGCACAAACATAAGATATATAAGCTGCAACTGCAAGGAGTACAACTGATGGGATGATTCCTATTTCTTTGAATTTTCCTGGTAAGGAAAAGATACTTGCTCCAAGTAATGAGTTCAAAAGATTGATAACTGTGGCGAAACGTCCTACTCTGTGTCTTTCAAATTCTTCATCTTCCTTCTCATTATCCAAGGAGGCATCTGGATTTTCTGGATTTTTCTTCTCAGAAGAGTCTGATTTTGTTTCTTCTGTTGTAGTATATGAGTTAGAGGAGTCTAATGTTGTTTCTTCCTCTACTTGAACAACTTGTGGTTCATGTTGATCTTCCATATGTTATAAAAATGATGATTTAATTTCAATAAAAGCTCTCAATTTTGGATAATAAAAATTAAAAACAATAAGAACGTTGTTATATGCATTATTTTGTTACCTTGCAATAAATTTGAGAGTGAATAAGGATAAAAACCTGTAAGTTGATTTTGATATGATGATTTGTGTTCAGATCATATGAATAAAAATACTAAGTTTTTCATTTTTATAAAATCTATTTTCTGACATATTTTCTGAGAGATATTGGACCAATCTAGTATTCAATTTCTAAAATCAAATTTCACTGAAAAATCAAATGCAATTGTTTCCAATATTGGGGCATAAAAGGAATAAATGGATTGAAATAACTATTTTTTTTGTCTTTACTTATATAAAGTGGCGACTGATGGGTGATTTTGCCGATTAATTTCAATTGAAAAAGGTTATATGGCATAAACAGGTGTTTTTTCAATGATAACAATATATTTTTCTTGGATAATACTGCAATTGTAATGTTATTAGCCTCATGGTATAGAGAAAATCTTTCAAATTTATCATATTGTTTCAAAAGAAAAATACAACTTACAAAAAAGCTGATTCCTACTAAATAGAGCAGGTCATTGCTATTAAACTTTGAAAAACTAAAATCAAAAGCTAATAAAAGAAGTAATGAATTTTTATCAAAAGGAATCATATTTGAATTGTGTTTCCATCCTTTCATCAATATATTATAAACAGTCTGTAATAAATCAAAGTTCTTATTATCTCGCAAGGTTAGTTAGCTTGCAATATATATTCAAAATAAATATAATGACAAAACTCAAAATTATTATATTTTCTAGGCATTCCTATGCAATAAAAATAAATTTCTTACTATTAATTGCTACAAATATAAGCTTCTCTTCCGTAAAACTTCCCTCAAATCAATAAACGGCTCATTTTCAGAGATCTTTGATATATTTAATTATCTCGATTGGGAAGCGATCATTACTTTCACAAATTTTTGAGAACTGTTTAATTTAACGTGCTATGATCTTCAAATTTAAAAAGTGACGGAATTGAATTGATTAAGATTTTTGGTTTTTATTATATAAAATTAGAATACATAAGACATGAATTGTTTTTGTATAAAATTTTATGCGTAAAGTTAGCGGTTTAGATAATTTGTTGATCTTAAGGCATATCTTTTTTTCACTAGAAACATATATAAATTCTATAACAACTAACGATGAAAAATAAGGTATTTTGCAAATTACCACAGACTATTTCAGAGGATTGAGTTGCCACTCAATCCTCTGAAATAGTCTGTGGTAATTTTTAGTCTCTACACTATTTCAATATAAGCTCCATTTTTAAACAGTTTTTAAAAATCGAGCATTGAAAAGTGTGATGAGACTTCAGAATTATCGAACATCCCTCTCAAATTTATTGATTTTTTGTGAAGGTTTTCAAAACCATATCATTTCTCACTTATGAGTGCTAAAACAAACATCAAGAAGTATGGAACAGATATTACCAATGTCCCGGTTTCTAAGCTTCCCAAGAATCTCAACCGTGTCGGCTTCGTTGTAATCAACTGCTACATAGGAACAAGATATTCCCTTGGTGATGGTCCGATGAATGATGGATATAACATGGCCAAATGTCTCAAAAGATATGGCTACCAAGTTTATTATCTTCTTGATTCAAAGAGGCAAGCTTTCCTCGACAAGTTCGACTTCTTCTTAAGAAATGCCACTGGTGAATTAGCCTTCTTCTATGTTGGCCACGGTACAAATGTTGCTGATGCTAATGGAGATGAAGATGATGGCCAAGATGAAGCTCTTGTCTTCGTAGATGGTAACATAGTTGATGATGATCTTCTTGCTTCATTAGAAGCTAACAAAAACCCTGACAACAAGCTTATTTTGATTTCTGACTGCTGCCATTCAGGAACTGTCTGGGATTTGCAGTCCAAGAACATTAACGGAAGAAAGATTCCAGCAGGAGTTGTTTCCGTTTCTGCTGCAAATGATAAACAGACAGCAAAACAAACAGTAGCTGATAGAGTTGAGCAAGGTATGTTTACATACAACCTCATGAAGGCTCTTAAGACAGAACCAAACATGTCTGCCTTGGAGTGCAAGAAGAGACTTGCAACAGCCCTTAGAAGATATGCACAAACCGTAACAATTGCTTCAACAACACCAGAATTACTCAACGAACCACTTTTCAACTTGGTTTGAAAAGAAATTTAGAGAAATATTTTGTCATTCTAAATATTTTTATGAATTTGTCTAACCATCCAAATTCTTTTTCAGTTTTGATCTTTCTCTAGGTCTTATTTTGTGATAAAATGCTTGAAAATTTAGAAATTTCGTTTCCCAGGGTTACAAATATGTTACTCTTATTAAAATATTCTAACCTTTTCGATTTGTATTGATTAAATATTAATAACGTTAAATTAATTTTCATATTCGTACCTAACGATTAGCTAATAAATTTGATTTGATTTTCAATATTCACATAAATAATCTGTAATGAGTATCCATTATTTACAGGCTACTGCCGAAATTTGATTTGAAAAATTTGAATTTTTAGCTGTTAGCATCAAGGATATTGAATTTCTTATATATTAGCATAAATTATTATACAGGAGTGCTCACTAGGATTCCATACTAAAGTTTTAGCCATCCAGCCTAGGGTTGTTAGATTCCCGACGATAGGTGTCTTGGAAGATTTGCCTGGTGTCATCATAGTGTCTTTAAATCAAAAATTTTATTTTGGAGTTAGTTTTATTGATTTTTCAATAAAAAACATTTCTAAAACAAGAAAATAAAACGATAAAATATTTATATTTTATATAAGGATCTTATATATTTAAAATAAATATCATTTTATTTTTTTCATTGGTGTCTGTCAAACCATAATACACTATTCAAAAATTCAATGTGTCTTGCGGTTTCAAAAGACACCTTCAAATTGAACGATAGCACAGACACTATTGAATTTTACCCATTTTATTTAGTTTTTACCCTTTTTATTTTTAAGAATTAATGACTGAAACAGCCGTTTTGCTATGACCTCAATCACTTTTATTTATTATTTTAAATATTATTTAATTTTATTATTTGAATAGGCCAACTTATATTTGAGAAGCTCAATTTGAGACCACTTAATACAGTGAAATATCATAAATATTGAAATATTAAAAAGTGTATTTCAAAATATTGAAATTATAAAAATTTATAATACTGAAATTGAGACAAATTAATAAATTCAATGTGTTTTTTTTGAAATAACTCTCAAATATTATTTTTTTGTTTATTTAATGATGAATAAATATGATTGCTTTAGTCAATCATAAAAACTAATTTAAGTTTAAAATAATGAAAGGATAATTTGATCGTTTTTTAAAATACAATTATTTTTGATGATTTGCAAGAATCTTTGAAAAGAATATAATATAGGTTCTATTTTTGTAAAATTTATCCAAATCATGTATTACATAAATTACGATTAAAACGATGAAAGAACCAAAAAGTGTGTTTTGTGTTTTGTTGTTGCGTGTTGGATGCGGGATCCTGTTATTTCCGAAATCGACAAAAAATTTGGAAATTTAATTTCCGAAATCGAAATTATATTAATGTTTTTAATATTCTTATATCAAAAGGATTAAAGTTTATTAAGAGAAAAACAATTCTTCTTCTTCAATCTATTGGCGCATTTATTTCTACACGCCAATAAGGAAGGAAAAATTATAAGACACCATGGTGTCTTCAAAACGCTAATTTTTGATATTTTTAACAACCCTACATCCAGCCAACCAAAGAAAAAAATTGACACTTGTGATCGATTTTATACTTGAAACAATGAAAATATGAGCTAACTCACATGAATATGAAATTCCTTAAAAACCATTTTTAATTCGATTTTTGACATCAAACTAAATTTGCACTAAGTATGGATAATGAGGATGGCAATGAAGTTCAACTTTCAGTAGTCCTCTCATCCATACTTAAGCAAGCATCACATTTGCTTTCAACGCTCCAGCAAAAAAATTTTGAAATTCGATACAAGACAAAATCTGAGCTAATGCAAAAGCTATTCACTATTAAAGTGATGTTTGGCCGATATCTTGTCTTATTAAGGTCGAGAAATCTAATTGCTTCGATTGAAAAACAACAAGCAAATATTAAACCTTCAAATGCAGTTGAAACAATCAAACAAATTCAAGGTATCAAAAATATTACAAAAATATATAAGGCTCCTTCAATTGCTCCAATTATAAGCCGCATTTTTTCAAAGAATAATGTCAATATTATAAGCGATCAGCCTGAAGCAAAAATTCAGCTTGTCCTATCTGGTATTTTCCAAAGCAAGTTACCACGTCGTATTAAATCTGCCAAAATTAGGAACAATTCGATTTTTATTAATGCTTTCCCATATTACGAAGCCAACTTTCATCTCGATGAAGATGGATACTGTATACTAAAATATTTGAGGTTAAACTGTGTTGATTATGGTATTCATATTCATAATTTTGCAAGGGAACTAATGGCTGAATTTACGAAGACAATTCATCCATTTCATTACAGAGAAATCAATGCTTTATACCAGCTTGACTCTAAGATCTATAATTTTATTCAAATTGGAAAATATTTGAATTTTTCAAAAGTTATTAATAATTTCAGCGGAGAATACAATTTTCAAGTCAAAAATAATCATGGCATTACGGAAATTCTATTTCCTTATTCAGAAGATTTTTTTTCTTCATTCAAACTTGTTCTACTTAACGGTTCTATTTATATAACCTCATCAACGCCAATATTAGAATTTCCCAAGCAAATTCCTTTTGTTGAGACCGCACAACAAAAATTAGATCGAAATTTGAACAATAATGAGTATTTTACGAAAAAGATATATCTCAAAGAGATTCTTAGTGAAAATGATATACAATGTGCACTTAACGAGATCCATGATATAATACATTTCACTGCATGTTATAATCTTTGGGAATATCTTGTTACTATGTTATCTACAAAGCTTGAAATAATGCCTACGTGTTCATTCCATATTCCTGATAGCAATGCTGAGAACTGTTACGCTATAATCGGAGTAGAAAATGTTGATGAAATGAAAATCAGTTTAGATTACTTTTCAGGCAAGATTATTGTTAATCTTATTAATGCATCCAGCATTACACATGATTTGGCCGATTCTCTTTACTATTATATCACAGAATCAAGATTACAAATGGTTGAGTCAGTTTTGTTTGGTTTCAGGACTCATGCTGTACTATTTAATTCTACATTTTTCAACAAAGGATTATTTTCTTTCCATTTTTCATTTGCAACTCATTATTTTGTTCAAATCCTTTATAACGCTCCAATTCCTAAGCCTTTGATAACAGATGCCGATAGGAGTGCAATATTCTTAACTCCTGGCCTGATTAACTTTGTAATTAGACTCAAAATTTGTAAAGAAAATATTGAATTTGCAATTGTTGATTCTGCGATCGCTCTAATCCTCAAAGATATTGAGTATTATCTCAAACAACTCGGATTTGCTACATCAATTATGGGTAAATCCATTCAATGCATAATTTCCCCATCTCATGTCCTTCAATTTACATTATATCCGAACATGAGATGGGTTATTAAAATTGTTCCATCAAACCAGTTGCCAAATTCAGCTAACTGTATTGAAATTACCGGAAATTCCAGATGCACAAGATTTTCCGAGTATATTGTCCATATAATTGAATCTTATATGAGATTTTCTACTATCGTGTATCAGTTGAGATCATATCATGCCATCAATCCAGATGATTTTTCATTAACTCAGTTAAATGCTTTGAGATTTAATGTTAAAGTGCCTCATCTGGACTTGTCAATCGATTTTGGCTTAATAAATCAGTATATGAATGACATGCTCAGGCCTACTTTCAACTTAAATGTGATAAAAGTCTATGATTTCATTGCTCCAAGTTTATCTTTCAACGCCCCGACCATTCTTTCCAGTGCGAACATAATCGATAAGTTTTCTGATACAAAAGTAAGCATCGCTATCCTCAAAGGACTCCTCCCTTACATTTCTAAAATATTAAGAGATTTCGGAAGCGACGATAACTGGACAGCGATGACAGAACTATTTGGAGATGAAATTATCTTTACATACTTGAAGAGATTGACCTTGAAAATCCACTTAAAACCTCGACATATTATTCACGGATTTATTTCTTTGACAGGATTCTCAACTTTCATCTTAAAGCCATTGAGTCTCCTTGAGGTTAATGTAGAGAAGCGCTCAGACTGCTACTTTTTCGCTTCTGACTTATCATTACTGGAAAAATTAAGACTTATGATGCACAAAATCTCAGCCTTGTTTAAATTTTGTGTTGCTTACAATATTTGTAATTTCACTCTCACAGGAGCTGATTTCATTGGTACAACTCCGAATAATTTGATCTCAATTTACTTGTCGACAATGATCTACATGAGATTCCAAGGTAACGACATTGCAACAGAGTTCTCGATGAATTTCTTAAAACGAGTCAGAAACTCAAAATTGCAGCTGATTATGTGCGATTATATCCTCAAAATTTTGACAAAGCCATATTGGTCAACGATTATTTCTCTTTTTAATGTTTTGATACCAGAAAAAATCGATTGGCCATTTGTTTTGAAATCCTTGAAATTTGAACCTGATTCTGCCAATTTGATTATCAAAAATGATACAGAAGCGAACATTCCTCTCAAGATTACCAATGGAACTATCCAACATGCAAAATCAAATGATTGGGTTGATCAACCAACTTTAATTAACTTTTTATCAGGACAACAAATGAAATTCCAGAGCTTGCTAAACTTCTTAGGATCACACTGATCGTTCTAAGTTCCGAATTTGCTTTTTTACAAAAAAAATTATATTTTAAAAATAGTATATGGGGGTTTTGATAAGGAACTATGCCAAAATCCCATATATAGTTATTACGGCCAAGCGATTTCTTATTTTGTCTCAATTTCAAAATATGAAATTTAGAAAAATGGATCCAAAGCAGAATCAGGTTTAAAATGCTAAAAGTTTCATACCATGCACTGCAACTCACTGGATTTTTTGACCAGATACCGAAGATGATATCATCTGTGAATTCTTATTTGCTTTAACGCTCATATCAATTCATTTATTTTATTCTTTTTATTGTATTTTTATGTTTTTTGTTTGTTATTTTAATAAAAAAATCTTATTTTTTTTAAATTCCGCTCGAGGAAAAAAAATCTTTACTCAAGTCACTAAAATTCTGACTCTTTCGGCAGAGTGAGAATTTACTTTGAGATGGCATCAATAATTGTTGGAACAATGATCTTATCGCGGATTTCTGTCCATTTGCTGTTAACGTCTTCGCCATTTCTGAGGATGTCGATGATAATTGGCTTGATAACACGATCACGGATTTTTGTCCACTTGCTGTTATCATCTTCTTCACCATTCTGGAGAGCGCCGATGATGATTGGCTTTAAAACACGATCGCGGATTTTTGTCCATTTGGAGTTCTCATCATCTTCTTGCTTGAGGATGTCAATGATGATTGGCTTAATAACACCGTCGCGGATATCTGTCCATCTGCTGTTATCATCTTCATTTGTGAGTGTAGAAATGAGGATTGGTTTAAGATATCTGTCGCGGATGTGTGTCCAGCGGCTGTTTTCTTCTTGGTGTACAAGTGGGAGGATTGGCTTAATTGGAAGTGGAAGTGGGATTGTTGGCTTGATTGGGATTGGGAATGGAATCTTTGGCTTAATTGGGATTGGGATTCTTGGGAACTTTGGTCTTGGAATTCTGCAGTGGAAGTTTTCTTCTTGGTGTACTAGTGGGAGAATTGGTTTAATTGGAATTGGAAGTAGAATTCTTGGATTTATTGGGATTCCTGGAATCTTTGGAATCTTTGGAAGTCTGATGCGGAAGTTTTCTTCCTGGAAATATGGTGGTGGGTGGATTGGAATTGGTCTGAATGGTCCATTCTTTTCTTCTTCTTGTGAGAGAAGAGTTTGGATTATGACAGGCTTAAGAATGCGGTCACGGAAATGAGTCCATCTGCTATTTTCTTCCTGTGCAAGTTCTGGAAGGAATGGTGGAGGGAAATGGATGGGCCTTTGAATTGGACGAACAAAGGACAGACCTAGTGCTGATAAAGCAAAAAACATTTTGATTTTTATTTCAATGAGCAATCAAAATTTGAAAGGAAAAAAAAGAATATTTTGTATATTTGTTTAGCATGTAATATTCGACAACTTTTATATGAGAATTTAACGAGCAACTGTCATAACCGCTGTCATTTGCCAGACTCTAAATTCAAATAAAAATAATTGTGACATTTAGGTCAGATCATTCTTTCATATGATATACAATAGCAAGGAATAATATAAAACTACGACATAAACGTCGGATCTCCAAAAATTCAATTGAATTTGAAAAATGGATTTAACAAAAAATGTAACTAGCAATTAGTAATTAAACATTATCCACCCATTTTTATTCGAGTGAATTGACCACTTTACATATTTTATTTTTATGGAATAATTTTTAAACAGTCATAATATTTAATATTTTCAACATTTCTTCAAATCATTTGATTGATGTAAATCGATCAAACTTATAAAAAATCTGACACTTCATCACCAATCTAGTAGTCATCACAAAAGCTGCAAATGGTTGTAGATCAATTGGCCAAAGAGTTAAGTGATTTGCTCGAAATGCACTTGATAAGAATTTGATAAATTGGACAAAAAAAATATACATTATGTTTTGATCAGCATCAATCTATCATGGCAATGGTTTTGATAGTACGATATCAACAATAACCCAATTTTTAATCTATTATTTTAAAAATAGCTTGTTTTTCATGATTTGAGCTATTAATACTTCTCCACTCCATTTTCTGATTAGATTTGTCTCTAGAGATAAGAGATGTTTTCTATGAATTTCAGAATTTGAATAAAAAAACTGCTTTTTAAAGAAGTTTTACAGACCAAAAACATGTAAAATTTTAATATAACGCATGGTGATTATATGTATTTATTTCAATCACAAAAAAATCAAAAATAATATACAAACAAATATAATACAAATATTGTTATGTTTTGAGGAACAGCTTATACAATTCTATATCCAGGATGTTCTCGTTATTCTTATCCCCGTTCAACAGCGATGGAGAATCGAAAGTATCTGATGGATCTGAGAAAAGTTTCTGCATTCCGTCCTCGAAATACAACGACGCCTTTAGTCCACCGACCATTATTGTGCTTGTCGTGCAGGAACAGTATAATCCGTTGGAAGGTCTGGCTGTTCTATAAAACTGGTAGTTGTCGCATGAAAAAACAATGTTCGTGGTACTCCCTTTGTATCCAGGATGAGGATGGTCGTCAAAGAAAGCTCCGACTAAACTTTTGTCGGTTTTTACGATAAGAAGATGTGGTTTTTTCTTTTCCGCCTTTGAATAAAGGGTTTGGAACATTGTTCCATCGGAAGAGAGCTTGTATACCAACTGCGGGGAATAGCATCTGCATGATGGAGGCAAATACTCTCTTAATCTGTAGTATAATGAGTTCGCGAGCAAATTTCCTCCCAAAACTTCAGGAGTATGCTTCGCAAGTATGCTCATTACGTCGAGATCTTCTTCAGCTTTGCCAAGTTTCGCTGGAGAAAGGGAAGACATCAGTTCTATTCCCATTGATGATCTCCAACTCTTAATTCCGCCGGAGTTGTAGGCAGGCGACTTGTCAAGGAAGTCTGGATACGATTTGTAGGCATTGAAGTAGTTTAATTCTTCAATTGGCTTCTCATCTGAAGTAATCGCAGTTTCTGAGGGAATAATGTGCCTTTCGCGGCTGATAAACAAGACAAATGATTCTTTGATCAAGGATTTGATCTTTGCAGGGGTATTTAGCTCGCGAATCGAGTTGACAACGATTTCATAAAATTCATCTGGAGTTTTGGACTTGCAGAGCTGCTGCCTGTTTGTAGAAAACAATCCTATGCAAAAGCGAAGCAAAACTTTCCTTCCTTCAAGAACAAATGAATCAAAGAAAGTTAATGCGGCAGGTAATGTCGAAAATGGTAAGAAGAAAGTAGGAAACAATGACATGACGAGTTTTGTAATGGAAGCTCCGATTTGTGTCGCATGTTTGTCGATGTCTGAGCAAAATCTCTTTAACTGATCTGAAATTGATTCTGCTGACGCGTAAAAGCATTTTTGGTCGACTGTGAAGTACCAATTTCCGTTGCCAGCTGATCTATCTATCATTGCTTTGATCGTAAGATAAGCAAGTGGAGGTTCTAAGTACATAAGGAGCAATGCTGCAACTGTCGGTATGAGAGGAGCAAATATGATTTGTGGATTTGATACCCAAACAATGTGAAGGAAAATTTTGAGTTGTTTTACGTTCGATTCAGGTAAAAAGTTCAAAATATCTACGGACGATCCAAAATTTGATGCATTGGTCATTGGTTGTGACATTGCTCTAGTCATGATTTTCTCCCAGTTGAACTTCACTTTGGAAGTTTTGTAATAATCGAAAGCGCCGGAAGCTTGGAACCAGAAATTTCGCCTATAATTCAATGGAACCCCGTATCTAATTAGTTTCTTGATCTTATCGTTGAACTTTGGAATATATGTGGGAACTTTTTGAAAATTTTGGAGTCGCAAATTTTCTTCTGCTTCCCATTCTCTGTCCGGAATAAAGCTAGAGTGTTCGTAAAACCCGTAACTGTCAGTACTATTAAGATTGAACTGGTTTATAACTGCTTTTGGGTCCATTTTCTTTTGATGTCTGACAATTATTAATTAACTCTTTACAATAACCGTTTATGGATTGAATGCATTCAAAAATTGAATTCAATTTAAAATTAAAATAAATGATTAATTGTGATAGAAGATTAATACGAATTAAATTATGCGAGATTTTTGATTGATTGAAGATTTTATTGATTCAAATTAATATCAGTATTCATTAAATATCCTCTTGATTTAATCAGAAATTATTGATGTTCCAATTTTATCACAATTGAACTGAAGTTTATTGAGAATTGACCAACGGTTCTATCCAAGTCTAGAATTGATATTGAAGTAGAATTATGAACTAAAAATTTGGAAATATGATATCACATTTCAATTTTTGTTAGCGGTAATTGAAAACTCAACGATTGCAGTTTTTGAGAGGATTTATGAAAACAAGTTAGAGTTATTGATTAGGTAATTCGTTTAATAGTAAATTTTTTTAAATGTTCCTCAATCTTTACAATTTATAATCAAATCATCGAGTGTGTTTAAAATAGATATCAAATTTATAATTTTTCGGAAATTGATACCCACTCAGAAAAAACCGAAAAATTAAAAAATCTACAATATCAGGCTAATTAGCTGTTTTTCCTTCAGTGGATATAATATTATAGCGAAATAAGTTTGTTATCTATGCATCTGACAAGGAAAATTTTTATTGATTCCAATTGCTCTATTTGAAATTCGATTATATTTTGGCACCATAATTAAATTTGAAAAATATAAAAGAATCAAAGCATATAAAATTAGATATCGCTACTCAAATTCTTCCATTGATAAAGGTAACTAAACTCCTTTCGCCGATCCGATTTGCCCCATATTTAAAATATAGCTTGCATATGTAGAAGAAAAGCTAATTTTGAAGTACGCCCCAAATCCACCAACAGGATTTCGAGCTACTAAAAAAGTACTTTTAAATGTGATTTTTTTTATAAAAAATTAAATTTATTTTAAGATCAGACTAAAAACTAATTTTATGGAAAATCTATATCGACAAATTTATTACTTATTGGGTATATAGATTTTTTGATTATGGCGATTATGTCTGATATGCTTCCAATAAGCCAAAACACATTTCATACTGATTTCTATAAAAGGTATCTTTATTATAGAAGTGTAAGCTATATCTGTTTGTTTTTTTATTATAACAAATTCAAAATTCTCTTATAAGGACTAGATGAAATCTGTATTATTAAATCATTAGCTAAATGAAGGTTCAAATAGAAAGTAAATATCAATTTATATGATACTGAAACCAAATAGTTCTTTTAATAAAAGATAACACGCTGAAAATTATTGAGTATTTGCAAATCTCAAAAATCTATTGGTGAATTTGGCTCAACTTTTAAAATTATAACATCCATATCAAATCATAAAAGCAGACAAAAATTAAAGCCAAACCTATCGGCCAATTTTTTTTGATATTTTGATTTTTGAGGTATACTTTTAAAAGTGGATTTAAAGCACTGATGAAAAAACATTAACTTCTGTCGTTATGATTATTGATTTAGACAATAATGATTTTAATCTTTGATTATCAAAACACTAAAGTCATCTTTTTAACATTTGCTTGGTAGCATTAACTCAAGTCTAAAGTACTATTTTATGTGGCACTCTTAGAATTTTTGTATTCATTGTACACGCTGAAATAGTACCATTAAAGTTATGGCGGACTTTCAAAAAATAGTTTGGTCACCTTTCCATTGATTTCAATTGGTAAAGTCGTACTAAATCCGGGCCATATTTATTTTATGTTGATCGAAACTGTTTTGAATTTCGATTAGTAAAATCCTCATAATCATGAAATTTTTCCTTCTGAAATAATTTTCGAATCCTTTGCCAATATTTTAAAAATTATTCAATTGATCGATATCTCGTTCGAAAATGAGTGCTCGATCAACAATTCAGGTAGAAAACAAAGTTTTGATATTTATTCTTTACATCGGAAGTTCATCTTTCAAGGCCTATATCAACTCCCTTTGTAATTTTGAATTTTTGCATTAATTTTTATTGAGGTAATTTCCAAATAAGATATCCAGCAAAATAAGTTAAGATTTTGCTCAAAATATCTGGGTTTCTGCATTTCTAGTTGCACAACTATTTCCCATCAAAATTAGTGCGATCTAAGCAAATGCAACTTTTACTTTGATTTGAATCTTTTCCATTTTTCATTCTGAATGGAGAATAGTGTAGGCGTATGGGTTTGTATGGAACTGCGGTAACTATTTTTTGTTAGCTGTACTTTTGATCATGAAATCACGAAAATTCGTTGTTTTTCAAAAAAATAGAATACATTGCGGCTCTTTTTTCATACCAAACCTTAAATAATTGCTTAAGGAATATATCTTTCGCATAAATCATCCTCATGATTGCTAATAAAATGAGGTTTTTATAAATTTATAACGATGAGTGAGATTATGAACATCTCGGCGATTATACGGCAGAAGAATCCCGAGATGCTTCAAATTCTCCGTTGCGACGATCTAATATCTGCCTACCGTATGAAAACGAAGGATGTGATGAGTTTTCTTGTTAATGAGCAATCATTGTTATCAATTATTCGTGTATTTCAAGAAACAATCGATCCAAATATTCTATGCAATATATCTGGATTGTTCACATCAACAAATACGTCGCTACTTAAATTCCTCACTCTCGATAAAATTTATACTGAAAAAATACTTGACTTCCTAGCGAACGAAGTAAATCCGTATAATCCTCGTTTGGTAACCTCTACTGTAATTTTATCGTCAGCATTTAACTATTGGCCTCAAGAAATGACAACTATATTTGAATCGTCCGATGTAATTCTTCCTAGGTTAGTCTCACATATTGAAAAACTCCCAGTATTCGCTTTTATTTCGACAAACCTACTTAAATCTCCAGAACAAGAAGCCTTTCCATGGTTTATTTATCTTTGCATCATGGATGAGCATGGACCCGGCGCCATTCGTCCATTTCATATACGCTGGCAGCGTAATGATTATACCCGCATCAACGCAGCACAGCGTTGCAAAGCAATTGAGCTTTTAATTCAGTTTTTTAAGACATGTCCAAATCAATATGATTTCATGAAAATATTAACTCAATCAATACCTCTATTTCTTACAGATGCGTCCGATGAAACTGAGAAAAAGCTTGTTTTCCTTCTTGGAAATCTTTTAGATAAAAACGATGCCATTGCTAAATCCGCAATTAGCGTAATCAACAGCTCGATGCAAGCTACTCCTCTTCTACAGAGCGCAATGCAATATATTTCGGCAAAAGGGATAAAAATGAAATCCGATGATTTACAAATTATGCTTTACAGATATCTACACCAAACAAATCACAACAACATGTTATCCAACTACCTTGTCAACATCATAAAAAATTCAATTACAGACGAACCAGAACTTGTCGAATCATTAAATCAAATTATGTCATGCGCTTACAAAAATTTCTCGTCATGCAGTACTCTACTAATGCGTGGCTTTAAGTACGCTGTATTTGATACACTCGACGGCTTACAATACGATCCGTTATCGGAAGATTTCTCGGATCGCATTATGAAAAAGAGAGATGAGATTGCGAATTATGTTTACGATAAATCCTTCATGCAATCAATCAAGAAAAAATCGCAAAGACTTGTTGAACCAGTATTTGACGCGAAAGTTCTATGGGGAAGCGATTGCCAATGCTTTTCATGCAGTTTTTCAACTGTAGCGAGGCTTGACCATCTCACAACCCATATTAAAAGTCCCAAAGGCAACAGATCTAAATCTCCGAATATTAAATTCAAAGGAGAAGACATTGGGAGCCCAAGAAGCTCTTCCAGAGATGATATGGAGATCCCCAAGAAGCTGGAGAACGATTTGAGAAAGCAGAGAGGCATAAAAGTCACAAAAAAAAAGAGAACAAACTCCGATGATGCAGAAAAGAGCCAGCCGAACAGCGAACCACCGGTCAGAACGTCAATTACTCGTCTTATTGGAGACAATGTACTCATGGCCATCAAAGCCCAGGCTCAAGAAGAAAAACATGAACCTCCAAAAGTCCAAATCTCGTCAAGTAGCTCGGATGATGACTTAGTTTTCACACTGGATGATAATAATATATTCGATTTCCAATTAGAACAACCGCCAAGAAAATCTGATCGTAAGGAAAAGGAAGTTTCTATTCGTAAAGAAAGTTCTCAAAAAGAAAGAATAAAAGTGACAGAAAGGAAGGAAGAAAAAGTGACAGAAAAGAAAGAAGAGAAAGAAAAGGAGAGAGAAAAATCTGTTGAAAATGAATCTTCGAAAGAGAAAGGAAAAGAAACCGAAATCGAAGAAAATGAAAAGTCCAAATCGGAAAATAACGAAAATGAAAATGATGCCAATGATGAAATTACCATTCAGAAGAATACCTCTCCGAATTCTGTTAAAGGTCCCCCTGCTCCCCCTATTGGACAAAATATTCCTCATCGTCCGAACGTTGGATCGCCGCATTCTAAGAAGAGACCGTTAGAAATTGATACTATGCTTGATAGAGACCCGTCACCCCCTCCAAATCTTCCTATTTCGAAGCCAACTCTTTCATTATGTACATTGTCCACTTTTGAGTACTTTTTGAATGATGTTGATACTAAAATGGTCCAAACAGAGGTTGAAACAGATGATAGAGGTGTCAATCCTGTTCAGCGTTACCTTAAACTTTCAATTGAAGTATTTGACCCACTTGGAACAACGAAAGATTCCATGCCAAGTCTTCAGCAGAGGAGATCTGAAACAGAGCAGCTGCCAAAAACTCAACAGAGCCAAAAAACAATTATCATATCTCATAAGATGAACGCGTCAATGAAGAAACAGAAGGGAATTATTCAGGTTCCTAACTCTAATAACAATGTATCTCAAAGCCAAGCCAATCCTCAAATTGTTACTCAAATTATGCCGCAAATGCAGCAACAAATGAATCAAATGCAGCCAATGACGCCACCAATGTCAATGATGTCCCAAATGATGATGCCAGCAGAAGATATTTCCGAAATGTATCCAAGATCTCCTCCAGCAAGGAATCCTTACTTTATGATGTACGAAGATCCATCAGTAAACCAAATTCCTCCGAAATTGCAGATGAAAGTTAAATATGATGAGAAAGGAATTGTACCTCCGAAATTACCTATGAATAGAAAAGGAGTTTGGGATGACAGTAAAATCGAAAGACCTCCTCGATCAAGCGCACAGCCTCCTCCGCCCATTGTGCCTGTTAAAAGCCAGCAACACACTGAATTTCCAATTTAAATTATTTTGTTTGTTATTTAATTTATTGATAAATTATGTTTGATGCTTATTAATTTTTCGTTTTGATATTATTTCCTATTTGACCGCTCACAATTTCATCAGATCTCAATAATTTGATTTGAAGATTAAGTATATTTGAATAATGGCTGTATTATGCAATGGTTCGTTTAAAAATAGGTTATGTGAAAGAGAAAAAGCGATATAAAATATTGTAGCAACTTGAGGGATATTAAAAAGCTGATGGTCACTGAATTTCCAAAAATCATTGAATATTGGATATCCAGCATTCAAATAAAAAGCCCCAATATCTTTTTTCTTAGAAACTTCAATAATATCATTAATTGATTCGTTTTTACGAAAATCAGCAATGATTGGTATGAATTCAACACCGAGTTTCGTGCATATTTTTTGAATTTCGTAAATTTGATCATTATGACCTGTACCTATTATATTTCTACCATCTTTTGCTAGATTTTCTGCCAAATATTTCCCTGAGCCAGAGCTACATCCTGTAATTAATACCCAATCTGATCCGAAAAGTTTTTTAAAGTCTTTTTTCTTTCCAAAATTTCCATAAATAGATCTAAATATCTGAGATATTGAATGGATAAGCGTCAAAATTCCAAGAAAATAAAAGAATGAAAATGCAATCCCAATCATTTATAATTTGACATAAAATTTTTATGCAATATAAATAAATTTGGTGCATCAATTTGAAAGTAATTATTCCAAAAACAAGTGATAAAAATTGAAAAGTTTTGAAACCAAATAAAAATAAGGTTATATGATTTTATATGCGATCGATGCATAATTATAGCGTATAATAAATTAAGAACGAAAAAATCTAAACATTCAAAAATTTGAGAGAGAAAATTGTCACTTTTAGAGTAAAAATTTTATGAGAGATATTGCTATAATTTAAATAGAAATGTTGTAATTACAATGCAAAACTCCCTTATAACGATTTATATTCTTCTTGGATAGAAATATTCCACTAAATCAAATTGATATGAATTTCAAATTGATGCTTGAGCCTAATTAAGCTGTTATTAATAATTTCGGGCGTTTACAGTTACCAAAATAGTTATTTATTAGAAAAAAATTCATATATTGAAGGATTTAAAAAGATTTCCCTAATGATGTCTTATATTTATTTGAAATTATTAAGAGCTGGTTGTTATATTTCCAGAATTAACCTCTTAGCTGATATCTATACCTTCCAAAATTATTTCATCATTTCTATAATCTTTTTTTCAGCTGAACAACAAAGCAAAGTTTTATCATTTCCATATTTACTCATATAACAATACTTGAAGTAACTAATGTGATACAATAAAATGCCTCATATAGCAAAATATATCCAATCCCTATTCTCAATAATATAATCAAGAGCTTATTTAATCAAGGAAATATAACACATCCAGATGCGAAAATGATATAATCAAACAAATCATTTGTATTCATATATGTTTCATGAGAGAAAGAAAGATATTGTACTCTGTTTTACATTAAAGGAGAGTTTTTCCAATATTCTAAAGAACTTCATGTACTAAAAACTATCAATAAGTGAAGTTTTAATCATCAAAATATGAAGAATATAAGAAGGATTTTGATCGAATCATCTGTAACTTCAAGACAAATCGACATCATAGTTAAAGCTCTTTTCTAATGCATTTCATTTTTTGCAAAACAATCCTTTAATTTATTGATTTCTTGTCAATATTATGGATTTTATCAAGACATCGACAACTATTTCCAAAAACGAATGGTATAAGATTTTTTGCGATTGCTTAATTGCAATCAACAATTTGTTAATTGGGAGATCCATTGTAGCAAATAATTAAACTAATGATAAACTTAAAATGATAATTCATGTCAATATTTTAGTTCTTTATTTCACCTTTTCACCTGAGAATGAATTATATACCTCCAAGTCCTCATCCATGTATGTCCTATAAATTGTGTTTTTACCATGAATTTCTAATTTCATATAATATTACAAAGGAAAACCTATAATCTTGTTCATGATATATAATGTTATAATCTTTGTGAATATAATATTGATACATAAATCTAACGATTTATTAATCATGAGATACAAATCATTAAAATATTGTAAACTTATCGGCGCGACTCACCAATAAAATATCAAGCAATCAACATTTCATATCAATAAAAGAGTTTTATTTGATATAAAATGCATCATAAAAGTCTTATAGCTCTAAAATTTAAAATTACAATGCATAACTAAGCCAATGAAATATGATCTCCGAAACATAAGAGTTACTGTTTTCGAATACTTTAAGTGTGAATTGCACGGGCATTTATATTCATATGTCATAGTTTAAGCCTAAAAAATAGTAATAAATGACAGTGTCATCGATCATAAAATACGAAAGGTTATCTTTTAGTTAATAAATTAATGGCAATAAGGAACAATATCTAGAAAAATTCTGAAATCTGGAATATCCTATTGTTTCCCATTTTATTAGTAAACCGAATTTTTAATCGTAAATTTTTCGGAATTTGAATGGGGGTAGATGCAATTGATGGGGATGATAATTTTAATATATATTAAATATAGTGTATAAAAAGCAGGCCGATCCAAATTGGCTAAATATCTTCAGAAAAAATATATCGGAAATATATTGGTTGTATGATATACCAACAATATAAATTTCACAAACGCCGAATAAAAATATAAAAAAAATCAAATTGAAAATATTGTATGAGCGCCATCAAAAGCTAATTGAGTTGAAAACTTGGCGAAATGAGAAGGAGAAAAAGTGTAGATACGAAATTTTTAGAATATTGATCTACATAAGAAATAGAGCAAATATAATATAAAATTTTCAGAAATCATTTCAATTGAACTGTTAAAACTATGAAAAAAAGATGGAGTAATTAATGAAAGAAAAAGAGATATCTATTGAGAAATCATGGATATCATAAGTTTACATATACACAACTAAATTAATTCAATAATAAATTAATTGGATCAAGGTCGGCCTGTAATAAGATAGGACTGTTTGTGATAAGTGATGGGAAGATAGGATTTGTTCCGCAAAGTAATCTGAACGGAGGAAGAGGTGGTAATAAAACTCTTTCCTTCTTTTCGACTGGCTTTGGAGATTCATGAATTGGGATAGCCATAATCTTTGGGGATGATTCTGCGCTTTCATCGCTTGATTGAGAAGACTCTTCCTTGGAAGCAGAATAATTTGTCTCCTCATCGTAAGCGTCGTCATCATGCTTACGAACCTTTACACGGGCATCATCTGAGGTAGGAACCCATGAATCTGATGGATATGCGCGGCCATAAATGCCATAGAAAGTAGATCTCTTATCGATGCCAGGGATTGGCTTAAGAGATTTAAACTTGGCAATTGTCTTGCCGCGTGTCTGACTCAAGATTACTCTTACGTAATCCTTGCATTTGGCTGAAACCTTGCACCAAAGGTCATAATCATTGTTGCGAATCCATTTTTCGATCTCGCAGCTTGCTAAAGGCCTGTCACTGTTCTTGATGACTGTGTATGCCTTTTGTCTTAACTGGGTTGAGGAAAGGGATGGGTCACCAAATCCGGAATCCATTTTCTTTTTTTGAAATGAAATTTATCTATTATTCAAAAATTCATTTTCATGAGGATTGAATAACTTATACAAAAAATTGAATACAATCATAGAAAGATATGTAATAATAATGCTGAATATTAGATTAGCAATGAAGTTCGTTTTTTATTTTTGAAAAGTTTTGTGAAAATTTGAGAAGGAAAAGAGATATATTTCAATTCAATGGAAATGCAATCGTCTGTATGTGTTCGAGTAACTTCCCTTCCCTATTATTATATCACAGATTTCTCAAATATCGGACGACCAAACGAAAAATTTATGGCCGATCACGATAGAGACCATGCTAAAAATTGATTTAAAAAAGATCACATTTTCATTGTTGGTTAAGATATCTCAGAAATCGGAATCGCACAAATTACCCATCAATATGGAACCTATCGTCACTTTCAAACCCGAAAATTACGTTGGATAAATTGGAAATTCTCAATTCTCCACTTTATCTGGCATCAACAGATGTAATAAAGGATTTATATGGATTACTGTAGATGAAAAATTTTCACACCTCTTATTCCGAAATTGATGGAAAAATATTGTCGATACAATATTGCTTTATAAAGTACCCTTACAAATATAATTGATTGGCCATATAATGATTGAAATTTCGAACATTGTATAGGGAAAAGAAACATGATGGGGATAAAATAAAACAATGCGGAATTGCATCCATCTGACTGGTAAGTGTTCATTTATGATAGCTCCATGCATAATCTTATTCTTCTTATCGAAAATAATAATCTGAATCAGAAATTTATTAATTTGTTGAATTCTTTTGCATGAGGTAGTATTTAAGGCCTGTGTATGACCTCCTCTTAAACTTCTAGAAAATAACTGAAATGATTTGGAATGGATGGATATTCAATACATCAAATGCAAGTTTTCTTGGAATCCATATGTGGAATTGTATCGTATACATTCATTGCGTAGATCAAACTTTGTTAATTCAAAGAATAAACGAAACGAAATCGATGTATAACGATGAAGCATTTCGTACTTTATTTTCTATTCACTGTGTTTAAATAGGCTTAATTGTAATATTTTTTGGGGCTGTAAAAACACTCTCAATTTTTTTATTCAATTTGAAAACATCAAAAAGTAAACTGCAAAAATTGGATGACAACAAAATCGAATCCGAATCTATGAAATATATCTCTATATTAAATTGATTTATTTCATTAATTATGAAATTTATCAAGAAAATATGAAATCCTTATTTAAAATATACTCGAAAAAGCAATTTCTCTCTTTTAAACTATTAATGATGTTTTGGGTATAGTTCTTTATATAGCATCCGCATATTAAAATAGTTCAAAACATTAATTTTTTTTTATAATTTAATAAACAACATAAAAATATATAAAAAACATAAATTAACTATTACAAAGTTAACATCTAAAAGACATCATATTCTTCCTCTTCTTCATATTTATCAGAAGATGTAAATTCAAATGAATCATTAATTGATTCTTCTTCAGCTTTATTTTCTTCTACTTTTTGATGATGAGACTTTGGTTTCAAGAAATTATTATAGTTCGGAACGAAATCGTCGCTGGTCGTTTCATAAACTTTCTTGTTTTCGTCAGATTCAGAGATAATTAAAGGACTTTTCTCTTTTTTGTTCATATTTGATTGATTTTGTTTGTTCTTTGTTTCGTCAGTTTCCTCAGAAATAGAATAATCGTTGGTAAATCCCGAATCGTCTAATGCAAACTGTTCCATTGTTTTTCCTTTGCATAAAACAGGATCTACGAACTTAGATTTCTTTTTCTGATCGTTGTTTTCTTCTTCAGTGCCTGAGGATGTGAAAGAAAATGAATCATCAAAATCTTCCTCTTCATTTTGATTTTCTGTCTCTTCTATGTTGACAGTATCTTCAAGTATGTGTTCGGTTGTTCCTAAATTATCTGTATCCTCTTTTTCGTCTTCATCTTCCTCAAAAAATTCCTCTTCTTCATTTTGAGAGGATTTTGACGGTTTTTTGTTGGATTTCGTTTCTTGTGGTTTTTCTGAGGTAGAATCGACTTGTGAAAACCTTAAGTCCGATGTATTGATTGAATCTGTTACTGTATCTGTAAATGTTATGTCATCTGTATCATAAAGTTTTTCAGATTCTTCTTCATCTTCTTTTTGTTCATTTTGTGTCTCGCTTTGATCAGCATTTTCGGATGAAAGGTCATCAGTTGAGATACTTGATGTGATAAGCTTAGGTTCTTCCTCTTCTTCATGAGAAATTTCTTCTTCTTCATTTGATTCTTCTTCCTCAACGGCTTCTGGCTTTTTCTTTTCCTCCTTTGGTGTTTTATCTTGTTTGACATCTTGTTTTGGCTTGATATTCTGCTTGGATTTGGCTTTATTTTCTTGTTCAATTATTTTATTGAGTTCGTCGACTCTGCTCTTCCTCTGAGTTGGGGAAAATAACTGTTTGACTATTGGTGATGTTTGTGGTGAAGAATCTTCTTGAGATTTTTGAGATTTAGGAGTTGATTCTTTGGATTTGTTAGAATTTGGTGAATCAACGGTATCATAAAGACCTGGAACTGAGTACTGTGTTTGAGCTGATACTTTCTTAACTTTTTCATTTGAATTTTGGTATTTTTGATTTAAAGGCGAATTACTTGACTGAGAAGATGAATTAATCTGAGATGAATCAAAGTGTAAAGGCCCTGAAATCGTAATGTTACTACTAGAGTCTTCAAAAGCGAATTCTGGAGCAGAATCGTGAGAAAATTCAATATCATCGGATTCAAGGCGAGTTACAGCTTTGGAAGAGTCATATTCTTCTCCAAAAGTATCTGTTGTGTTAATTCCTTGATAAGGAGTTGAAATTGATTTTTGATTTGTTGATTCTGAAGTTGTGTCGTCCATTGTATTGGTGGACTCGCCAGACTCTGAAAGAGAGTGAAGTCTGTTAAAAGCTTGAATAAGGAAATTAACAGTATCATCAACTTCTCCTTGATTCCTTTCTGTATCGATGTCTACGCGTTCAACATTTGCCTTTGTAGATTGTTGTGTCTTTCTAGAAACTTGTTGTCTCTCTTTAGTTTGTTGTTCACCGTATTCTAAATTATCTGTCTTTTCCGCATTTCTATGATTATCATTCCTAGTCATTTGTTGTGACCTTTGCTTCTTATTCGTAGTTGCACTGGTCTTGTCTTGATTTGATCTTTTTTCTTGCTTCGTTTTTTGAATTAACGATTTGCGTAGGTTAGACTTCCAAAGTTTGAATGTTCTTCTAAGCTGTAATGTGTTTAGTGCATGCAAACAATTTTTTTCAGCAATAAACAAAGCAAAGTTATGGGTGATAACTGATGCTGTAATATCTTCTGCTGGAAGTCTTTCTTCATTAGATTTAGGATGTTTTGGCTTTTGTTGTTTCTTTTTAACTTGTTTTGGTTTCGTGTTTTGCTGTTTTTTCGATTTAATTTTTGATTTTGATGAATCTTTTTTATCTTCCTTTGTTTTTTGATTAGACTCATCTGCTTTCTTTTGTTGTGAGTTTAATACGTCGAATATTCTCTTCAGATCATCGAAAAATTCGCCGTTTTTACTCATCGTTACGTTAATAAAAAGTGACATCTTGACATTTTTATTGCTTCTCAAATCTTATTGATTGTATTGTTAGAGATAAGTGCTTGATTCCAATCAATCCATAGGTGATTTTTAAGAATAAGTGGGAACAAGTCCAGTAAAAGCTTGAATACATTAATACTAATGTTTCCTCTTTGTTGCTAAAAAATCTGGTAGTTTTGGGTATCGCCCCCATCTAAAATGAGCATTTTTTTTGACACTCAAATTAAATGAATTGGCTCAAGAGTGATGTTGATTCAAGACTTCAATATTGAATCATATGTGTGATTCCGTGTTTACCCATATGGTTTTGTCTTAATCTCAGGTAATATTCTCAGATAATTTCCATCAAACTCTCTTGTTTCTGCCATTAGCAACTCCTAAAATTTTTAGCTAATTTTGAGGCACTTTATTTGCCAAAATACAATTTTGAAATATTTTATAAATTTCTTAATGAATTTTTGTGACATACATTCAGCATTTAGACTTTTATTTATATTATGTATACTTTCATTGTAGTCTAAAATAAATTGAGCTAACTAGTAATCAATTCTCCTATTTTGTATATCTTGTTCAATAAACATTCATCAATGGTTTGAATATGTAAGTGGACGAGCCAACGAAATGGACGAATTCAATATGTCAGCTTGAATTGCTTCCAATCCAGTCGCAATTCAAAGCTTTTGATTAGAAAAAAAATCCTTAATGATAATAATTGTATGTTTAAAATAAAAAGATTTTGTTTAAGGGTGCACTGTAATCGGTTTGACACTCCCACTTTTTTTCCTTGGTTTCGAGATATTTTTCCATGATTTTTATGGATATGATATATGGTCATATAGTGATATATGATCAATCAAAATATTTAAAAAATATTTACTCAATATGGAAATATAAGAAAAAAAGTTTAGCCTTAAACCCTAATTGATCGAAATTGAGGGCTTTGGCAAACCGACTACAGTGCACCCTTAAAAATCAGAAATTTGAAATCTCAAAAATTTTTAGTCGCAAGATAAAATAATGTAGAAATTGAATGTATCTACAAAATAATCAATTAATCCTCATAACATCTTTGAATTGTAAAAATAAGCTTCAGAAAATTTCGTACAATGATTTTGAAAGCACTAATTAATGTGAGAAAAATACGTTTTTAAAAAATTACGACCCGGGATAGAAAAAAAATTGAATTGAAAATTATCATCATTCTTGCACTTTTTGAATGAAATTCAAAAAATGCAAGAATGATGTCATTCTATTTCAAAAGGTGTATTTTTGTGAAAAAACACTTGAAAGGATTTCAATGTGCTCACAAAAATATACGTTTTGCAATAAAATTACAAAATATGATTTTGGCGGCAAAACATATTCAAAAATACATAAATAAATGCCTCCAACTTTGGGATTTAAATTCAAAAAGTTCACAAATCACAAACTTTTAAATGCTCTCTCTGTTTTTATCCTTTTCATTATGTTACACTTATGTTACACTTACACAAAGAGGAATGTATGCCTTTCCGATTTCGGGGGAAGGCACATTTTTTAGATTTAAAAATCCTGACGGGAGAAAAGAAATATGCTTTTTAAATCCTGGCAAATTTCAAGATGAAAGATACAGATTCATATCTTCACTTTATAGTGATATTGAAACCTTAGAAGTATTTTGTCATTATGGAACAAAAACATTATATTTATTTTATGCACCATTTACAAAATCTTCTGGATTTTCATTTGTAGTTCTTGATGAACCAAATAAACAATACTTGATGGATTTTTCAACAGTTGATAAAAGTATAACAAGATTGGATCTAGTTGTTTTATCATATACAAATTGCAGCTTTGAGTTTTTTGGTTCGGAAATGGTTGATTTTAATGGTGGTCATGACTTTTGTTATATATTTTATGAAGTTAACCAAGAACACCATGAAACAATTCAAGGGAGAAATGAATATTACAGATCAATTTCAAACACAAGATATGTTTGGTTGAGAGTTAAACTTGGATATCTTAACATGCTGCACAAGTCTTATTTCGGAGTATATTTCAAACAATATGAAAGTACAAATCAGATTCCAAAACCAGATGGGTATCAACCTGGTATCTTTCATTCGCTCGATATTGGAGGATCAATAAAAGGCGAATACACAGGTCTAAAATACTACCAATTTAATATTCCTAACCTTGGAGAATTCACCGAAGTAGCTTTAGCACCACCAGGTATCTATTTTAGCAGCCTAATAGAAAAAAGTTATTTATTGTATCTTTCAGACACACAAGGACTTAAGGATAATGGAACAGATATATCGAATTTTGTTTTTGTAGGGACTGGAAAAGGACTCACATATGATGGTCCGAATAAAACAATTGAAATAGTTTCTTTTGCTGCAGATGGATGCAGATATCTTTCAATTTTATACAATGCTGGTGGATATAGTTATTGGTCAAGAACTAATATTCCATCATCTTCATTTTGTTTGATCTCATTCCAACACTTTTCTCATACAATTACAGTTTCAACTGATGATGGAAATGTATATCCGACACAAAGATTTAATTCACGTAATAAATATGAGAATAGATATTATGGAGAAACATCATACACAACAGAATATGTAATAGATAACAATATTTTATGGAGGGGATATGATCCTAAAAAATATAAAATCGGTGTTATTTCTGTTAATACTGAAAAAGTCACTTCAGAAACTCCCAAAATTTTTAGCGTTCCTGAATTACCTCCTTTGGTTGAAACTGGATCATGTATTGGATGCACGCCAACTATACTCCAATCTGATGATGTTTACACAGCAAATACTGATAAAGTATACTTGGATATAAGCACTAGCTCAAGAGTATTTATCAGTGATACAATGAGTTTTGTTCATTTCAATTGGTTTCATCCGCTAAAAGTTATCAGCAAATTAGAAAAGCTTTATTTGGAATCAGCTGATGGAATGCCTCATCCCATAAAAATTGTCTCCAATCCTGGAATTGTATGGCAAAATTCGATTGAAAAACAATTTATTTTGAAAGATAAACCAGTTTCACTTATGTTTGATGAAAGTGTGACACTTAAAATTGAAATATATGAGCCAGATCTGCAATCTTATTCAAATTTAGAAGTTAACATCAATGGAAATCCCCAGATAATAGAACAAGGATCAACAACACTTACTGATGTTACATTCTTTTCGATGGTTCGATCTAATCATCATATTTCATTTACTGCCACTCCAAATGATCAAAACTCATTTTATAATATATTGAGAAGAGGATTGTATGGCACTTCAGAAGGAAATTATTTTGCAAACGATAAAAATATTTTCAAATCTGATCTTGGATTCAATTCCTTATACATTCCACCTGATCAACAAGTAACAATCATCAGACCAGAAGCAGGAAAACTATATTATCTTATATTAAACAAAGAAGAATTTTTCGATGAAAATAATCAAAAAATTGATTCCCAAATTGAAAACTTAGATCATGATATTATCATTAAATCTTCAGATCATGTTAGAGTATTAGAATTCGCAATGATTGATATTACAGATGTACAACAATATATTATTATTTATAATACAATTAATAATAATATAACTATTGATCACCGATCTTTCGATTACAGTATTACAAACCTTTCCATTTTCTATTTACAAGGTCCATTTGAGAAAGATTATATAATGATTAGTTCACTCGATCCAGTAGATTTACAGAATTGCGGATTTAGACTTAAAAAGATTGTACTCAATCCATCAATTCTTGATATTAGGTATTATCTTTGTATTACTAAGGAAAATAGTGATGAACTTGGTTTTATTCAGACTCAATTAAGTGAAAATAACATGATCACCGAAAAAGTTATTACAAATATCGAGAAAGATATTTATTATTATTCCTATAAGTTGACGGTAAAATATGCACGAAATAACACATTAGAGATTTATAAAGATTATGATACAGATATTCTTATTAGTTCAAACAATGATACTGTTCCAGTCCTCATATATGATCATGATAAATTTATTGATGAAACTGGAAATAAATTATTATCAACATATGCTGACAAGAAAGTAATAACAATATCCAAGAATTCACCAATTTTTTTGGAAGACAGATCCAATTATTTAATAAATATAACATGCTATAATGCAGTTCGTGATGTTGATTATATTGATTTCATTGATTTATCAGGTACTAAAATTTATTATCTAAACAAGGAATTAGATTCTAAAAAACGGTCTGCATAGTTCCCATCATCCCTTCCAATACAGGAATGTATGGATATAAACAAATTTGGGGTGATCATTATTATCTTTATTCTGAATCGTGCAAAGCTGTTGTTTTTATGAGATACGGATTTTATTTCTATTCTTCATCAGATATTAAGGAACAAAATATAGATCTCACTTCTGTAGATCAATCTAGATCTGCTAATATATTGGAATGCAGCGAATATATTTCTTATGAAGGTTTTCTTGATGTTCCATCTGAAGGCATATCAACAATTACATTCAAATATGGATATGTTATATTTGCCAATGAAGAAAACTTTGTTGATGAAAATTCAACAGATATTAGAACTTGGTACAAATTAGAAGAAGTGAGGACATTCAAAATAAAAAGAAATCCAAACAGAAAATATGATCATCATCAACTTCGCTATTTCTTTTTGCCATTCTGGGGAAAAATGATGCCAATGTTTATTATCAATTATTTCTCAGAAGTTAAAGATGATTATATTACAGTTAGATATCAGGAATATTTATATTCAACAAATTTATTAATAGTCATAAATCCATTCAACTCCACCATAAAAATCAATGAAAAAATGAGAATATATGAAAAAGATCTCATTCATTATCAGGAACTCGATAAAATCGAAAATGTCAGATGCGTTATCGCACAACCCATAAGATCTTTGTTCTATGACTTCAAGATGGTAGTTAATCAATATATCCAAAATCCAGCAGTGAATGAATATAACTTTTTCAAAATTATGTGGCAAGGTATACTTCGTACTGAATCAATAGACTATGTGCCAAAACCCAAGTATCAAGAATTTAACTATCCTAAATATGGTCAATTTTTCATAAGATTGACAGAAGAAAAAAGAATCATTGATATTGAAGCAGGTACATCTGTTTTAATAAATTGTGATGATTTTAGCGGTATTGAAGCAGTTTCCCAATTTGATAAATTTGAAGTGAATTTACTGAAAAGTGGAATCATGAATATTGAATATAAGGAAAATGGATTACTAATTCTAAGTTATGAAGGCCGTTTTAAATCAAAGTATGCATTTTTGGTTTTTTACCAGAAAGAAGATAGTGAATGTGTGATGGCAATTGTCTTTGGAACTTTAAATTTATCATTTTTTGCAAATTCTCGAAATCCTCGAAAGGATCAAATTCAAATTAAGGATGGAGAATGTCAAGATTTATATGTTTTCTTCTCTTATAAAGATACCAAAATTCGTATTCCAGAAAATTCAAATTTCGCATTGAAATACAAGAATATATTTGAGCCAAATGCTACCAGAATAATAAATGATGTTGGAGAATATTTTGAAGATCCAATGATGATTAAAATTAAACCAACTGACACAAAGAGTGAATCATCTTTCACAATTAGTATTGATAATCCATACGCAGTTGAGAAATCATATCTTATCACCGAAAACAGCGAATACAAATCCGTTGTATCTTCAGACTTCAACAAAAACCCAAACCCTAATCCAGGAAACAATAGTGAACAAGAGCCAAATGAAAATTCTACGACAACTTCTATCCCTGACAATAATCCAACATCAGAACAGCCAAAAGACAATCTACATGGAGACAAACCAAATAAAAAGAATACTGTAGGAATAATTGTCGGAGTACTTGTTGCATTGATTGCTATTGCAGCTGCTTCTGTTATTGGATTTATAATTTATAAGAGGAAGAATAATAGTAAAGAAGAAACAGTAGAAGTCCAATACAAATGGGAAAGATCTGAGGATGAGATAGATATTTAAAACTACATTTTAAAATAAACATTTCAAAAAAAATTCCTTTCATCAGTGTCTATTTATCAATTTTGGGAAAATGAAATCACTTACAAATAGAGTTCAATAATAATAAGTTATATTTAAAATAGAACAAAGTCATTTTATGGTATGATGTCAGCACAGCAAGCTAAGATTCGCTTAATCTCTCGCAATCATATTTTGAATCGGAGAATTCAGGTAGTATGATAGGATAATGTGAACTTATATGTGTCATTGTTTTTTGTTGTGTTAGTGCTTATATCATTCAAAGATAATATTTCTAAATTACAATTGGCTATTGAGAGTTTTCATCACAATGCATTTTGAATATGTAATTTAGGCCAGTGTGGTCTTGGAGTAAATAATGTTATTCTTTACAATTTGAATTTTCTCTTTTTTTGCACTTTATTCCTTTAAATCATTTGCCCATTGCTTTCATTCGATTTATTTTAGCAAATACACTATGAAATAAAACTCGACAGCTTATTTACATCCCTTTCATATCGTGATATCCTGACTTATATTCGCAAAACCTATAATTATTTGTATTATAACATAAAACTTCATTCCAATCTTATTTAATCATTCATATCTTATTTTATGTATTGTCAGGATCTTTGGATTCCGTTGAATGGTTTAAATCTGATAACAAACAATTACAAAATTTAATTCAATTTTTGAGACAGATTAAAATATTTTCACATATAATTGTAATGATTTTTCTCTTTGTGAATTGTTGGCAAAATGAGATTAATAATTTGAAATTTTGAAGTAGTAGGATAGGATGGGTTTTGTGACTTTTTTTGTAAACGTAAGAATTCATACATTATTGAACAATTTTGTAACATTTTTTTTAACATATGAAGTAAAAAATGTATGATTCTTACAGTTTTTATTCTTACGTTTTAGAATAAATCAAGATTTAAAAAATTTTCAAAAACGTAAGACATTTACACTCAGCCCATACATAATGAAATAAAAAATAATTTTTTAAAAAATAAACACATTAAAAAATTAACATTAATTTTAAAATATATTTATTTATAAATCATTAAAAAATTAACATTAATTTTAAAATAATTTATTTTATCTTTTATAAAAGAAGCTATATATAGATGATGTCAGATATTCCGCGATTAATTAAACATCATTTAAATCCTGAATGGGTTAAACTTCAATTTAAAAATAAACTTTAAAAATTCATGTCTTACATTTTTGAATAATTTATTTTTTTATTTCGTAAGAAAATGAGTGGATCAAGATTCGTAACCGTCAATCAATTAATGGATGCTCTTTCACCAATTCTTGAAAATGTTAAACAAGTAGATGTTTATTTCGATGATTATGTAGAAAGTTTATATTATAAAGGTAAACATAATATTAAACCCATTGCTTTTGCATTTGATAATAAATTAATTGAAAATGCAAAAATTTGGGAATTAATTCCAGATATTGAATATATAACGAATATAACTAATAAATGGTTTAAACGAATTCCAACCACAAAAGTTCTTTGTAAATTAATGATCAAAACCGAGGCCAAAGAATTTCATGAATTTACATATCATCCAAATAAAGTTTCAGAACTAGAAAATGAAAAACTTCAGAAAAAATTAAACGATAGACTTTCAAATGATCATATTGAAAAAATAAATAAACTAGCAGAAGTTGCATTTAATAATGAAATATTTGATGAATATAACCTTGAACTCAGTGATGGGCTTTAAGGACCCGGGCTCAACGAGTCATGATTTATGATATCAATTATTTGATTCATTCTTTCTTCAATCTCTTCTATTCTTTTTGTTAAATCATCTATTTTCATTAATGATGTGATTCTTGATTGAGGAATAGATTTCAAACTAACCACTCCTTTTATTTTTGAAATTTTGAATCCATCAACTTTAAACATTTTATTCAATTTACACGTTGTCAATTCTTCAAATAATTTTTTATTATTAGCATAATAGTCATTAAATTCTTCAACAGATGAAAAAATTTTTATTTCAGTAATTGGTTTAACAACGTTTATTTTTTGTTGAACATTTTCACTTTCATTTATTTCTTCCGCCTCTGTTTCATTTATTTTTAAAATCGGTTTCATTTATCATTAAGGATACCCTTACGTGTCAGATTTTTTGCGCATACGAAGAAGTCATGCTAGACATGAGCTATAAACCTGAAATTTTAGCAACATATTTAAAACTTTTTAAACTACAATACACTTTAATATTCAAGAACAAAAATATTCTTTTTAGAAATTACATAATTATTTTATGTGAAATCTATATAAAAACATATTTTGCGAGCGTAACTTTTTTCTTTATAAGCACCTTATATGACTGATAAACTGTGAAGGCACATAATTGTTAATTCATAGAGTTGATATGTTTCCAAAATTGAGAGGAAATTTGAAAATTGAATACCCTTTCAATTCAATTTTCAAAAGATATCAGCTCCTTCAATAATTGAAGGACGATTTTGATCATTTGCTCTTAAAACAAGTATGCCATGGAGAAAAAGTTACGCTCGCAAATCTGAAATATAACTATCATATAAAAAAATTAAATTTCTAATTTTTTACTCTATAGATATTATTGGCCACTTGTGTAATGCATAAAAGTTTATGTCATATGCATATATTTGGAAGTATGGGAGACGAGGGAAATTACTTCTATGAGGCACTAGGATTTTTAAAAATTTCTCTATCGGACTCACCATTCAATTTCTCGAAAATTAAAAAAAATCAATAATAGCTAAAATGTATTATGCATAACAAATTTTAATGTTACACGGTATTTTTTGAACTTCATGACATGAATTTTCTTTATATTATTTTTTTTTGGATTTTCTATGATTTATGCGATAGGCTGGAACAACATTGTAAGTGCAATGATATCATTTATAGAGAAATCTAAAACTTCAGCATTCAGAACTCGCAACCACAAAAATATTCATTTGCTAAGTAAGTAAAGTTGATTAAGTTCGACACTTAGCTTTTATACGTAAAACCAAGTGTGTATTGTTATTTCTTGTTAAATTATTGAGAAAAAAATAAATTGTAAGAGAAACGATACTGATTATTGAAATAATATTGAGGGTAGCTGCAGATTTCTTCATTAACATGCCGGAAATTTGTTAATCTTGGTTTTCTATCATAAAATCTGTCGAAGAATCTAAAAACGGAGATATGAAATAGAGATCATGTAAATCTAGAGTATCCTGTCAGAAAAATAGACTAAGCATGTAACCCTTTTTTGGTCATAAACACTTTTTACCACTTAGTCATACAGATGATCATTAAATTTAAACGAGCACTTTTTGTCAGAATTTATTCTTTTACAAAGACAGAAGATTTTAGTATTATTTAATATTAGTGCTGTAGCAAAATTCAAAAAACGGTGAAAATTCAGTGAATTTGTGAATTCACATTTTTTTCGACATTTTTCTTGATATATCCATGCACATTAAGAACACAGCTTTGATACGCTTAAAAAAGCATATTTCATATGAAATTGTTAAAGAAATAAACAATTTATATAAAAATTGCACTTATGGGCAGTTTAGATATATAATTTATATATAACATATATACAAATCCATAGACAAAGTGCAATAACTACAATGTTGTAGAAAATTACAGCAGAAATACTGACTTTTTGAAGGATAATAAGAATTCTTCTAAATGTTGTATTTTTATAATTTGATTGATTTTTTTTACTATTTCATTAATCTTTTATGAATAATAATTATTTTTAATATATGTGCTATTAAAATTTCAAATTTTGACTAATATATCTAAGTTATCTGAACGAAACATTTAGAAAATATCATACTTACATTGAAATAGCAAGTAGAGCATATTAATAGCAAGTTTCTTGGCTTTATATCTATCATCTATTGTTGTTTGATCAAACAAAATTCACTCTATTATATGGTGTCAATTAATTAAAACAATTTTTAATAGTTATTTATTTAGTGCGAATAAGTGCAAACTCATAAATGAATAACTTAATAGTAGAAATGAATTATCTGATATAAATCTCACATTTTGTCCATCAGAAATACTTTAATTGCATACGCATAACTATTAGTAATACGTCTGGAGTGTCAATTAATAACAATCCCACAACAAGTAAAATTCAGATTTTTATTAAACTTATTTTTTCCTAAAAGTTTTCTCAAATTACTATATATACATATGTGGATAAAATAATAGTAATATTGTAAAAAATTAGATAATTTTTTTTATTTGAGAACCTCTCAAAAGTTCATTCAATTTATCAATTGTTTCAGTTTGATGTATATTCATTTCTGGAGCCTAAAACTTTAGCAATCATGACAATATCATATTCTCTTTCTAACTACGCAATGTAAGGGTATCCTTAAATAAAAATTAGAATATAAGTGATGAAATATATTTTTTAATTAATATTAAATCAGAAATGGCGGCAGGATTCTTTAAAAAATTATGGGATGGAATTAAGAAAGCTGCAGGTTGGGTTTATAAAAAGGTTATTAAACCTGTTGCAAACTTTTTGGCACCAGTAGCGAAAACGGCAGGAACTATCATAGGTGGGGTATTAGGTACTAAAGCAGGTAATCCGGCGATGGGAGCACAAGCAGGTAACGCAGTTGGTGGAATTGCTGAAGGAATACTTAATAAAATAGGAGGTAGATAGTGGAAAAATAAATAAATATTATTTTTATCTTAGTATTGGTTGTAGTCTTTGATAAACTTTTTCTCCTTTATTTAATATTTCTCTTATTGGGGCAGCTTTTGGTGTTATTGATTCAGCAACGTCACTAATTGCTTCTTTATTCTTAAATATCCAATTTGCTCCTTTCTTCATTGTTTCCCAAACTTTATGCGCTCCTCTTTTTACTTTATCCCACAGTTTCTTAAAGAATCCTGCAGCCATAGTTGATTATTTCATTAAAATTAAAAATTCATTTTCATCTTTTAATTTTGATTTTTTATTTATTAATAAATGACGACTAACTATTTGGTGCCAAACACTAAACCGATTAATGGAAATGTGTTTCATTCATTCGAAAAGATAAATGAAATATTCGCAAAGAATGATGGTAGAAGATATTATAGAGAACTTGAAAGTTCATGCTATGACTCTGATGCTCCATATTTTGATGATAAACAAACTCATTTAAGAATTACAAATCCGGCTCATGATGTGAATCAATTAGGTGACACATATATTAAACGCAAAGTTAAAGCAACTCTAGTTTCAAATAAAGCTTTCACATGTGATGCCGCTTTTAAATGCATGCGTTTATTCGTTGGTTACAAATCATCAAATCAAAGCTTTAAACAATTAGAAGTAGAAACCGAAAGAGGTGATGCCGGTTATCTTCAGATGGATTGCGCCCGTGAATCTTTCGCATTTGCAACATATAAACCAAAATCAGAAAGGAAAGTTAAAAAGTTTGTTCATTCGTTATATAATAATGTTCAAAAATATGATAACTCAGTATGTGGTAAATATATTGACCCTTCAGAAGTTTTCAAGAAAGCAAATGAAGAAGTTGATATCACTTTTGATATGATTATTCCGGTAAATGATTTGTTAGCATTTCAGGCGTTCGATGATTATCCTAAATCATTTGGTGAAATCATTCTTAAATATTATGTTTTCAGGGATACTTTAGTATTTTGTCAGGTTGACCCGTTAAGAGTTGCTGATTTACAAAATTATGTTTATGAAAAGATAACTGATGAAAATTATGAAAAGATTATGAATCATGTTTATAAATATGATCGCAAATTCCAACAAATCGGACTTCCTGCCAAATTAATTACAAGCTTAGTCGCTACATCTGCTGACGCAACAGTTGAAGACGTTATTATTTCATGCACAAAGATGGAAGTTTTAGAGGATAAATGTATTACACCAGGATATGGTTTAATTGAAGAATCAGTTAAAGCAATACCACGTTTATTCAGTAAGGAAGATCCATTCATGATTCCAGCTCAACATATTGACGTTCGTTCACTAAATGGAGGTTGCATCACTCCTGAAGGTATCAGCTCGGATTTCTCATACGCTCTTCATAATGTTACAGATGTTGTGTTAGCATTTCCGAAGAATGCAATGCAAAGAACAGTTTTAGAAAATCCAATGCTTCGAGGTCTTCAGGTCACTATAGATTCCAGAAACTTCCCCGATCAAGCGATGACCACAGTGGGTGACATATTCTTTACACGTATGCTTCAAGCTTCTGATTTAGATGGAGTGAATGAATGCACGGAAGAATACGAGGACTCATTAACTAGACCACTGAATGATGATAATGGCACGCCATTAGCTAGAACATGGAAAGACCAAACTTCATTCTTATGCACTATTCCAGTTCAACGTGATGGAGCGGGTATATTCTTTGATGGATTAGAAACTTTCAATTCACAAGTTACAGTACAAGTGAAAGCCTATCCAATCATTCAGGGTGAAAATGACACTTACTGTTCAAAAGTGACAAATCCTCCTCAGGTTTGGTTTACTAGGACTACATATTGGACATGGACACCGGATGAAGGTTTGAAATATCATCCAACAGGTACACCACCGCAGTATAGAAGTTCATATGATGAAATATTGATGAATAGAAATGTTTAAAATTATAAATTTATTTTTGATTAAATGGATTTAAATTCATCCACTCCTTATGAAGAATTAGCGGGAGTATATAATACATACGTAGATGATATGATTAATGAAGCATTGAGTGATAATAGAAATGCTCTATCTAAGGAAAAATTAATGAAAATTCCATATTCTGAATGTTACTTAAATTCAATCACTGCAGCAATTGGTAAACAAAATAAAGGTAAAACATTAACGATATTAAAACAAATTATCATTATTGCTAACACTTCCCCCATTCACATGTGTTAATTTATATCAACCGTTCAGGTTCACCTTCAGATGATACATTTGAATCTTTAAAGCATTTAATCAAAATTCCAATTATTTATTTATCACAAGAAGAAGCAGAAGATTATTTAAAAAACTTTTTAATGTATAAAGAATTATATAATACAATCAAGAAGCAAGGATTAGAGGATAAAATTATTGATAAACAACGGGATGAATTATTTGAAACACTTTCTATTTCAAATTTTGATAGAGAATTTTTGCATTCACTAATTTTTCTAGATGATGCGGTGAAATCAAAACTAATAACTAATGAGAAATCATATTTTAATCAGTTATTAACTCAATGTCGACACATTCAGTGTTCATTCTTTATGGCTGTTCAATACTTCAAAGCATTAAGCACAAACATTAAATCAAATCTATCAACCCTTTTCATTTTCAGTGGTTTTAGTCGTCAACAGTTGAACGTTATGCTTTATCAAGTGAATTTACCAATGAGCATTAATGAACTTTACACACAATATCAGCAATTAGGTGAACATGGAAAAATAATAGTTGATTTAAATAAAGGAGGTGTTAAATTTGATTAACTTTTTATAATTAATTTTTATTTTTTATTTATAATTAAACATGACAGAAATAGCAAATCTTCTACAGGTTCCATTAAAACAAGGGACAAACAAAAGGGGTGCATATAATAGAACTATGAAAGTTCCAGACGGAATGAAAGAATTAGTTCATATTGTTGCCGGTCTTCAAAAAGATGTTAAACATGACACAAATGCGAAATCAAACAATCTACCAGTTGCCGGTCTTCAAAAAGATGTTAAATAAATGCGAAATCTTTCATATAATCCAGAAACTAAAACTGTATCAAATGAGGACACCACCAACATTATGACTCATTTTGTTGGAGTTGACTTTAATTCATTATATCCTTCATCATTTTCATCTAATCCTCATGATTTCATTAAATATACTGACCATAAAATGTATATGCCGGGAAGATTGAATGGTGTTATCATTTGTGATACAGCAACAAAGAAAGCAAAAGCATTGGGAATAATTAGAAAGAAAAATACTTTATTCGTGGCTGAAGTAAAGGGTCACATTGATGAAAAATACATTAATGATTACATAAACTTTTTACCGATAATAAGAAACTTAGATATTATCACAGATGAAAAAACAATTGGCAGTTTTATGTATAATTACATGAAATCAAACAATCTACCAGTTGACCAGAAACAAACGAAGTTCAATGAATGTGCTTGACCCAAAGGTCTGGGCTTACCGAATGAACGTAAATGTTTTGACATACTGACAGAAGAAATAGAAGCTACGAAATTGTTTAGGATTTCAAATCAAAGATAATAAGAAGAAAATGGTTGATATTGGTTGTGTGTTGATGCTAACTGAGTTAATTTTCTTTGTTTCTGGTCAACTGGTAGATTGTTTGATTTCATGTAATTATACATAAAACTGCCAATTGTTTTTTCATCTGTGATAATATCTAAGTTTCTTATTATCGGTAAAAAGTTTATGTAATCATTAATGTATTTTTCATCAATGTGACCCTTTACTTCAGCCACGAATAAAGTATTTTTCTTTCTAATTATTCCCAATGCTTTTGCTTTCTTTGTTGCTGTATCACAAATGATAACACCATTCAATCTTCCCGGCATATACATTTTATGGTCAGTATATTTAATGAAATCATGAGGATTAGATGAAAATGATGAAGGATATAATGAATTAAAGTCAACTCCAACAAAATGAGTCATAATGTTGGTGGTGTCCTCATTTGATACAGTTTTAGTTTCTGGATTATATGAAAGTTTATTAATGTGCGTGATTCCTTTAAGATTAACACGATGTTGAACATTTGATAGACCACCAGTAATTCCATTACGGAGAATGTGATAAGCTTCAACTGAATCTAAAGTCATTGGTAAATTATTTTTTAATGCATAATTTCTTAAATTGATTCTTAAACGTTGAACATCTTCATCTTTATTTGATTTTACGACATTGCAATAACAACACATTAACCGACAATTTTCTTTGGTATGTGGTTTTTCATTATCGATTCTATCTAATGTTGGTTTATTTGCATATGTAAACGCTTTACCACACATTTTGCATTTAGATGAAAGGATTAAATCGTGATAGTATTGAAAATCATCCATTGAAACATTATTTTTAGTATCTCTTTCTGCTTTTTCATCTTGTTTCTTATATGATTCAATTTTATATTTCCAATACTTTTTCGTTAATTCAAAACTTGATTCCACATTTTCTTCTTCTGGATATTTTTCGTTAGGATTAAAGTCTTTATATGCTAAAGCGTAACGAATCATTGATGCATTCGATGATAAAGAAAGATTATGAAGCATGTCAATTTTATAAACAAATGTTTCTTCAATAATTTTATCAATTGGGTCAATCATAATTTCAACATCTTTATTGCAATAATGAATAAAATATTCTAATCTATTCTTAAAATTTTTAGCATCATTGAGATATATTTGATAATCACTATCTGATATAGTTTCTTGAGTTAATGCTGAATAAAATGAATCTTTCGTGAATGGTTCCTCTTTATATAATTCTTCTTCGTAATTTTCCCACGTGATGAATTGATAAGGGAAAAAGGATTTAACACGTGATTTATTGTTTCCGAAATCTCGAGTGAATTGGTCTAATGTCCCACCCGCTATATAATTTCTGATGTCAATAAATCTCAATTCATATGGAACGTTTGTTTTCTTTACAATGATTTGCTTAAATTGTGAAGATGAACCCAGCATTGATTTTATTTTCCATTTTGCAGTGTTTAAATCACGAAGAATTAAATTTAAATCAAACTTTCCCGAATTAAAACCTATGATATTCACTTTATTGAATTCCTCATCTAAAAGTTCTTTAAATACTTCCTTCTGTTTTTCATTTAATGTTTGTGACTTCATTAATTCTTCATATTGTTCAATATTTGATTTAGCAACTAATGAACAGGTTGAAAATAAAAATTCAATCCAATCAGAAATAAAAGAATCACTTGAAGTTAAGCAAAAATTCCTCGTATATGTTTTATCACGGTCTACGACCTCACCGCTTTGCGGCTTTATTTTGACAGTTGATGATACCATAAATGGTTTTAAGTAAGCGTTCAAAGTTGCACATTCAGAAAGTTGAGGTTCTTCTTTAGTCTCTAATGTTTCGAAGTCAAAAGTAATATAATATCTTGTTGGTTTATAATATTCCTGCAAATTATGTGCTAATAGCCATTGATATATCTTCTGTTTCGTGATATGTGGTGCATATGGTTGTTGTGTGTTTTGCAATTGAACGTCTTGAATTAATCTTCCATTATTTTCTTTACATTTCTCACAATGTTTTAAAAATCTTCTTTGGTTTTTCCTTTCTGGATCATCACGGATAGAATATACTTCTTCTTTGCAAAAGGGGCAAACTCTATAGCCGGTGAGTGCTTCAACGTCTGTTATTCTGTCAGCGTGAAGTTTTCCACATGGACTCTGTGTTAATAAAATATTTACTGTTTCAAATTCTGGATCTATCATTATTGAATCCACTAATGGAAAGTCTACCTTATTTATGTCCACGTCTTCTGGTTGAGGGTCACAATAATAAAAATCAATATTAATGTTTAACATTCTTGCTAACCTCTCACTTTCTGATGAAATGTCAAACCCTTCATATGCATCTATTGCTTCGTTTAAATAACTTCTACGAGTTTTAGGATTAACACCATCAGGAATGTTATAGAAGCGTTTAAATAACCTTCTACCTTCTGCTCTAATTTGATTATCATTCATTTTAGCTGTTCCATTTTTGTTCATTTATGTAAGAATAAAAATTAAAAAATAAATAAAAATAAAGTTTATTTTTTAAAGTCCGAGACTCAGAGAGTCCAGGGCTAAAGTCCATAAAATGAATTAAGAACACATAAATTTTTATCATCTGCGACGTGACGAATACATTTTAATTTACTCAAGAATGCGTACCCTGATACATTAAATCTAATTCCTGTCTTATTTAATTTCACAACTTTGAAAAGGAATGTATGAATAGCTATAAAATGATGAGAAGATGTTTTATGGGTTGCTTCCATTTTTTCTGAAATAAATGAATAAATATAATGCTTATAAGTTTTCATATCTTTTATATTCTTAATAACGAATGGTATAGACCTTTCCACTTCGTCTTCCTTCGGTGCTGTTCTTTCATATGAAACATTATTGGTATCTTCAATAATGAAACCACAATCACATAAAATTTTATATGTACCAATTGTTTCTTTTGATATTTTATCTAACAAATCAAAAACTTTATCAACACCCGTGCATTTATTTAAATAATAATTTGTGTAAATATCATGGTCTTCTTTCTTAATCGTATTTGTTGCATATGTTACATTTTTCAATGCTTTTTTGAATTTTTCAGAATCAAGAGGAGGTGAAAGTAATATACAGGGGTATTCTTCATCGTCAATAAACTGAAGCTTATGTTTATGAATAAATTTTGTGCCTTCTTCTGAAAGTGTTTCGTCAATATCACCATCTAATAAATTTTTAGTAGATTCCAAAAAGTAATTTTTATATCTTTCTTCATGAGATTTCTGAACTTCTGATTCTGAAGCTGGGATATTCATTAAACCCTCTACTTCATTCTCATTATATTTTTCAACTTCTCTTAATTCCTTAATTTTTTCATCTATTTCATCTCTTATTTTTTCCAGTCTTTCAATTTCATCATATTCATCATCTTTAATCCGTTCTTCATAATATTCAGGGAAAACATCAGGTTCTTTAGGTTTTTCTTCTTCAGATGTGGGATATAAGAAATTTATAACATCATCTTTATTCATTTTTCCATCATAATCTAAATCATTTAATAACTCGGCAAATTTTTGACAATTTCTTAAATAATATTTATTAACTTCATAACCCGCCTCCTCTAATATATCCTTTATTTCCTCGTTTGTGAATCCCATTTTTTTAACATTGTTAGTTTTGACGCTCATTTCATACAAAATAAAAAAATAAAATAATAAACATAACTAAGTTTTAATTTTTCGTAAGACATGAATTTTTAAAGTTTATTTTTAAATTGAAGTTTAACCCATTCAGGATTTAAATGATGTTTAATTAATCGCGGAATATCTGACATCATCTATATATAGCTTCTTTTATAAAAGATAAAATAAATTATTTTAAAATTAATGTTAATTTTTTAATGATTTATAAATAAATATATTTTAAAATTAATGTTAATTTTTTAATGTGTTTATTTTTTAAAAAATTATTTTTTATTTCATTATGTATGGGCTGAGTGTAAATGTCTTACGTTTTTGAAAATTTTTTAAATCTTGATTTATTCTAAAACGTAAGAATAAAAACTGTAAGAATCATACATTTTTTACTTCATATGTTAAAAAAAATGTTACAAAATTGTTCAATAATGTATGAATTCTTACGTTTACAAAAAAAGTCACAAAACCCATCCTATCCTACTACTTTTTGAAGATTAGATATAGACTAAAATGGTTAGTATTTTATGATTACACGTTGATAAGCTACCAATATTTTAATAAAAAATAATTGTCTTACGCTGAAATATTTTTTTTCCAAAAATTATTTAAGCTCTAATTGAATAATTAGGTGGTCAAATTAATATGTGAGCTATATGTAACTGATTTTATTTGGTCAATCTTGAATTTACACTAGATTTCTCAAAAAAATAAAAATTATTTTGTGAACAATCCAACATTATTGTAATCTTTCGATTAGATGATTATTTATGAATATGAACAAGTTTTTTCAACAATTAAGAAATTGGATTGTGAACCTTATGAATTAAGGAATCCCTTATTAGGCACAATATATGCAACATGCAACGAATTAGCTTATAATTTTCTTGTTGCTTGAAAAATCATGGTTTTTTCATTTCGATCAGAGAAAACTGTAATTAAATTTAAGATATTTTGTTGAAAATTAATAATCCAATGCTCCAAAACAAATATCCTTTATTCGTCTCTGCGAATTGTTGTTCAATAGAAGTTCAATGCGAACAAAAAAAAATTATCTAGTTTTATTACCGTATTAAATATATAGGGTTATTAACAAAACGATATCTATTCAAAAAAACAAAAACTGCCACATATTTCTGTCAAAATTTTACAGCAAACCTAAAAATCCTTTCAATTTTGAACAATGATATTTTAAATGAAACAATTACATGTAATAATGATTAAAACATTTTTGATGTTTTGCACGTTAAATGTCATTTTGGGAAAATTTGTGCTTTTATGCCCTGCAACATTAATAGTTAATAATATTTTGACCAAAAAAGATCGATTAGTTTCTGATTTTACAATCAAAAATCATCGAGTGGGCTTACATCCGAAAAAGGAGAGAGGGTCAAAGTTGCTATTTGTCACTTTTCCACAAGAATCTAATGGGGAAAAAGTTATCATATAGTTGATCTCATTCACTGAGGTGAGAGATGCATGTAGTGTAATGGGATAAACAGTAGGATTGCTGCTCTAAGTTATAGGTTCGAGACACATTGGCTTCATTTTTCTCTTTTTTATAGACGTAAACTATTCAATTTTTGTGTTCTCCATTCAAATTTCAGAATTTTTTTTGCAGATTTCACGCTACATTCGAAGTTACCTTTTGTAACAACCACCACTGCCTACGAAAGACGAAAGTGTGTCACGATTTCACCCGGAAATCCGATGGTTGTTTAAGAGTAAGCACTTTTGGCACCTACTCTCCGAAAAAGTATGAATTTTCTGCTATTGCATGCTGCTCAAAAAGGTGATATTTTTGTGGATTACGCCAACTGAACTCACAAATTGAAATGCAAATCAATGAAAATTCTAATAATTATATTTAGCAAAAGTCATATATTAGAATTTTGCAGTTTTCATATTTTCACGTTAAATTATCTCTCTCAATTAAAGGCATTTTTGATAGCAACAAATTGAAAGAACTTTTCTCAATTTTTTTACATTTGATTTTTTCAGAATAGATGTTTGATTTTGCTTCTAATATACCGCAGGACTTTTCAAATTTCATCGAAAAGAGCGACCTTTTATGGGATGCGTCAGATGAAGAGAAGGATAGCATTATATGCCAAATTTGCTCCGATATCCAACAAGGAAATCTTAAATTAAGCAGCATCATTGAACTTATTGACAAAATATGTCTATATAGGCCTAAAAAGATACGTATTTACACCGATATTTGTCAAGCTCTCCTCCAAAATTTAACCGGTAACAATAAAATTCAGAAATTATACTTTAACTCCTCACGTCTCAGATCAGCATTAGTTTACAAAAAGCTTATTCCAAACAAATACGGCATAAAATTTGAGAATAATGCCATAGAAAACATTTTTGAATTTTATGAAAAAGGTTCAGTGCAACACGCATTACTCTGGGATGATTTGGATGAACTTCAGACCATTTACTCGAATCCTATGTTCGATACGAATACAAATGTTGATGGTTCGTCTCTAATCGCAAAATCCGCAAAATTTGGATCAGTGAACTGTTTCAAATTCTTATTCATGAACAGTGGGAGTATTGATAAAAAGGCATTACATCATGCATTTATTGGCAACAATTATGAAATCATTCATATTTGCGAACGCCAATTAAAGGTTGATTCAAAATGTCTTGAAAACTCCATCCTTTCCCATCATACAGAAACCTCCTACTATCTCAAGCAGAAGTACAATGTTGATTACTCTTGGAAGACTTCTCTTTCTACATACAACTACAGATTTTTCTTCGAAAAACTTTTCCAACAAAAATCTGTTGACGAAAGAGATTTCAATGGAGAAACGGCTTTGATAGCTTCCTCCAGTCTGAAGAGGTTCAATGTTTGCGAGTACCTTTTGAAGAATAAGTCAAACATAAATACAATGGATAGAAGTGGTTTTTCAGCGTTATTAAATGCGGCAATTGAAGATAACGTCGAAAGTCTTCAATTCCCGCTAAAGAACAACGCAAATATAGAGATGAGAGATGAAAACCAAAGAACTCCATTGATGATTGCTTCCCAATTGAGTAATCTTAAGGTTATGGAATTATTAATCAAGAACAACGCTGATATCGAAGCAATTGATAAACAAAGATACTCTGCTTTGATGTATGCTGTTAGATGGGATCAGACTCCTGCTGTAAAACTATTATTAGATAATGGAGCGAATATTAACGCGAAAAGTACATTGGGAGAGACACCATTGTATATATCTGTTGCTGCAAAGAACTATGAGATGACTCTCTTCTTGCTTCAATATAATCCTGATATTGAAATCCAAAACTACCTTGGATTCACTCCATTGATGAAATGCGCGTTTGATGATTCATTGGAGATTGCTAGATTACTTGTTCTCCACAATGCAGATGTTTCTGCAAGAGATTCTGCAGGATATACTCCTTTGATCATCGCTTCTTATAATAACAGCATCAACGTTGCACAGCTATTAATAGAAAACGATGTTGATGTAAATCAAAGCTCTGATTCTGGTTTAACTCCTTTGATGATCGCATCTCAAAGAAGTAGCATGAATGTTGCCAAGATGTTGATAAAATTAGGTGCAGATATCAATAAAGTATCGAAAGAAGGAAATACAGCTCTTATGGAAGCGATTTCTTGCGGAAATTACGCAATGGCAAAATATTTGCTCAGAAAAGGTGCAAATGCCTCTATTATTAATAAATCTTCTCTGTTGGCACTTGATTTTGCTGTCAATACCGGTAGAAGATTATTAATCGAACTTGTTGCGGAATATATTAACCAATAGATTGTTTTGTAAATTTTTGTGTATTTTATATTAATTTTATGGATTTTTTAACATTAAAAAGCATGATTCTTTGATAAAATATTTGAAATATAAGCACAAGCTAACCAGAGTAAATCAAATTATATTTATTTTGTTGATTTATGATGAAACATTCTTTCTGGGTGATGAGATATTGAAAATTGGTTATAAATTTACCTCAAATTTTGAAATTTTGAATGTTTTCCAAAGAATTTTGATTTAACTATGAAAGATTTATATAAATGTAATCTCAAATCCACTGATCAAAGATAAAAATTTTGAATGTTTCCTTTGATTTTTGCGCGCCATATACCTCGAGGAGCTGTTCTCACTATAATTGATGGATTTGGTGAGAGTGCTTGGCCTCAAGGTAATGGTATTCAAGATGCAAAAACACCAAATCTCGATTATTTGAAATCTCATTACATTTATACTCCTCTCGTTGCTGCACAACAGCCTGTAGGTCTCATTCGTGGAGAGCCTGGGAGTTCTTCAGTTGGACATCAAACATTAGGCCTCGGCAGGATCACTCCAAGTTATTATCAAAAATTAGAAAGTTCTATGAACCCTAAATCAGAAAATTACATCAAAAACAACGAAGTATTAAAGGAAACTATACAACATGCTAAGAAGAATAATGGCCGCGTACATTTTGCTGGTTTATGCACTGATTGGGGCATTTTCTCACATATCAAATTCCTTCCACCTCTTTTTGAAGCCGCAGCAGATCAAAATGTATCTGAAATTCTAGTCCATTGCTTCTTTACACACGCAGATCCGAATCCATCGAGATTTTTAAGGAAAATCGAGGAAGGTTTTCCTAAAAATATTAAAGCCCGCTTTGCTACAATATCATCCCAATTAACATCTCTCGATAAATTTAAGAGATGGGGATTATCCAACGTAACAGCTCAAGCAATCATTGCCGGAACCGCCAAGACGATCAAAGCATCAGACATATACTCTGAAATCGACAAGCTCCAAGCGAAAGGAATCGATTACGACCCTTTTATTTTAACTCCAACTGAAGATGCCCATCTTAAATCCGGTGATTCCATCATTTTCTTCAACCACCGTGAAGAACAGAGCCTCCAAGTTGCAACTCTTGTCATGAAAGGTGTTAATTTACCAAAGAACGTCAAAACAACGCCAATGATCTTATACCACCCATCTCTCAAAGAATTTGAACCGATATTACCTTCAATTACCTACAAAAACAGCTTAGGAAGCTGGTTATCTCAAAAAGGTTATCGACAAATTCGAATTGCCGAGCAGTACAAGAAAGATCACATAACTACATTCTTCAGTGGTGGCATCACACAACCTAAATTCGAAGGAGAAGAAGACGTAATCAACTTTACAAGTAAATCAGAAACAATTGTCGAAAATTTCCCAGAAATGAATGCATCGCTTGTCTTTGATACAGTCGAGAAAGCCATTAAATCTGAAAAATACAAACTTGTCGCTGTCAATTTTGCAAATTGCGATGCGACCGGTCATTCCGGAAATAACACGGCTGTTCGTCTTGCTGTAGAATATATCGACAAGATCATACTGAAAATATTCGAACTATGCAAAGCCCATGATTACGCGTTGTTTATTACTTCTGACCACGGAAATGCAGAAGAAAATACAAATCTCGACGGAACAAGACAAATTGGTCACACAGTTAATAACGTACCTTTCATTACAACCGCCTCCGGTGTAAAATTGGCTCCACAAAAAACAGGCAAAGTTCCATACATCGGAAACGTCGCTGCATCTATTCTCCACGTTCTGGATATTGAACCACCACCGGAAATGGATCCTTCCATCCTCATTGACTCTGTTCCAAGCTGCAACCAAAAGAGAATTATCATTGGATTACTCGCTGGATTTACAATTGGAGTCTGTTCAATTGTTGTAATTGTCACGTTGATGCCGTTTATCAAACATATAATGAGTGATTCCTGCAGAAAACCTGGAGAACCAAGAGTTCAAGTCTGAATTTAGATCAACAGTAAGGATTTTTATATTTTTGTACTTATCTCTATATATTTTATGTAAAAATTATTTACTATTTCTCTCAAATTATCATGTTTTTATATTGTTTTTGAATTTGATGAAATATTATAACCTTTATATATAATATAAAGATGTATTATGTCTATCAACATCAAATCAATCTTATTCTAATGGATGTTACTCCATTTATGAACATGGAAACAGGAAATTCAAATCAGAATTCTAACAATCTTAGTGATTTAAGCCTTAACAATTATGAAAGTATAAAGCATATAAGCTTAAACAGTCAAATGGATGGTTATAATTAATTGATGTATATGACAACAATTTGAAATTGAAGAAATGTCAGTGAAAAATCTGCGAATGTAATGAAAACAAATAAGAAAAATGTTTACATACAATTAAGGTATTGTTTTCTCTTCTCAGTCGCCTCTTTCGAGACAGTGAGAGTGATCGGAATTGAGGGAACTTCATCGTCAAGGAAAGACGATAACAAGGAAAGTGACGATGTCGATATTTCTGAAGATTTTTGCTTCTTTGACTTGGAATCCTTAGATTTTCTTACCTTTTTCTCTCTCCACTGTATCTTAGGTGTTGGGAAAGGCAATTCACCATCAAGTAGGAGTCTGAGTTCTCCATGCGATTTGATAATTCCGTCGCGAGGAGGTCGATCTTCGATTGGCGAAGAGATTCTAGCGGCAAACAGGCCAACCTTGAGCTGGTCCTTGACTTTGTAGAACTTTGCAACGCAGTTCGGACGCAAAGAGCGTTTAATCTTTGAAACAAGTTCGGCATCTTTTCCTTTGAGACCTACAACGACATCTGTATCCTGAATATTAACAACATTCGGTGGAATACCTTCATCAGCATCAACTTCATCTGTATGAACGATAAATCCTGGTAAATCGCAAATAAAATCGTTTTCGTTGAGGGATTTCGGACTTTTTACGTAACCATCGATTTGATCTACGTAAATACCAACTTCCTGCTTCGGACTATCGTACTCTGTAACTGAAAGAGATTCGATAAATTCTGATATTGATTCACTGAAAGTAAAAGGTGTAAATGAGTATTCGAATATTTTCTGTGGACCGTAGAGCATACTGAATACGGCCGAATCTATCATTTCGTTGATGTAATCTGCGTCAACTTGAAATAGATGCACTGCAACATCGATAAATACATTCCAGAACTCTGTATTTCCAGACATAAACAGATCTATGTATTGATTAACGTATTTTCCAATGAAGTTTGCGAAATCTAATTCTGATGAATTCAAATCTTCGACGAGTGATTGTCTGAAGTTTCCATCTGGTACTGCAGATATCAACTCGAATGTATCGCAGCCTGCTGATGTCCTTATATTCTTGCTATCGTCAATTTTCGGAAGGGGCAATGAATATTTGCCAGATCCGCATTTCTTGCATTTAAAATCGGTCGGGAGGCGTCCGAACGATAATCCTTCACAAGCCTTATGGACCCAGAGTCCACATCCTGTGCATTGTATCAAAGGAATTGAATAATTCAAATTTTCGTTACAGCTGCAATCGATTCTCTTTCTCATGCAGAATGGGCATACAAATGGGTGCTTGTCATCTTCTTTTGCTATGTTAACGCATGTCAAATGCATGAAATTGTGGCACATTCTGCATTCGATCAACGTTCCTTCGTTTGCCTGGGACTTGCAAGTGCAAGTAAGGTTGTGGACGTTACCGCATGTATCCATGAACTGTATTGGCTCTGGTCGTTCGACATAATTTCTATTCGGATATGGGAAATGAGGAATTTTGTCCAACGGCTTGTCACATGTCTTTACGTCGACAGTTACAAGCTGTGGTACTGGTATGGCCTTTACCTTTCGGGCCGGTTGCTTGTTTCTTGATGATCTCTCAATTGAATAGTTTACATCTTTCTTCGGCTTTGATGGAAGCGGAACTTGTGGATACTGTTGATATTGGTAATAATATCCATTGTTCGGTAAATAATTGTATGCAGAATATTGAAATGCCCATCCGGAATTTTGAGAGGACTGTTGGTATTGGTATGAATTTGAAATAACTTGCTGCTGCATTGATTGCTGTGCCATGAGTGATTGATACACATACTGAGAGGCATATGGATCTGCCCAATTCCTCATGACATGCAAGGAGTTGATATCTTGAGTATCTGTTTTTTGAATTGGGGGAGGTACGAATGTGGTAACCTTCGGCTGGTAAGATGGCGTTACTGTTGCGTTCGGAGATATTCTTATTGTAGTCGGGGTTTCTGGTTGTGATAACACCCTCGGAGAAGAATCTAGACTTGAGGAAGATGCCATGCCTGATGATGGCTTCGAGACAAGAAGGTCCGCAGTATTGATTGTTATCATCTTTGTTTCTGGCTTATTTGATATTGTAATTGGAGTTAAGGCTTTCTCGTTCTGGTGAATGACAACGACTTTTCGCACTGCGGGTAGTTGTTTTGTGACGGTTTGGTTGTTATTCAATAGGTTGATACTACCGTGAACAAGCATAATACAATAGTAAATTTAAAATAATGAATTGAATAAAAATATACTGCCTCAATATTTTGAATGGTGCCACAATTTCATTACAATCAATTCAAAAGGGTGTCACGTTTTTGATTCAAGCTTAACAGTGCGATTCTTCAAATAGTCAAGTTCACTGAATTCACGAGATACTGCAAGGATGTGACTGCATCCAAACAGAAGAACCCATTTCTCGATGAAAAACGTCATTCTCCTGCATAATTCGTGGAAATTACAACAATTGGTCACTTTCTAGAAGGTCGGAATCATTATCTTGATGAGACTATGTAACGCACTTACATCACTTGTTACCGAAAAACATCACCGAATACGAAGAAATGATTATTATTGGGAGATATCGCATCTCTTAATGTTCATGCACCAAACATTTTCATCTTATGTCATTTGCATTATGCTTAACCCACAAAATCTCTACGATTTACTTGCCAACTTTTACAATTTCGAAGTTCAAATCGATACATTCCTAATATCGAGAGATCATAATTAACGATGGTCAATTTCCATGCAGTGACCAAAGTACATTACTTGTTCCAAATCCAAAAATTCATATACCTCCCTCTAGAAGCAAAATTTAGTTATCGCATAAAATATCTTTCCAAATATTTCTTTACTAATCTTCATGCTTACTCAGTAAAATGTTGTAGTACTACGTATATATTTTTATTTTACATATTACCCAAAGCATATACTCATATTTAGTCTGATTTTGAAAGTACGGTCATGTCAATACTATTCTTATGATAAAACTTATTATATTTAATGTTCCTTATAAGACATAAAGCATGATATAAGAAGAAGAAACCTTCAATTAGCTTGCAATTAAATTATTGAGAAATATAGTTAGACAATAGCCTTTGAAGATTGTAATAATCCCTCAAAATACAAATCATCTATTGTTGGATTGCATAACAATTGAACATTGTCTGAATACAAGTTTATCTAATTCGAGGAATCTTTTTAAAGTATAATGACTGCATGTTCAACAAGGTAACTCTGCTCATTCCCATAAGTGATCCTAGCATGCGATTGTTAGCATATCCCAATGAAGATAGGATCTTGGATTTTTGGTTGCTATTCCTGTGATTTTAAAAACAAAACCTAAATTAATTGGTGTACTATAACAGTTTGCAAATAATTTCTTTCTATACACGAGTTAATTATCCTTGATTTCATACGTTTATCAATTATATCATTTATATTACGCGTTTTATTTATGTTATTTCCTCCACAATTAACTCAATCCAATATAAAATGGCAAAAATCCAACGATTTTATTTCAATATGTTGAATTTTGGAAAAAGGATATTGAAAAGATATATTCCATACTGTGTTCAATAAAAAGATTCTATCAAAAACCTTCAGATGGTTATTCAAATTCTTTGATTGCCATTTGGTTTTATCGAAATTCATAAAAGTATTAACATTCTACTTATTAACTCAGATGTAATATAATCAAAAAGATAAAGTTTATTTTTATGTCAAAAATAATTATTATGAAGTTAATCAAAAGATATTATGATATTTCAACTATCAATTAATCACTTGTATATTGCTTTGTGTCTCAGTATTAAGAAGAAGAAGTTCTGCTGTTTTTTCTTTTTCATAAAAAACTGCAACATCAAGAGGAGACTGATCATCTTTGTCAATTATTGTCGAATCTGCACCATGAGTAAGAAGAATTTTTGCTGCTTCATAACTATCCATTTCTGCAGCATAATGAAGAGGGGTTCTTTTGTTATCATCAATTTTATTGACGTTTGCACCACGAGAAATTAGATAACTTACTGTTTGAAAAGAATTATGTTCTGCTGCAACATGAAGAGGAGTTTTTCCATTATTATCTCTCATATCAATTTCTGAATAATTCAAAACAAGAAGATCAGCGATTTTCTTAAAATCAAATATGGCTGCCATATGAAGAGCTATTCTTCCAGAATTATCTCTTATATTTGTATTTGCACGACTATAAATAAGTAATTCTGCTGTTTCCTGACAATTTCTAAATACAGCATAATGAAGAGCTGTTTTATGAGTAATATCTGATGCATTGATATCTATTCCATGCGAAATAAGTACTTCAGCAGCTTGTTTACAATTATACATTGCAGCAATATGAAGAGCAGTTGTTTATTTTTTATCTTTTGCATTTATATCAGCACCATTTTTAATAAGATATTCACAAAGGGAAGGAAGATTAAAAGCTGAAGAATAAATAAAGCATGTATTGATATCATTTGATTTATATAAATAACTTATAAAAGCTTCAAGATTGTTGTATTGTGTACATGTTAATAAATAATTTTCTAGCAAATACGGTTTTGATAAATCAAATTCTGGTAAAAACAAATTAAGAAAGTCATTGTGGTGCATGAATATTAAATCTCTCATGTGTTGCTGTTCCAATTTTTGATGTTTCAAGCATTTATTTATTATGTCGATATCTCCTCCATAAAATGACAATTGAAGACAATCAGCTGTAGTTTCTGGATCGCATTCGGCAGCACCATGGTAACAACATAATGAGATTAAAGATTGTTGAGGAAATTGATATAATTCATTATATATCATGATACTTGCATTGAAATCGTCTCTTGCAAGAAATTCTTCAAATAACTTTTTGTCATCATTCATGATAGCCCAGAAAATTGTATCCTTTTTGTGAACATCCCAAGAATAATTTTGCTCTTCATATTTTTTGAAATTTTCTTGATGCTTATCATCATAAATTATTTCATACTCTTTATATAAAAGATAATTGTAAATTTCACGAACTTCTTTCATTGGTTTTTGTATATATTCGTAATAAATTCTTTTGAAAATGTATATGTATGATTTCAAATAGCGATTTCTAAACATTGAAGCATTGTTAAGGATTATGAGAACTTTTTCTGGTGTTAAAATCTTTGTTTCGATTATTTTGTTTTTGATATCGAGAAATATTTGGTCAATTTTTTCTTCATCGAATGTATTAAGACAATAAATTGCATTCATGGTATCTATGTAACTCTTATTTATATTCATATGGTCACTAACGTTGTTCGAATTCATTTCAACAGAAAAAAAAATTATTGAATGGTTATAAACTTTGAAATAATGAGATGTTTACTATTGGGAAGGTTTCTTACATTTATCAAAAACATTTGGCTCTAAAATTCCTTTTTTCTCATTGATAGAGTTTTGCTTTCATTCAATGAAAGCATATTCACAAAACGCCCCATTTTTATAGGTGCATATTGCTATAGTCTGTTTCCTCTTATGCTCAACAGCTCTCATTTTTCTTATTTTTGTATCTGCCTCATGCAAGGGAAGAAGTTCGTCTATTTTTATTTACAATTTGTTGCATTATGAAGAACTGTATTCCCATACATATTTTTTATATTGATATTTGCTGCTAATGAAAGAAGAAATTTGGCTGTTTCTATATTATTTTTCTCTGCTGCAAAATGAAGAGTTGTCCCATATACCCTTCCATTATCAAGCCCACCTTGTGAAAGGAAATATCCCCAATGAGAGGGAATATAAATCAATGCTGATTATGTTTTCTTCAATGATCTAAATCGATCTCAAAATCGTAATCATTTGTCAACAATGTAACAAAATCAATCCTGTGTGTGATGATTGCATATTCCATGCATTTTAATTCTGGTTTTTGATGTTTCATACATTCATTCATGATATCAGGATTTCTGCCTAAAAATGAAAAAGATAGACAAGCATTAGTTGGAAATTGTTCTTAATAACTTGATACAACCAATTGCTAAGTGTTGTTAACAGCAGAATTCAAGCCATGAATAATTACAAAAATTGATGTTTAGGTAAAAGATATTACAAATAAAAAGATAGTTATTTACATACAAAAAAATATAATTACTAATATAAAAATCGATCATGAACGAAAGTTCGTAATTTTTGATCGCGAGGCCATTTAAGAGACCAGCCGTTATGCTTAAAGAACTCATCAGGTGACTTGATTTCAGCAGGAATGTAGTGTCCTAGTGTAGTTTTTTCTGATTTGGAAGATTTAGTTTGTTTTTCTGTTTCCTGAGGTTCCACAGCTTTCTTTCTCCTTCCTCTTGTCTTAGGTTTAGCTTTAGACCCTTCGTAATCCTCTGAATCCGAAGTTCCCGACTCAATTAACTTATCAACGTATTTAACCTCTTCTTCCTCTTCTTCTTCAGCTTCTTCCTGCTCTTCCTCTTCAACTACTTCCTCTGATGATGAAGATTGCTCTTCTGGACTTGATTCTGAACTTTCTGAAGGAGATTTCGGAACTATTTTTGGTTTTCTGCCTCTTCTTGGTTTTGGCTTCTGTTCCTCTTCACTTTCGCTTGCTTTTTGTTTGGATTTCTTCGATCTGGACTTAGAAGAACTTTTCGGTTTGATTTCTTCCAAAATTTTTGGTTCTGGAATGATATTTTCGTCAGTTTCTTGGTCATTTGGATCTTCTTTATCATTATTTCCGTTTTCTTCACGAGATTGAACTTCTTTTCTCATGATTTCTGGATCATAAATATCTTTGGGGAATTTGAATGGAATTTTGGCATTCTGGAGGGCCAAAAGATCTTTCTGACTCAGAAGGATGTTCAATGGCATTGATGTGACCTTTTCTCTTTGAGACATAATAAATTTTTCGTTAATTGTCGATATAAAGTCTGATTTACCCTTCTGTCTCAATAGATTAACGCATGGTTCATCCATTGTAGCTCCAAAAGCAATGAGAAGTCTCGCAATATCATAATTATCAAAATTAATTGCGACGAAAAGAGGAGTTACAGGGTTATCGAAGGGTTTTCCTCTGATTAAAACATGTTTGGATACAGTATTCATGCCGAATTTGAGGAGAATCAGGATTCTGATCAGTTCTAAGTGGCCACCAGCGATTGCCTGAAGGAAAATGTTCGGATTCTTGACTTCCCATGCTCTACATTTTGTTACGTACACTCCACAAAGGTATTGGAACAATTGCGTGTATCCTTGAGCGGCGGAGATTTCGATTGGGAACTCGAAATAGCCTGGAACGCGTTCTGAAAGGGAGGAAATTGGAACACCACTATCAATAAGTGCTCTGCATGACTCCATGAAGTTGTACATGCAGCAGAAACCTAATGGAGTTAATCCGCCTCTTTTTGTAGTGACATCACCACCTAATTCGATGCATTTCTTAGCAAATGCGTATTTGTTATGAACAAGAGCCATGGTAAATGGAGTTTTGATGTTTTCATAAGTATTTTCGGATAAATTTCTAGATTTTTTAACAACTTCATTCATTCCATCGAACTTACTTGTGATGATTTGCAGAGCGGAAGCATCTCCTTGGTTAGTTATCGCGCAAAAATCAATTGCATTGAAATTGTTTGAAACAGAGAGGATTTTGGATATAAGGTTGTGCTTGGACATGTCAAAAGCAATCGATAATGCTGTTGATGGCCAGTCAGAGTGTCTTGTATATTTCGCGATTATTTCTGGATCGGCGCCATTGTTTACAAGTATCTCTGCTGTGTTTGACTGCATCAATGAGATTGCGGCGATCAAAGGAGTTTCACCAGTTACAGGATTTACAACGTTGATATCAACTTTTCTTTGAATTAGCATATTAACGTACTTCAAATCTATCATTCTTGCAGCTACGTGTATTGGATATTCGAATTCTGGCTTATCATCTATAGCAGGCTTAACAGATAAGTTTTTAGAAATAATATTTTCCAAAACTTCTTGATTTGAGTAAGCAAATGCCAATGAAATAGGTGTAATTGGGTATTTATTGACATTTGGATCGTATGTATCGAGTACTTTCTCTAAAATTTTGTCGTATTTTTTTTCTATGCAAGAACAAATTGGATTTGGAAGGTATTGGTCCGTAATCAAAGCCTCATTCGGATCAGCACCATATTCCAGTAGTTTGTTGAAGATATGTATGTCATTTCGACGAGCTGCGTCTGATAACGCTTCTGTTGACGCTTTTACGCCTTTTTCCAGTAGAATCTCGATCATTGGATGAATGGTAATTCGACAGCAGATAGTCAAATGTTTTTCGTCACGATAACTTTCTTCCAAATCAAATCCTTGATTCATTAAGTAATATCCGACTCTTAGGTATGCATTTTCGATACAAAGAGCAATGGAGATGTCTTTGTATTCTTTTATTTGATTGTCTGTTAAAATTTTATCGATAATCCAAGTTTGGTGATATTTTATCGCAGTTTTCAAGTAAGGCTTGAGACAACTATCTTTTCCCTTTGCAATAGTAACAATTTCTTGGTTTCCACCTTTAATTGCGTCTTTTAAATACTCAGATAAATTAATCGATCCACAGTTCGAAGCAATGAATTTAAATATGTTTGCCGAGCCGTATCTTATCGCGTATTTCAAGTAGCTTCTAAGATCTTCGAGTTTCATGAGTCTTGTCGCTACAATAAATAAAGCAGTGTTATCTTGTTTAATAAACTGTATCACTTGGTCGGAATTTTCCTTTTCTTCCAACTTTATAACATTTTGTAGAGCTTTTCGTAATTCCTGAACGAAATCTTTGTAAAATTCGAAAGATGAACTTTTTTGCAATGATTCTATAAGAACATTGATGGGAGATCTTTGCCTCGGTCTCCTTTTCCATACCTTAGACGCTGTAAACAAGGCGAAAAGGAATAGATGTTTATTTTCTGCTGGAACTAATTCGACAATTTTATTGATAGTGGTGAGGCAATTCTCTTCATTAATGCTCCATATCAGGTCCTCGATGTCCATATATGGTTGGAATCGAGGTTCGACTGGTTGTTTAACAAGAGAAAAGGATTCACTCATAATAGGAAATTTAGTGGTTGTTTACTTTTCCGTGTAAACATCTCAATTGTATTCAATTTTTGTCTATAAACGGAATATTATTGAAATCGAAATATGTCATCGATCTGATTGGAGAATCAGACTATACCTAGATCTTGAAATTGTTTCTGGATTTGGTTTCTTTCCGTTCATCTACGAGTCAGTGGTCGAAAAAAAAAATATGGAAAATCATCTTATCGAAGAAATAATCTTGACTATGTTTTGTATATAATTTGATGTGGTAGTGAAACAAGATGGTTTGATTTTTACTGATGAATGTACGATTTATTCCTAATGATTTGAAAAATATTCATGAACTATAAAGATTTTTTGGATATACTATGTTCGAAAACTTATGTTAGAAAGTATATATATGATCTCTCTTAACGAAATGATGAAAATAAAAAAAATAGGGATTTCCATTAAAATATCTATTAATTTTAGGATAGATAAGTAACAAAACTGCATGTAAAGTAACAAGTAATAAAAATAACAAACAAAGAATCTCGCAAACGAGAAGAAATAAAGTATTGTATTGAAATATCAAGTTATTTCCATTATTAACATATCAGTGAAAGGTATATAATGAGTGGAAACGAAGGATTTCGTAAATAATTTTTTTGTTCGACATGAAAATTTCGAAAAAAATTCTGAAATTTCGACTCTAAAATGATGTATTCTATCATCTCTTTGTAATTCCAATTGAATCTGGATTACAAAAAATCCGTTATCAAAAAAATTTGATAACTTTACAAATTTTCCTTACAACAGAGAACCGAGTAGTCTTCCTCTAGGTTTTTGATGAGAAGCTTCAGGTAGATTTGCCATATCTTGGTTTTGGAACATTTCTGCTTGTTGCTCAATTTTTCTATTTGGAATTCTCGGAGCTGGAATTTGCTGAATTCCGTTTGTGCTGTCAATTTGTGGTATATTGTTTTGTGGCTGGAACGCTCGCTTCCTTTCTGGTACATTTGTCGGAATTGATTTATCTGAATTCAAAATATTATTAGCAATAGGTGCTAAACTCGTCAAATTTCCAAGCAATCTACCTTGGAACTTTGGCTTGTGGGGAGAAGGAATCTTTAGATCTGTTTCTGGTCTTTGGATTGAAACTTTGACAGGTATTTCTTCTTGTTGACTTGGAGTTGCAATATCTGGTGGTAACTCCCTTTGTTCAGGTTTAACTTTTGGCTTTTCGGATGTTATCATCAATGCTGCGGCATTTAAATGCTTTTTCGTTTTCTTTTCGTTGTAAATATTCGCAGGTGGCTGATTAACCTGTTGAGGAGGTGGTCTATTAGGAACAACGTTGTTTTCTTCTTCTGGTTCAATGTCCTCAAGCTCAATAATCTGTTTTGGAGCTGGCTCTGGCCGACTCTGGTAGCTAAAGAACATCATTTTTGAAATTTTTTTACATCTGTTTACATATCGATCAAAATACTAAAATTAAATTCTTGAAAATAGATCTATTGAACATATAGACTCTATTTTATATCTTTATAAGCCAATTTTAAAAGGATAATAATTTTGAATTTTTAATTATAGAGAATTTGAGATTTATTTCACAAAAATATTATTAAATAACTAAAATAAATATAAGTGAATGATATGATTTTTTCCAAATTTTTTTCAAAATTTATTTTTTGATAATAATTTTCTTAAATTTGAATTTTATTTTAAAATTTTTTCAAAAATTTTGGAAATTACGACTCAATCAATTCTGTTCCAAAATCTGTTTTATGATTTGATTAACACTTTTCTTCATACAAAATTAGATATTAAGATTTTTCAGTGATATCTTCATGACTACAATGGATTCAACCAAATTGAAACAAAAATATATTTTAACCATGTATGTGCAAATAAGTTATTCGAATAATTCATATGAAATCAGAGAAATTATAGATATTGTTTCTCATTTTCTGGAGTTAGGCTACAAAATACACTTTAGAAATAGTAACAACCAATCAAACAGATGATTTATTAATCAGATAATAAAAGAAAGTAATAATTTTTTGTTGAATAGTTCACAAAGTTAAGGGTGCACACGAGAGGATCATGTAAACTTCAGAATTTAGAACCTTATTTTTAGGCATTATCTTGGCTACCTATTTAGGCTCGAAAAGCAAAAAATATCAAAAAATACAACTTGACTCCATTCTGACCCTTTCATGGAGGTAGTTTTTATCCGCTAGTATTTTCCCTTTGAATCTCTTTACAATTCGAAATCAAATTCAAAACTCAGTAGAAGAAAGGAAGAATCGACTTACTACGGTTGTAATACGAATAAATACATATATTTAATTATTTTTATTTACATAATAATTGTTTGAAGCTCATATTCCATCAAATTTTTAAATAAAAACATTAAAATGTTGAAAATGTTCATATATTTTAATAGGGTTTTGGCACTTTATTGAGGAATTACTACATACATAGTCGAACTGAACTTGATATTTTGAAATTTAAATTATTTATCAAAATTAAAATTTAACTTGAAATTTATAATTATTTAGTCATATTTTGCATAATTCTAAGTAAATTTTGTAAAAAATCAAGAAAGAAAAATTTTAACGTGCTTTATTTTTCTTTTTTATAATAATACATATTATTATATAATTAACATATTCATAATGTTTCACCCTTTCAAAAATATAATCCTCCTCCTCTCAAATAAACGTACATACGGGTGGCCTCTTTTTTCAAAAAATTAAAATTTGAAATTTTGGGCTCAAATATTAGAGATTTTTTCAACCTTCAACGATATATGTTGTCTATATCAGACCTCCTTTCTTTTTGATACTTAACATTGTTCCTAAATCTTAGCCGTTAAGGCTCTTCTGAAAATATTTTTTTTTCGAAAAAATTCGAAAAAAATTCTTAAAATTCAAAAATCCCTTAATTCCTGAGGATTTTGGAAAAAAGTTTTTACATGAACATCTGTATATTATATGAAGTATATTGATAAGGTAAAAATCAAATTTTATTGCATATTCATCGAGAAAATAAACTAACGAATCCCTCAAAATTGAGAGGGTAATCCTCCTCCTCTCAAATAAACGTACATACGGGTGCACCCTTAAGGAAGGTTTCAGCTGAATTACTGTTGATACGAAAGATCCAGCTGCAACAGATTGAATAATCTTGAAGGCATCGATGGAGGCGTTCCACATCTGATTGATCTTCAGGTCCATGTATAAGTTTATCGACATATTTATGATTAATAAGCAAATTGCCATATATACAAAGAGATTCTGGGTCAAATGAGAACATGTGAACGAGGATTCCCATTTATTGCCAGATCTGGATACAAGCGCATACGCAAAATTGGTATTCTGGCTTTCTGTGTTGTAATTTGTGATTTGGCAAAATTTATTATAAGGAGAACTCAATTGTCCAGCGGTTCCGTACTGCTTGAACAATCCTGTTAACGTTATATATGACGATGCAACCTGGTTTGTTAAGGAAATTAAGTGGTCGGTGTTATCATTGATGATTTCGTTCCAAAACATACCCAGAGTGTTGGAATAGTCACTCAAGGCCTTGTTTGCACGTATAGTTAAGAACGTTGGCCTTACGCAATTTTCAAATGCGCAAATTCTGGTTTCTCTTATCCAATCTACGGTTTTCCTTTCAAGCATTGCGTTGAGAGCAACTTTCATTCGCTCCTCGTTGCCGTATTCCTTTGATTGGAGGAAGATAATTTCATTAAATACGAAAGATGAAGGATTTCTCAACGCCAAGTAATCTAGGATCTCGTTTGGGATGTCTATTTGCGAACTCGCCGCTGTCATGATGTTCTCGAGTGTAAACATCGAGTGTTTGTCGAATTTCGAGAAATCATGAGTTTGAATAACTTCTCTAAAAGGGAGTAAATTGTATTCCTTGGTGAAATACGATATCAGCAGGCTCAGGAGGAACCCGATATTGAACGCGATGATGTAAATTGAGACGTACGTCTCTCCATCCAAATCAAAAATCAAAATTATCAAATTGAGGAGGCTGAAAACGATGCAGGACAGTGTATAACTCATCAACATCCTCGGAGATGATAGTCTGAACTGTTGAGTTATGTAAACAATCGACAATATAAGCATAATAAGATTAATCACTAAAATTGCGATTCTATTCGTAATATAGAAGTTAAAGATCGGAATTGTGAGTAAAATTATTGAATAGGAAAACCGAAAAATGATCGTTTTCGAATTATAAATTGAATCTTTTTTTGGGATGCCGTATTGTACGAAATACTCGATATATGTTGACACGTATGAGCAAAGGATGACAAATATCGATAGAATTAACATCCCGTAATGACTTGTGAATTCATTTGAAAATGCATACGTAACACCTGAGTAACACGCGGGAACTAATAATACATGGAGTCCTACGATGCAAATGCCGAGTGGATATACGTTATCCAGTTGATAATCTGTTGAATATTTCAAAAATATAAATAAAGTTGAAATGATAATTAAGTAAGTAACAACGAATACTAGAAGAGATATGACCAAATAATCTAAATGAGTTGTCGTAGTTATGCCAGGAGTAAAAAAAAGGACTGTATCGTGAACTTTGTTAGATTTCCAGCTGAGCTTCGATGAGTTGAACAAGTACATGAAATTCAACTGTAGTCCAAAGAGGAGATGACCTATAAATATTAAAACATTTAAAGTTTTCATTTTATCCCCAATGGAATAGAGTAATGTATGAAATGACTGAAACCTATCTTGTTTGCCAATTGGTCCGATGAGATCTGATAAGGTTTTAGGCATTTAAAACTATTATAAAAAAATTTCAACAGATATAAAAAAAATCTTAAATTTCAGGGGGTAAAAAATATATTCTTCTCAAAAAGTCACCCCCTAAAATATATTATACGGTATTGGATCTGATTTTGTTTTTGATGTATTTATATTTGTCTTTTGATGTATTTTCAAAATAATGAGTTAAATATATTTTATGTTTCGAAATTTGATTTGGTCTTTTTTTGTTTTTTGAGAAATGGAGTTGTTTGCAATGGTCTTAGACTAACCTGCGCGAATGAACCTATGTTGTGTTTGATTTCTTTGTTTTTGCTGAATGTATTAAGAAATTTTTAAATTTCATGAATTCTACATGTAAATGAATCTTTTGTAATGATTTGCTTCGAGAATTATGAAGAAATTTGTGTTGTTTGTCGAAATAATATAAATTAAATAAAATTTCAATTCCAGCCTTAATTACAAAAGAAACCCATGATCAAATCTGATTTTGGCATAGCAAAAGAGTACAAATGAGTCATTCAAAGTAATTAAGCTTGAGTTCGATACAATGATTCCGAATATTTCAAGACGTTCAAGAATTTTGATAATATGGTTTGAATCATGTTCCAGTGAGAAATAATGCTTACATGAAATTGGCTTTCAGATAAAAGAGAGTTTGTTCAATCCGATCGCCAATATTTAAAATGAAGAAAAATTATTTGAACTTGTTGAACAATTTGTGTTCCTTTAAGCTTATAAATACTATATTAAAGCTTATTGCGCTTGCAATAGCATTTTGTAAAGTTGAGTTCACAAATTTTCAAGATTTGTGAAGATGTATTCAAATTATGATTTACAATAAAATATTTTTATGTATACTATTGATGATACTTTGAATTATAACAAAAAAAATTTTCACAGGTAAATTTTGAAGAAAATATCGGTCAAAATAAAACTTATGTATTTAGTCAATAAATATTAAGCAACAAATTTTTCAAAGCTCAAAAAAAATTTTTTTTTGTTCTCACTTCTCATAACTCTTAAGTTTAATACTTCAATATTCATGAACTAGACTAGATGGATAATGAAATATGATCAAAATGAATCAAAATAATTGCAAATTTATAAAGCTTATTTTATCAATACTAAGTTATAAAGAAATTAATTAACCTGAGCGATGAATGCTTCTGTTGCAACACCGCATTGGTTATGTTTGTCTCTTGCCATACGAATGTAACCTTTTTCGCCCCACATTTCGCCCCATGAATTGCGAACAATCCAATATTTAGCGCCATTCTCAACACCATAACCAACGCAACCAACAGCATGATCTAAGTTCATTGAGCTGCACTTTGGATCATCATAAATTCCTGACTGGTACATCATGAAGGAATAAAGTGAAGCATCAATTGCAATACTTGCTGGACCTAAGTTTGCAATCTTCTCTGCTAAATCGTTTTCATCACAATCGGCAACTTCGACGTATCCTTTAACTTGTGGTGGAGCGGCCTTCTTCTTGTTCCATTTGCAAGTTCCTTCCTGAGATGTATATGGGTAATCTACTTCTAGCATTGTCTTGCCTCCTTGTTCATCAATCATCCAATCCCATGCATCAGCTGGAAAACCACCATTGCATCCAGCTGCACTACTGCAGCAGTCAACAAGGTTTTGTTCTGATAATATATAGGCGGCATTATGTTTAACAGCCCAATTTGACTCTAATCCAAAGATTGTAGAGAAAGCCCAGCAAGAACCACAGTCATTTTGGTCTTTGACTGGACCAATAACTCCTGGGTGATCTCTCCAATCGAATGAATCTGGATGTGAGCCTGCGTTTTTCTCGTTAATAATGGAATACTTATGATTCCTTCCAGAATTCTTGTAACCAAGCAACGAATGGTATTCACTTGGTGTTAAATGTGATAATCTGTTCATTGCAAGAATGAAATGGGAATTTCCGGCGTTATGTTGTTGAACATATCTTTTATTTGATAACCAAACACCTAACCTGAAATGATATTCATCACCAGTGAACATCATGCTGTTTTCACGCATCCAGCCGACGAAACTTTTTTCCTCGTGAGCAGCAATCATAAAATAAAGTTAACTCCTCCTCTCAATTTTCTGAGAAAATTTGTGAGATAATTTGACAACGGACTTATAAAATGACAAATAATTTTTGCGAGTATGGAACGTAAGGACAAAACCTTTTTAGTCCAATAAATATTATTGGAATATTGGACCCCTCCAAGAAGAAATTGGAACCAAATTTCAAAAATGGAAAATTGAAATAATCAATTCCACAAAATTTATCCAATTAAATATAATTTGCATGTCCTATGTTACCTGATATGCATGATTTTTTACATACGAAATATTAGTTTTACAATTTGACAAGTTTATTTGTCAATTTGTCAATGTTTTGGATTTTGTTTCTGGCTGATCGCCAAATAACCACAGACTGGAGTCAATTCGCATCTGAAGATATGCTTGTTTCGGCTTGCGAAGTATGCGATTTGGTTGTAGATAAATTCAGAAAAGGAGAAATAAATGATCTTCTTCCTCAAAATAATACAGAATGCGCAGACAGTTCAACTACAAATCCATATTGTGGACTTATTAAAAATATAACATCAGATATTAACGCTACTTTCAAAAATAAAATCCCAAGAAATGCTTGCGAGATCATTTCACCCTGTGTTTCATTTTCTCAAAAAGAATTTACTGGAGAATTATGTTATCCGTGCAGATTTTTATATCATTTCTCAATTATGGTCAATGTTACTGACAAAGTGCAATTTATTAAAAGATTTTGCACCACAACACGCTCTACGTTTGCTGCATTATGTTCTCGAATTGAATCCGATAATACTGGAAAGTTCTGGAATAATCTCCAAAAATCTAAAAATTCTCTTCAACAATGTTATCCATTCTGCCGTAAAGCAGAAGATAGACAAGCTAGAATGAAGAGATCTCATAGATTTGACAGAGAATTATAATTTTCTATAATTGAAATAAAAACTGTACTTTATATGACTAATTTATGTTTTTATTTATATGAGTGTATGTTTAACTCTTTCACCTTAAGAATAAGCCCTAAAGAATGTTAGTCATTTAGCAAATTGTAGATAAAAAAAAAATTTGATGAAATGTATCTGAATTCCCTTACAATTATTCTGATATCGAAAGGCAATCATTATATGCAAATAAACACTATATATCTTCAAGTAAGTTAGTGCTAATAAAAATTAATGAAATTGAAATTCTAAAATAACTAAAAATAGGTATGAATATAATGTAATTCACTACAAAAGGAAACAATATTTATTTTACAAACAAATATTACATATAATCGTTATTGGTAGAGATCCAGTTCATCAACCATATTAAAATTATCGAGAAGGGGATCTGAATCCGAAGCGTAATATCTAGATTCTTCATCGTATTCATCAAAGTCTGAGCTATATAAACTCATATCTCTCATGTCATCATTTGGAGATATTACTTCATTTCTAGCAAGAATGCCTGTCTTGTGTTCGAATAATGGGTAATAATAAAATTGATTTTCTTCAATTTTATTTTCATCATTACAAAGAGCAAAATTCTTGCGCTTTTCATTAATAGAAAGGAATGCATCATACTTGGAAGAGTAAATACTTCTCTTAAAGATTTTCCAATTCTGATTTTTCTTTTTGGTATTTGAACTTGACATAATTATATCAATGGAACCATTATCATTAACTGTTTTGATGACAGTGTCAGATTCTGCGCAGGAATAAAATGAGTAATTATGATTCGGAAAATAATACCAAAACTGATTTGGATCTTCATCAAGTTTAAATGGTGTGAATGTTAACTTTCTGGCATTATCATAGGCTGATAAGACAGGTCCCAGCGTTAATGCATATTCTTCAGCTGCAATTGAAAATAAAATTGCACATGGTATTTCGGGTATTGGATATGGAATACAGTAATTGGAAATGTCAATTGTGTGTATCTCCATTGTTATATCATCTGGTATATTTGAAGATAATATGAAAGGATCGTCTGGATCTTCCGTAGGAATTATGAATTTTTCGAGATTTTTGTTTGCTATAAAGCCCGAGTAAAATGAAAACGTTTGATTAACGTTCTTACCATAGTCAATTTCGGCTATTGCCAGCTTACTGTGTTGGTCATCGACCTTTTCTTCAATAAAGCTAACAAATGGGTAAAAAAGAGAAACGAACCTTTGAGATTCTGCATTGTAAACCCAAATCTGAGTTAGATCCTCTCTATTTGGTGATTTCGCTACAATCGTATACTTATTTTCGTCGGGAGCCCCAGTCTCCTCAATCGAAATTGCCATGTCATTTCCTTTCTTCTTAAAACAAAGCCAGTAACTATTCGTACTGAATGATTCTCCCATAGAATTGATTTTATATTTTTATTTTATCGTTCTGCCGTCATTTCAAATTGGCATATTCAATTCAACGTTGCAAGGTTTTAAGAATTTCCAAAATGGCAAATTTAAATGTTTTTATGATTTTTGTTGATGGTGTTGAAAAAGTGTCATTATAATAAAATAAACAAAAAAATATTAAGGGCGCACCCGTATGTACGTTTATTTGAGAGGAGGAGGATTACCCTCTCAATTTTGAGGGATTCGTTAGTTTATTTTCTCGATGAATATGCAATAAAATTTGATTTTTACCTTATCAATATACTTCATATAATATACAGATGTTCATGTAAAAACTTTTTTCCAAAATCCTCAGGAATTAAGGGATTTTTGAATTTTAAGAATTTTTTTCGAATTTTTTCGAAAAAAAAATATTTTCAGAAGAGCCTTAACGGCTAAGATTTAGGAACAATGTTAAGTATCAAAAAGAAAGGAGGTCTGATATAGACAACATATATCGTTGAAGGTTGAAAAAATCTCTAATATTTGAGCCCAAAATTTCAAATTTTAATTTTTTGAAAAAAGAGGCCACCCGTATGTACGTTTATTTGAGAGGAGGAGGATTATATTTTTGAAAGGGTGAAACATTATGAATATGTTAATTATATAATAATATGTATTATTATAAAAAAGAAAAATAAAGCACGTTAAGGGTGGCTTCCGACCAAATTGTCACTTTTTAGCCCAAGTGAGAAAATTTCGTAATTTATAACCAAGTTTTTAAAAATCTATATTTAATAAAGATTCTATTTTTCTTATTAAATTTCAAAAATGAGGGGGTTCGGAATCGTCCACAAATTGCCGAAAGGGTTTTTGCCAGTTTTGAATCCGCTTATTTTTATCGACCAAAATTATAATAAATATAATTTTCGATAAGTATTCTACCCAAATGATTCTTCAAAAAATTATTTTTCGGATTTTATTCCGTAAAAAAAACGTTACAGAAAACGCCTATTAAATTTCGAATTTTCCCTAAAAAATTCAGTGCAGGTCGATTTAAGAGATTTTTCAAAAATAATCATATCAGTAGATAGGGTATAATATAGAGAAGCTTTATGAATAACTTAAAATCCGGGAAACTCAATATTCAACGAGAAAAACGCTTAACGAATCTCACTTTTGGTGTAAACATCACAAAAAAATTGAGAGGGCTTTCTGGTCGGAAGCCTCCCTTAAAATTTTTCTTTCTTGATTTTTTACAAAATTTACTTAGAATTATGCAAAATATGACTAAATAATTATAAATTTCAAGTTAAATTTTAATTTTGATAAATAATTTAAATTTCAAAATATCAAGTTCAGTTCGACTATGTATGTAGTAATTCCTCAATAAAGTGCCAAAACCCTATTAAAATATATGAACATTTTCAACATTTTAATGTTTTTATTTAAAAATTTGATGGAATATGAGCTTCAAACAATTATTATGTAAATAAAAATAATTAAATATATGTATTTATTCGTATTACAACCGTAGTAAGTCGATTCTTCCTTTCTTCTACTGAGTTTTGAATTTGATTTCGAATTGTAAAGAGATTCAAAGGGAAAATACTAGCGGATAAAAACTACCTCCATGAAAGGGTCATAATGGAGTCAAGTTGTATTTTTTGATATTTTTTGCTTTTCGAGCCTAAATAGGTAGCCAAGATAATGCTTAAAAATAAGGTTCTAAATTCTGAAGTTTACATGATCCTCTCGTGTGCACCCTTAATTCCACAAAATAGTATCGATACTTTCTTGATTTTGGTAATGGATTCCGACTATTTAGATATTCGATGACTAATGGACGAAGAATGGAAGAAAAGAGCAATTTCGAGATAAAATTATTAAAAGATATATTAGACTGTTTGATCTGCAAATAAACATATTTGTACTGTTAATCGGTTTTACAGAATAGATCTTGTGTTATTGTAAGTTTTGAAAAAAAATCGAGAATTTTTCCTAAGATACTCATTTTACGAGATAAAATGTGTTCCATATTAAGTTCTGTCAAAATGTAAGCTATTCAATTCTATCGTCGGGGGAAGTATCACAAATCTATCAATTTTTTTGTAAAAGTATACAAAAACATATGGTGTTGAATTAGTTTATAATAATATAAATATTAAGATTATCCAAAATAAGAAAAACTAGGTTTTGAGAACACTTTTGAGATGATAATCAAAATATTTTGATTGAAAAATAATATATTATTTATCAGATATAGAATGGATTTTTTCAAATTTAAGAATTCTGAAAAATAAACAGTTTTGTAAAGTAAAAAAAATGAACGAAAATTCGAGACCTCGTATTCCAAATGAATGGGTAAGATATATGTATGAAAAACTTGAAAGTGGTGAGTCAGGATGTCAATTTGGAAGAAAAGTGAGAAAATTTTGATTGTGAACTCATCTCTAATATTTTGGCTCCTTAATATATTTGAATCATGATCTTTGAGAAGAGTTCTCAAAAGTATTCACAAAAGCTATTTTTCCTTGAAATTTAAAAATCCTGTTTATCATATATTACCGAATTCAATTCTCTACATATTTCAAAATATTCTATGAACATTTCAATTTTTGAAAAAAAACATATTTTTCCAAATATATTTATTATCATATTTTTAATAATATTTCCTAAAGCGTCACCTTTTACTTCCTCGACGATTATTTCCCTCTCAAAAAAATCAATAGCTTACATTTTGACAGAACTTAATATGTAACAAATGATATACCATCTACTAGATATTTGTGAGTTATTTCCCTTATTTGACAAGTAACTACAGAAATTGTAGTTTCAGGAAATTTGAAAATGTTTGGTATCCTAAGAAAGATATTGTCATATTCAACGTTTTCAATTTCAATATACTATAATAATATAAATATAAATTCATGCAATCTGTCCTTAGATATGCTATCTAAACCTTAGATAGATATTCAATTTCATCATAAAGAATGAGAAAATTTCAAATTGTGAAATAAGACAAACATATTCATATATGAGATAATAACCAACTATATTAGGTTTCTCAATTCTTCATTTAAAATTCCAAAAAAAAATTCAAAATTTCAAAAATCCAAAGAAGAAACAAAAATTTTATATGCAAATTTGCCAAATAAAAGAATTTTGGAATTATAAACATTATTTATTTTTGGTGTTTGTTCCAAGATTTATCTTTTTCCCCTTATTGGATTTGAATATTTTAGATTATTAGTTTAATTAATTTTGACTGGTATATTTCATGATGTCCACATCACAACAAAAAAAAAAAAAAAAGGTAGTGGGGCTTCCAGGCACTTCGTGCCCTCTAGCCCCGAAGATGTTTAGTATAAATGAAGTTTTTATTCGGAAAATTGTTAGTCTTCTGGTGTGAATTCGGAGGACTCTTCTTCCTCCTCCATTGCTTCTGGGAAGAAGCCTTCTTCTGGGTCGAAAACATTATATAATGTGTCGCTTTTCACAAATTATATATGTTTTCATGTTTTGTCACTTTTCTGTCACTTTTCAGGAAAAACATTTTTATTATTATATATAAATGAATTTTACAAAACCGCCGTTACCGTTCTTTGGAAATAAGAGTAGATGTAAAGATATTATATTGAGAGAACTTAAGAAACTACCGAATGGTCTAACATTTGTAGATTTGTTCGGTGGAAGTTTCTATATATCCCATTTGTGCCATACAATATTCCCAGACTCAAAGATTATATGCAATGACTTCGACAACTATATGGACCGTCTCAAACATATACCAGACACAAACAATATATTGAAAGAGTTAAAAGAAAAGATACCTATAGGTAAGATGGAACGTATACCATTAGATAACAAAAATATTGTGAGAGAGGTTTTGAAAAAAGCAGAATATATAGACTGGGATAGTATATCTGCTAGACTATTATATAGTGGTTCTATAAGAGTTCATGACATTGAAACACTTATGTCAAAAGTTTTATATCTTAACTATACAAATGTTTTCAAAGAGGACATAGAAAAATATATTGAGGGTATAGAGTTTGTGAGATGTTATTGGACAGAGTTGTATGAAAAATATAAAGACAAGGAAAATGTTTTCTTTATAGTGGACCCGCCGTTCTATAACACATGGGATTTTCAATACCAAGTAGACTGGACTTTGAGAGACTCTTTAGAAACTTTAGACGTTTTACATAACCATCCATGCTTTTACTTTACATCCGATAAAAGTGGTTTGGAAACCGTTATGAGATGGTTAGAGGACATACATGACTATGAGTTTAGATATGACAAGATAGAATATGAGAGAGGTCCTATAAACCGGAGAAAGTGTCATAACAAAGAAATTTTATTAGTAAGTAAATGTGGTTTGAAATAGGACTACTTGTTTTAGGTTTTTTCCATTGTGTCATTTATTTCTTTGACGTGGCAGAAAGATATAGAGAATATGAAGATGAACCAATGCCTGCAAATGTTCAGTATATGTACTCGTAAGAGATATTTTTATCTAATATTAAATGGACGCACAGAACTTAGCGAATGCACAGCAACCTGGACAACCAACCCCAGAGAATATTCCAAATGAAGTTAGAATACAAACTGCAATGGCAAACTATGGTCAAGTGCCAACAGATGTACAAATGCAAACTGCCATGTCAAATGACGCTGCGTTAGGTTTGCCACCATGGTATGCAAATATGAGATGGAAAGAGTTTTATACAAACCCTGAAGTGGGATATAAACAACTTTATGCAGATGACGCGAACACAGGAGTTGACCCAGAATATGTTTTCTACCAGAGGAGAAACAGAATGTATGAGCTCCAGTTAAAGAATGCTATGGAACTCAACAGGAAACGCAAAAGACTAGGCGGACATTAGATTTTTACATATAGTAAAATGGGTTTCTTCAGTAAGATAGGAAACTTCTTCAGAAGAGTTGGAAGAGGTATATGGAATGGAATAAAAACCGTAGGAAGAGGAATTTGGAACGGTGTCAAAAATATTGGTAAA